GATATTCTTAAACCAACTTAATTCGGAACTAAACGAGTTTAAAAATAGTGTTCATTTATATTTATTGTTATCTTACCAATTAAACTAATTCAGAATTGTATTATGATAATGATTTTTATTTTTCTGGCTCAGAAATACATTTTTTGTAACAAAAAGTTGATAGTATGTTGACAGAATCTTCTGAATTGTTCCCATTACTTTGGATTGTTTAAAAAAGAAAGAAAAAGAAAATTAATTTTTTTCTGAATGGTGATGATAAAGTTAAATAAGGTGATTAAGAGAGAGAGAGAGAGAGAGAGAGAGAGAGGTTGACCTCACTGTAGACAATGTGTCCTTGTTTCGGGACATAATATATTGGAAAATAGATGATTGGTGGGGCTATTGATTTAGAATGCACACCCCATGTGGAGACCAATTCAGTTTGTGTTTCTTGGCTGGCTGCCCTAAACCTTGCAAATATAAGACTAAGAGGCAGCCCACAACCCGGAAAGGTATTTGCCCACTATTCTTGCTCTTCTCTTTATGTCCGCCTAAGTTTATAGTATTCTTGATGTAGGGTACCCTACGCAAAATTTATTATTAAAGAATAAGGGGCATTAGCATTAATTATATTTTTCTGGGTTCCTCGGGAATGATAAACAAGTTCGCGTTCAGGTTGGATTTCATGTTACAACATGTGAAAACAATCATGGGCTATAGGGATTTTTTGAATTTTTTATTCTTTTCTTTTCACGTCTACCAAATAGATATATATATATATATATATTAAAAAAAAAAAAACCAAATAGATATATTATATATATATATATATATATATATTAAAAAAAAAAAAACTCAAACCACTAGTTCATTTTTCGTGTCAAAGTATCATATTTTCATTGAAAATAAGTTATGTATAATAAGCAATGATAAGAAATTAAATCATATCATTAAACTTTAGGCGAGCATCACAATTCACAACCACCATATTTAAAAATAAAAAATAAAAAAATTTTAAAGCCTCAACAAGTGGGGTTTCAATTAGTTCCTTTTTACATGTAAGTAATGGTACAATTTGGACCTAGTTTGACACATTCTAAGCAGCTAGATCCATTTATTAGGATGAGAATCTAGAGATCCATTGGTCTTCAACTTTCTATGTTTTTTTTTTTTTTTTTTTTTTTTAAAAAAGAGAGGGTAAACCTCATCAAAGAACACAATCTAGAATAGGCTACTTCCACGGACATCGCGAAGTTAACCAGTCCTCCCCAAATCTGGAGGGAACATCGTCAAGAACATTGAATGACTTAAGGGAAGTACTTTCAGTTAAAAGTAGCCAACCAATGGGCATAGGAATTTGGCTTTACGATTATACATGATTTTTTTTATTTATTTCGTAAATGGAACGCAGCTTAACATTGAAAATTTTGCATTAAAATATTTCTCATTATTTACCACAGAATAAATTTTAGCATATAAATTGCATTTTTGTTTACATTAATGCAGGTTAACCAATGTTTTTTATAAATTTATTAAATAAAATGTAAACGATGAAGAATTTTATTTTCAAAATTTAAAAATTAAGTATCCGAGAGTGGGGAAGCATGAATCCACGGAATTATAGTGCTCCTACTGGTTTAATTTTTTCAGGGTATGATGAAATGGGCAAAGGCATAAAAAGGGGAAAGATTGGTAAAAGAGGGCAAAATTAAGTAGACGGAATTAGAAAGGGAAAAACAGAAAACTTTGTGATTGGCCATAAAAGGAGTTATTGGAGAACAATCTTTTAGTGGTAAAGGTGGTAATCAGATGGGGCAGGGGGACCAGAAGATTTGGCTCTGCCCTGGCATAGGATTGGTGGGGTCAACCGCCAGACCAATGCCAAATCATGATTACCTTAGTACAAATATATTATTTAGCACTGGGACAAGGATTATTGTTTTGGTATAAAGTGCCCTACTGTGTAGGATTATATTAATTCCATAATTAAAATATATTATTAATATGTTTTTTAGTGGAAGTCAGTTAGGCAGTTTAGCAAAATCCGCATCATTGGCTGGAAATTTATTATAATTTTATTTTATTAGTTCCATATTATTTTTGCTTTCGAACACCCTACCAAAAGAGAGAGAAAAAAAGGGCAGATTGGAAGATTTTTCCTGCCGCCTCTGTAATTTTCTAAATATTGGATGAAATAATCAAGAAAATGTCAACAAAAAATAAAATTATAATCATACAGAAGAAAAAAAAAAAATATAAGGGTATTATAATGTAATAAAACAGGTTCAGAGTTTCGTTTGGAAATTTTGAGTAAAGGGCCCATCTATATAAAAACTCCAAATGGATGCGGTTATTTTCCACAGGTTAGTATTTGTATTCCTAGTGTGCGTCTAAAAAAAAAAAAAATAAAAGTTTCACTTAGAAGGATTATCTAGAACTAGGGAAAAATTAATTGAACCTTACTTACGCACGCAAGCCCATATTGTGAGGTTAGCATGGCAGACATTATCTATTACATACACAAGTGCTTTGGTTGTAAAAAAATGAATGATTAGCCACATATGACCTCCAAATTATACTCAGCTTTGTTAATTTTAGACAAAAAAACTGGCAGAGAGCCTTGACAAAAATGTCAACTCTAATTTTTCAAATCTCATTTTTGCTTTACCATCGTCGTTAAAAGAAAAAAGTAGTTGAAATAAAAAATTCTTATGCTAAAATAAAGCCATGGAAGCAAAGGGCTGAGTTGGGACGGCCGGTTAGAAGCCAATTGAATGCATGACACCCATATATGAACGATATACTACAACTTTAAGATTAATTAAATAAACAGCCAAGAGCGTGTTCAATCAGGACTAATAAAATCAATTATCATCTACACAGTACAATTGAAACTTGAATTCCTCATCTACATACAGGAACGTCAGCCATATTGTGACCTGTGTTTTGATATTAATTACAAAACTAAATTGGACAACCATACAATGCACGATGACAGATGTGCAATAATGTACTTGAAGAATACATATGAACCATGATTACAAACTACCAAAGTGACCAAGGGAATAAATAACTAGTAAATAACAACTTTCATTGACAAGTAAGCAACACATATATATAAAACATGGCTTGTGATTAAGAGCATATTCCCTCAGAAGATATAAAAAATACTCACTCACTCTCCATTGTGTGGATACCTCCAACCAACATCCGCTTTGCTGGTAAGCAAATTTTCTTATAGCCAACGCTACTTGCTCAGATTCCTTGTCAGACCCACATGTTCATTTAGCTTTATTAAATGAGCACCTCGTATACACGAAGGAGGTATTTAGTCTCTCAAAGGACAACAAGAGAGAGATCTTCGTGAGTTTAATTGAGCCTCTGAATTCCTCAAAGTTGACCATAAGTGGTGTAAAACGAATCAGTTATTCATAGACATTTATATGTTCTCACAAATTTTTTTTTTTTTTTTTTTTTTTTTTGGGTTACAAAAAAGAGAGGGTAAACCTCTCAAGAACACAATCTAGAATAGGCTACTCCACGGACATCGCGAAGTAACCAGTCCTCCAAATCTGGAGGAACATCGTCAAGAACATGAATGACTAAAGGAGTACTTTCAGTTAAAAGTAGCCAACCAATGGGCATAGAATTTGGCTTTACGATATACATGATTTTTTTTTTATTTATTTCGTAAATGGAACGCAGCCTTAACATGAAAATATTGGCATTAAAATATTTTCTCATTATTTACACAGAATAAATTTTAGCATATAAATTGCATTTTTTGTTTACATAATGCAGGGTTAACAATGTTTTATAAATTTATTAAATAAATGTAAACGATGAAGAATTTTATTTTCAAAATTTTAAAAATAAGTATCCGAGAGTGGGGAAGCATGAATCACGAATTATAGTGCTCCTACTTGGTTATTTCAGGGTATGATGAAATGGGCAAAGGCATAAGAAAGGGGGAAGATTGGCTAAAAGAGGCAAAATTAAGTAGACGGAAATTAGAAAGGAAAACAGAACTTGTGATTGGCCATAAAAGGAGTTATTGGAGAATCAATTTTAGTGGTAAGGGTGGGTAATCAGATTGGGGCAGGGGACCAAAGATTTGGCTCTGCCCTGGCCATAGGATGGTGGGGTCACCCCAGACAATGCAATCAATGATTACCTTAGTACAAATATATATTTAGCACTGGGAAAGGATTATTGTTGGTATAAAGTGCCCTACTGTGTAGGATTATTATTAATTCCATAATAAAATATATTATTAATATGTTTTAGTGGAAGTCAGTTAGGCAGTTTAGCAAAATCCGCATCATTGGCTGGAAATTTATTATAATTTATTTATTAGTTCCTATATTATTTTTGCTTCGAACACCCTACAAAAGAGAGAGAAAAAAAGGGCAGATTGGAAGATTTTCCTGGCCGCCTCTGTAATTTCTAATATTGGATGAAATAATCAAGAAAATGTCAACAAAAAATAAATATAATCATACAGAAGAAAAAAAAAAATATAAGGGTTATTATAATGTAATAAACAGTTTCAGAGTTTCGTTGGAAATTTTGAGTAAAGGGCCCATCTATATAAACTCCAAATGGATGCGGTTATTTTCACAGGTTAGTATTGTATTCCTAGTGTGCGTCTAAAAAAAAACAAAATAAAAGTTCACTTAGAAGGAGATTATCTAGACTAGGGAAAATAATTGAATCCTTACTTACGCACGCAAGCCATATTGGTGAGGTTAGCATGGAGACATTATCTATTACATTACACAAGTGCTTTGTTGTAAAAATGAATGATTAGCACATATGACCTCCAAATTATTACTCAGCTTTGTAATTTAGACAAAAAACTGGCAGAGAGCCTTGACAAAAAATGTCACTCTAATTTTTCAAATCTCATTTTTGCTTTACCATCGTCGTAAAAGAAAAAAGTAGTTGAATAAAAAATCCTATGCTAAATAAAGCCATGAAGCAAAGGGCTGAGTGGACCGGCCGGTTATGAAGCCAATGAATGCATGACAACCCATTAATGAGATACTCATTTAATTAATAAATAACAGCCAAGACTTTCAACAGGAAATAAATCAATACTCATCTACACAGTAATTGAACCTATTCCCTCAACTCAAGGAACTCGTTTTCCTTGTTTTACATCAACTAAATGACCCAACAATGCATGCATGCTATGTATGGAGAACAATGACATTACAACTCAAGTGACCAGAATAAACAGTAATAACAATTCTTGACAAACCCAAGTAACTGGCTTGTTAAAGCAGATTCCAAAAAAACTCCCCCTTGTGGAACCACAATCCGCTCTTTAAGCAAATTTGAACCTCAGCAGAACTGCAGACCCCATGTCATTGCTTAATGAGACCTTCAGGGATTTAGCAAAACAGTTGATTAATTGCCGAATTCCGTTGACCATAATGAAAGATGTTATCTGCTTGCAAAACCATGTTGAAAACACTTCATTGAAACTGACCACAAAATAGACCTCAATACCGCATGCATGAATCTGAAAAGAAGCACATAGCTCAATGGTAAGATATATCTTGCAGTTTTGAGCAGAATTACCTGGAAGGGGTACATAATGAAATGCAAAATACACAACCAGGCAGGTACAACCTTTTCATGCAAACATGGTTATACGTCGAACAGTTTACACGTCCTTTAAAGACACAGAATAGAGGTCATTAAGTCCACATTTTCCAGGGATTATGCACAAATCAATCAGCCTTTTCCCTTTTCACGTACACCTCCATGCAAAACAATAACAACAACAACAACCAAGCCTTAGTCTCAAACTAGTTAGGGTCAACTATATGAATCATTATTTCAAATATTCACTTTGATCAGCTAAAACAATGCGAAGCAAAATTTAGGTCAGGCAAAATATATTGAAATAGTACTTCTTGTAAAAAATTTTGAAAAGGAATTTTAAAATCATTTGATATATTAACCAATAGAACAAAGCATGAAATAGACAACAACTAATTAGGGTCTGCTACACGTATCTTTCACTTCCATTCTATTCTGTTTGTAGCTATATTCTCATTAACATCAAAAGACCGTATCCAAGTTGTTCTAGGTCAACTTCTTCTCTTTTTTTAGCACCCTCAACTACTAAAACATCAAGCATTAAGTCCTCAAGTTTAAAACATCTACAAAATGGAACACAACTACTGGCTGAGTCATTTCAAAAAATTAAAAGAAATATCTGAAATAAAAGTAAATCAAGCATCTTGTAGTTCTATGTAGGTGTTTCAAGTGACTGAGATCCAGCTTTACTAAATATTTAAATCTGAAAGGTATAGTTGACTATCTGTATTTAATACAAATGTTAACAATTATAAACAACAAAACTACAAAAGTGAAGAAATAATAGCAAACTACATGATATCACAATTAATAACCAGAGACATAAAACATCCATAAGCGTTGCTTGGTAAGAGCATAGCAAAAGTGTATACCAGAAAAAAAGCATGCAGATTCCCAGTAGGCCCCCAGCCCATGCTCTCTATGATTCATGATCACGAAAGAAACTAAATATATTGTTTTAACATCTGTGAATAAAACGCATAACAAAAACACAAAGCAGTTGGGAATATAAAGTCCTATGATCCCCCTACAATGATATATAAAACGCATACACATAATTATATGCTATAACCATACAACTCTAGCTTAATGCCCAGATATTACATATCAACATTGATATTAATCACAGTAAACCATGTCATCAGTCAACAAAAGCAATTCATTAATGAAATGCACACTGATTGATGTAATCCAAAAGACTCATTAAATTGAAAATTTCATGGTAAACTTGGGAACAGTTAAGATAGGTATAGCACTAGCATTCTTCTTAGTGAAATTGGATGTTTGTGTTATAGAATAAACTTCATGTACTGTGGCAGAATTAAAAAAACCAAAAAGAAAAAACAACATAATAAACAGAGATAACAGGTGCAATTTAAGATAGTTACGTACTCAAACAATTGGGCAATTGTAAGTGCTGCAAAGCTGCATTAGTGCTGTTTGATTTGCTGGCTCAAGATTTTCACTGATGATGTGTGGATACCTCCCAGGAGACATAACAGAAAGTTGGGCCATTGAAGCAACTAAGAATTGTTTTGGATCCTTTATGTCCTTAAGAGGATCCTCTTCCTTTTTCCCAGCATTGTAAAGACTGACAAAGGTGGCAGTATAACCCATATTTTCACTAATATCTGGCATTTCTGGTTCCTCTTCAACTCTATCCTCCTCTGGCCGTGAGAGAAGGGTAACAACGCTGTCCAGCATCTTTCCCCAGTATCTAACAGCGGCAGCATCCAAAAGGGTAGGAGATTCACATATCAATCTAGTTGAGGCAACTGCAGCTAATTTAACTTCAATAGGCCCAGTGATTAGCTTAATATTGGGAATCCAGAACTGCTCCAGAATCACAATAAATATATTGGGTTGAACTGCATTCATCGTTTCTACGAGTTTCGCAGGACCATGTTTGACCAAAAAGAGTGACATAAAAATCAAGAGGGACTTGACAAACTTCACAGTCCGTTTGTTTTGCAGGCGTGTAAATAGGGCATTCCAGATATGAACCATGAAGGGAGCTATAACACCATAGTCCAGATTCTCAATCACAGTGTTAAGCACGTAGAAGCCTTGTTCATCAGTACTTGGGGATGACACAAGCCTGTTGAATATGCCTAGCACTTGGCCAAGTCGCCCCTCTTGATTGAGCTCATGGGGTGCTTTTTGAAGAAAAGCTTGAAGTAGACGCACAAGGGCCGGCACATTTGAATTTCTCTTCCATGAATCAGGGGAGAGGAGAAGTTCAAAAATTTGCATGTAATTAGGAGAGATTGGAGGCCTACTCAACTCAACGAGCTGAGCCAAGAGCTGGAATGCATAAGGCAAGAACTCAGAGACATCATTTGCCAAGATAACCTGGAGGCTGGGAAAAAGGCTCGTTTCAAAAGCTGGTATGAGAGAGATGTCCCTCTCACATGCACGCCTAACAAGAACAGCCACTGACTCAAAGAGATAGTGGTTGAAAATTGGATTCTTTGGATTTTTGCACACTTCATTGAGAATTGAAGTCAATCCAGAAATACAAGGAGCTGCAATCTCAGAGGATATTTCTGCCACACCTAGAACACGCATAATACACTTCATTACATATTGATTCTCCTCAGACTCTGGAAACTTCAAGGCATTGAAGAGGTTATTCATCAGCACCTGAAGGAATGGAGTAACATCTGCTGAAGTATACCGTGGTCGGCCTCCCTCATCCTTGACTAGCAAGAGTTTCTCTATACAACTAGCAGCATAAGAATGAACCACATTCGACTCAGCACCAAGGAAACGAACTAAATCTGGGAACAACTGAACTGCAAGAGGCTTTGGTATCAGACTCCTAAATACTGTAAAGAACTTGAGAGCACCAGCCTTAAGCATTGGAAACGCATTTATATCCTGACTCTGCAACTCGGGCAATATCACCTGTGCAAAAAAGTTCTGAACATCCACGAGATCAGTTGAAACAGAAGTACCCCCAGCCTTCTTAGTTGCAAGGGAAACAACCAAATAAATAGCACAATCCTTGTCCTTCCAATTTGCTGCAGGGTTTGCGGCATATGAATTCAACAAATTCTGTATCTGAACCGCAACCAATTCAGTTACCAGCATCCTATAGTTTGTTGCAATTCCTTTAAGCAATTCACACGCAATCCTCCTTCTAGTATCAAGATCACTCCCCTCCATATCCCTCCTAATGAACTCAATATAATTCATCTCAAAGAGCTCCTCATCCTCATCCCTCAACCGCACATTAGGAATCACAATACCCTGACAAATCTGCGGAATGACCCCATCACTACCAAACAGAGTGTGTTGCACACTAGTACTCACTGTAGTCAAAAACTTAATTGCTGTAACAGCTAATCTGTCACGGCTAGAAGACTGAGATACATTCGCTAACAAAGTCCAAATAGCAAGGGCAAAACCTTCCACGTATTCCTTAAACTCCTCCTCATTCTTCTCCATGTAAAGACTAATATTCTCACATACTGCAGACCTAAGATCATCAACAACAGCTAGCCCATCTGCAGTGCTCTCAACTGCAGGATAGCTAGTGGTTAAATATTTTTTGAACTCAATCATCCACTTGTCCATATTGTCCTCGAAGAACTCGGGCAATTCTTGAAAATTCAGTGAATAAAATATCCTACAACACAATCTCTGGGACTCAAACAACGGCTTTAGAGCTAGAGGGGAGCCACCACCTGAACTAACCGTTGAGTCAATTAAAGTAGCTGTCCTAAGGAAAATGTCTAGCAATGGTTTGGCAAAATTATCGAGACAATACTTCAAATCAAGTAAGAGATCATTCGTTTTGTACTGATAACGGAATTTTTTGAAAATAGAGTTAGCCGTACCAAGGATACCGTTCACGGAGGCATAATCATTATTCCCAGAGGCGGCACTGAGATTAGCTAAGAGCTCCGGAAGCAAAGCCGGCCATGACTTGGGGAAATCGTGTTTGCCAATGAGAGAGAGCGATTCGCCGAGCTGTGACTGAATGCGAGGAGAGGAGGAGAGCATGAGACTAACGATTAGGGTTTTGATCTGATTCTTCTCGTCTTCCAGGATAGGACAGAGGGAAGAGTCTGGTGATGGGGCCCAGCGAGTGCGGAGATGGTTCTTAAAGTTGACGGCAGCCGCGTGGCGGATATGCTCATCAACTGATGGTTCTGCGACTAAACGGAGAACGGTGAGCGCGTAGTTTGGGCGATCGGCGGCCTCCATGAGTTTGGCCTCAGCGGCGCGCCGCGGCTCCGGTGCGGGAGAGAGTGTGTGAAGGAAACATTGGGATAGAAATTCTGGATTCAATTCCATGATTGGAGAGAATTTGCCTGGCTTTAGGGTTTTTGAATGCGGCTATAGAGTTTCTGAGAAAGGAAATTGATAATAATGGAATGAAATTATTTTAAAGCATATGCAAATAACGGAGAGAGTAGCGAAAATGCGAAATAGAGAGTCTAGTAGAAAATGATAGTGAGTTAACGAGAGGGAAAACGCTCCACAGAAAGAATTTCAAAGCTTCATTAGGGCTGTGAGTGATGCTGTGTTTTGCAATTTGAGAGGCGGAAGACGCGTGGCTCTGATTGGTTGGTCACCGAGCTGAAAGGTTGTTTGGGCCTGAAACAATGGCCCAAAATGGCATAGTAAATGGGCCATGACTGGTTAGAACTGTAGATCCCTTTTTCGCTTGCCGCGGCCTTTATCTTAGCTGTAGATCCCAAAATAGCAAAATCTATGCAGGTACTCATATCTCAGCCCAAGTATCCTATCGTCATACTAGACTTTTTGTATGGGATTGGATTCCCGAATGCTTGTTATCCTTTTATTCTTGATGTTAATGATGTATCCTTAAAAAAATAAAAAATAAAAAATAAAAAAACGTCCTTCGCCATTATACCAGCTTAAACAATTGTAAACTGTATAACAAAAGAAGTAGTATAGCCAAAAAGATAATTTTAGCAAGAGTATAATGCAATCATCCTCAATATACAAAAAATATATAAAAATTTAAATTTTCTAACTTTTTTCTATATTTTGAGGCAAACATCAAATTACTCAACCATTAATCCAATCGCAAATATAAAACATATTTATTTGAAGCATGTAATTACATAAATCTTTTAAGTTATGGAATTTTATAATAGGTTTACATATACGCACTCATCAACTATATATAGTTAATATTTCAGATGCTTATTTTTAAATATATTAAAATATTATTCATAAAAATAGTTGGCATACTATAATGAGAGACAGAGTGTTACGTGTTCAAAGAATCTTATAACGCTCAGTTAAAAAATATGAAGTGTGCAACCACTATATACTTCCTATATAAAAACCTCATCAATTTATAATGTACAAACACTCGAGCTTTTTTCCATTTTCACAGTCAATAAATCACTTCTTATTGTTCTTTTTAACTGTTTTGTAAATTTTTTATATCACGTGGCAAAACACAATACGTATAACGCACCTAATTCATTTAATACGCATATTATATATAAAATTATATCTTATTTTTAAATAAACGAGTTAAATTAGTTAATTTGTGATGCGACTCATTTAAATTTCGTGTCAGAAATGATGGCTATTCAATCCTCACCCTTAACCGTTTTGACACCCGTAAATCCCCTCTTTAAGTATTTAGTCACATGGGAAAATTGAGGCCAATTGTGGCTTGCCAACATGCGTGTCTGTTTATATAGAACCCGCCAACGTCATTAAATATTGGTATCCCACCATTTGTTTTGTCTATCTTTCCCGCAAAAAAACAAAACAAGCAGCTTATATCATACACGTACTGATATTTCATATTTCCGAAAATGTGGAGATATCTCCCTCGCGTCTTTGCGGCTTTCTCCCGATGGTAAGTGAAAGATGACAGAATTGACACTTACCACCATTCCAGTAAAAACAGTAGTCACAGTGCATAAATATTTAATCTGTGCTTAACTTGATAAGCTCAATCAGCAGTTTGTTGCCTAACTAATTCTTGTTCAGGTAATGTATAAACTTTGAAGAAGAATACGTTAGAAACACCAGATTTGGAGGAAAATGGGATCATTATTTAATCCGAGAACTTATTTTCAATTTCTACTCTTAGTAATTCTGTTGGTTCAGTAATTAACTAACTTCTTATTTGTCAAGTTTAATATCAACTTCATTGTACTTTTAGAGATTGTTTAAATCAATTTTCCTTTAAAAAATAATAAAATCGAAAAGGGTTTGTTAAATAAATTTGAGCTCCAATTAGTTCGTTGAATTATTACGATCCAGCACTTAGCGTCTCGTCTACAAGTTTGTAGTTTGTGTTGAGAGTCCAACGTTTGGAACGGTAGCTGAGAGATCAATATCGGCATCGCAACATTAATGGTGGTATGGTGCTGAAACAATCTGGGCGCACCCATATATATATATATATATATAGAGAGAGAGAGAGAGAGAGAGAGAGAGAGGGCCGGTTATGCCTATTTCATTGTGGTCCAGTGGAATAATCATGCAGCCTCTCAAATACTGACACAATAATGTAATTCCTCTGATTTCTCCAGCCTTTTTTTCTTAATGTATAATAAAAGAACTTGCCTTGTAGATAATTATTTTCTATGGCTGCAGAGGAATGGTGTTCATTTCCTCCACATTCCAAGGCAACCCACCACAAAACTATAGTTTAAACATAGAGTAAATATATGTATATTTTTAAAAAAATATAAATAAAATTTGTAGGTGCAAAATCAAATTTTGAAAAATTTGAAAGATTGTTCGAATCCCTTATCCATACTCAAAAAAAGAAATATATGAAAGATAGTATCCCACTTAAGCCTCCACAGAAGTTCTGTAAAGATTGTATCACGTGACTAAAAGAGCCTGCCTGATTGGAGAGTTTTGCAAAGCACGTGGACGACGTTCATAAATCGGTGTTTCCATTGTTCGAATCCCTTATCCATACTCAAAAAAAGAAATATATGAAAGATAGTATCCCACTTAAGCCTCCACAGAAGTTCTGTAAAGATTGTATCACGTGACTAAAAGAGCCTGCCTGATTGGAGAGTTTTGCAAAGCACGTGGACGACGTTCATAAATCGGTGTTTCCAATAGTTTTATAGTAATATGTAAATAGATTCTCTTCGCTAATCCTTTTTTTATAGCAAATGTAAGTGCCTGATGGTCGGTAAGGAGGATAAATAACATTTCATCCATGATGAATAGCCGTCGGATTTGCAAGATTATACAAAACGAACGGCGTGATAGCATGCTCAGCAGTATGGCTGTGGTGGGAGATGGTACGCAAGAATAACAAAGCAAATCCCAAAATTTGCTTAACCGCCTGACAATTCTCTTCAAAGGACAAAAAAGTACCAAAGACGACAAACGACCTGTTGTTATCTGTCGTTTCATGTTGCAAAACGTGGCAGAATAACTTGGCAGAATATGCACCACGTACGTGCTCGTTGCGCGTATAAAAACTGTACATAGATTCTCTTTGCTATTTTTTTTAAATACAATTAAAGCTGCCTAGATTCGATCAACAGTCCATTCATGTACCAAATTAACAGGGAATTTTTAAAATTTCATCATCGTTATTTTTCTTTAAAAAAAATATTTCGGTAATTAATTTAGTGTATGAAATGATCTCATATGCTGAGCATAGACAAGATTTATCACATTTCAAATAGATAGTATACTTATATATGTTCGGACCGTGAGGTTAGCTTTTAATACGATAAAGAGTTTTGTATTATATGAATTGTCTATCGAATGGTACTATTGATAAATGGATATATGAAAAAAATAATTATCAAGCAAATTAAGTTGAGAGTTGAGAGCAGGGTGAGTTTCCTTGTTGAGAAAATGGCATCAATCATGCAATGAAAAGAAGAAAAATATCAAATTAAAGGGTTACTAGCCAACCTTCGTGATTTTAGTTAATAGCAGGTAACACTTTATTGGCCAATGGTTTCCCATACGTGAAGTATAATCTTATAAGGACAACATAATTATTATTTTGATCACATATCACTTCATATATAAAAGGTAATAAATGACATGCTGTCTCTATCTCTCTCTCTCTCTCTCTTTTTCTTATCCCTGTCCATCTTAATTGTTATATTTGTTTTTTTATATTATACCAAAGTATAAAATGATCATTAAATATTTATTTAATTTTAATTATTTATATAAATAGAAAACACTAAATATGTCGATCAGGTTCCTTAATTCTCTAACTATATACGAGGAGCGAGAAGTCTCGAATTTGAATCCTCTCAATTATAATTATTTTTACCAATTTTGATTAATTAAACAGAGGATTGTCTCCCCGTAGTATCAATTATAAAATAAATAGGAATGCGCTGCCAGTTGATATATGAAATAAGACATGATTAGTTAGTCATTTTCTTTCCTTGTAGAATACTAATTGCTTCAAAAAAAAAAAAAAAAAAAAAAAAAAAAATAACACTGATTGAAATGCGTGCCTCCAGCTAGTTAACCAAACTGATTAAGGGTTGTTATTAAGCAAAACAAAACATTGTATTACAGCGATATAAATAAAATTCAATTATCTTTAAATTTGAATCGAATATATTAAGCTTACAAAAATCTAAATTTTTTAATGAATCTTACTCTCTAAACTTGTAGAAAAAAATTAATTTTAAAAAAACAAAAAATTAAGGTGTACTCATAATTTCAGAGTGAGTCATAGCGTGCATCCTATTTATTGAAAAAAAAAAAAAAAAAAAAAAAAACACTTGATTGAAATGTGCCTCCAGCTAGTTAACAACTATTAAGGGTGTTATAAGCAACAAAACTATATCTGTATTACAGCGATTATGAAATAAAATTCAATTTATCTTTAAATTTGGAAGCAATATAATTAGCTTAAAAATTAATTTTTTAATAATCTTACTCTCTAAACTTGTAGAAAAAAAATTAATTTAAAAAAAAAAATTAAGACTCATAATTCAATGAGTCATACGTGATCCTATATTGACATCAATAATAAATTAATAATCAAAGTCTCTTTTTTTATATCTTTTAAAAGTACCTACCTTTTGTAAGAGGACAAGGACGGGCTTGCTCCGGAAATCACATTGGTGATTGCATAATCGTAGTAAAATTTCAGAAAAAGGTAAAAAGAAAGCACCATGTGTTTTCTCCCACGTTGCACAGCATTATTGAGCAATACATGAGATAAGTACATTATGGCTCCTACAGTAATAAATACTGCCCCTCATCCTTTCCTGCTAAAATTCTCTGTGATATGCAGTATCTCAAATAATGTCTGAAAAGCCAACATGTCCTTATTAATATATATCGAAAAGATTAATAATTTTCTAACTCACTAAATTCGTGACAATCGTTATCGAAATGATATAAATTCTCTGCATTTTTATAAAAAGAAAAAAAAAACCCATCAGAATTTACAAGATTGAAATTTAAACTTACATCACGGTAACTTTTTCTCGCGCATCAAGGAAAGGAGTGGTGATCCTTACCCCTTAGCAAAACAAAAATTAAAAATTTGCCTTCTAAATTTTTAAAAATTTTCAATTTTATCCCATAAAATAGTGTATCTTTTTAATCTCATCCCTCCTAACTTAAAAAAAAAAAAAAATGTTTTGCCATTTTTATCTTTAATCCTGATTCCATCAGCCTACCAAAACGCAGGCCCTTTTCTTTTTGTTAAAAGAAAGGTGGTGGACTTAATGTTTCCATAAAAGGGGCAAAAGCTTCATAGTCACAATCATTGGACTACAATATTTGCATGACCAATTGGAAAGATTAAATTAGTGTCTTGGTGAAAAAATTGCGTCCTTAATAAAATTCATTACTTTTTTTTTTTTTTTTAAACAGAGACATTATATATTTTATGATGCTGCAATTTTAGCAAACTTTAAATTCAAACTCGTTAATCAATACATTAGAAGGCTTATTAAGAGCAACCCATTTTGCTTCCAAAGCATCTTATCCTTAAATAAATCCATTACCTTAAAAAATGGGCATCTATTTACACAAATTGATGCTGTCCAAATCAAGGTTTACCCCTAAAGCTACAATCACCCCAGAGTAGCAAATGTCATGCGCAACGTCACACGGAAAGACCATAAAAGACCGAAGCATGTCACCGATTACCCGTGCGACCGTCCACCATGTGAACCTTCCCCAAGGCCCCAGCTCTACTGCACCAAAAGCTACAGCTATTGACAATGATATTCTATAGACAGGGGCGATTTTGTCTTTTCGTCACCTCTCTCTCTCTCTCTCTCTCTCTCTCTCTCTCGATAGGAGGCGTGTGTCAGGACTCAAGAGGTTGTTCAATTCCACGCGCTGAGAATTGCGTAAATATCAACACATTATCATCAGGTTAATGAGGACAATCAAGATTCTATTAATTACAACATGTGAGTATATTCTTAATCTAACTTTGTTTTAAAATAAATAAGAAAAATTAGTAGTAATAGAAGAATCAGCCGTGTAATGATTGGATAATTGCTCACTCGCGCCAGCTAAGCTAAACTGTGGCAGGTGAAATATGATTTGTCAACTACATGGCCAAGCCTGTTCTAGATAGGGCCTTTTAGTAATTGCATAAACCGTTGTTGTGTTTGTAGTGCAATATAAATAAATCTCAGTGACGCTCAACTCAAGCTTAAACGTCCATAATGTAAATGGAGCAACCACCATTTACTGAAGATGACCCGGCCACAACCACCACCACCACCACCACTGCCACCTCTCCACAGGACAGAATCAACCGTAATTCTGATGCTTCTCGATGCAGCGGCGGAACAAGACATCCAGTCTACCGTGGAGTCAGGAAACGGAGGTGGGGCAAATGGGTGTCGGAAATTCGCGAACCCCGTAAAAAATCACGAATTTGGCTAGGCTCATTTCCTGTACCGGAAATGGCTGCCAAGGCTTATGACGTGGCTGCTTATTGTCTTAAAGGTTGCAAAGCACAGCTTAATTTTCCAGAAGAGTTAGAGGACTTGCCTAGGCCATCCTCGTGCACGGCTAGAGATATTCAAGCAGCAGCAGCTAAAGCAGCAAATTCAATGAAAAAGAGCAATATCGCAAACAGCGACGGCGATGGTGACAGCAACGGAGATAGAGAGAATGATGATTTTTGGGGTGAGATTGAATTGCCAGAACTGATGAATAGTGGGTTGAATTGGAGTTCTTGTGCATGGAGTTTCGCCGGCGATTGCACGTGGATGGACGGAGAGGCTCCACAACAGTTTATGGCATGTCTATGATCGTGAAGCTTTGTGCTTTGGTCGGCTGTTGTAATCAATATCCATATTTTTAGATACGTATGTATGAGTATTTGTGAGCAGATTCTTCTACTATATATATGTATTTTGCAATAATATTTGTTTTTTGAATTAATACGATACGGAGTTTCGAAATTCATAAAACCGATTTGGGGGTTGTTATGTCATTTAATTTGAGCAGCCTGTAATATAATAAACCCCAACACCCTTGATTTGATAATTGATAAAGTGCACCTAATTTCTACTTTCTGTGGTTGTAATTAGATCAATTAATGTCTATTTTTCAAGTTAATTATGCTTGTTTTACAATTTTATGTGGTTTATATGTATATAATTATTATGCTAAAACGTTATTAATTGGAGGGCGTAATCGGAATTTCTCGATCCAAAATGTTTGGAGTCCGACAGGCTGATATCAATTCACAAATTATCATAAAGTGACGCAATCTGAGATTCAATACATGTGGAGGATATTTTTTCTTTTTTTTTTTTTTTTGAATCGTTGATTAAATTGCTGGAAGGGCGTAAGCGAACATTTTCTCGATCCCAAAATGTTTGCGAGCTGCCGACAGGTGATATCAATTCACAAATTACTCATTCAATAGCGTGACGCACAATTAGACGATCAATCTACACTGTTGCGAGGATACTTTTTTCTTTTTTTTTCTTTTTTGTTGGCTACCTAAACATATTTTAAAATGATTATGTTTGGGTAAACTCAAATAGGGGAGAGCATTTATAATCCAAGTGATGTTCTGATAATCTCTTATCAAATGGTATCTTTTACCTACCTACGCCGAGTACGCTACTGACCCATGTGATGCCACAAGCCATGGTAGACAAATTTTGGTATTAGGTTTGGAAAGAAAATCAATATTTTTATTTTTTTTTTTTTTTTGGCTCTTACATATTTTAAATGATTTTTGGGTAAAGCTCAAATAGGTGGAGACATTTCATAATCCAAGTGATGTTCTATAATCTATCAAATTATGTACTACTAGCCAGTACCTATGACCCATGTGATGCAAAAGCCATGTGTAGAAATAAATTTTGGATAGGTTTGAAAGAAAATCATTTTAACAGCAATTATTAATTATATTACGTGATTATACTTGACTATACAGAATCTATAGATGAATCTATAGATAAATTTATGAACCATGTCAATTAAAAAATCTCTACTTTAATAATTATTCTTGTTTTACTTTTTTTAAGTGAATAATTAAATTACCTTGTTTTTTCAATTTATATATATTTTTTTAATGATCTGATTTATAGATAGGTTTATAGACAGGTCAATAAATGCTTTACTTATATATACCTACCGGATAAACCCATATATGAGATAGGTATTGGCCTACATTTTAATTGTTAGACTAAATGATTTTTGTGGCTCAACTTCATCAATAGAAAGCCAGAAATCTAAAAACTTTTAAAAGTTCCGTAATAATGTTTAATTTGTTTCAAACATCTAAAAGTACAAACGTTAATTATTGGTTTCAAAGTCTTATCCAAACACTTCCTATACAGTTTTTTTTTTTTTGGAGAGCAAAGCTCTAAGGATTACAAGCATAATTTAGGATAAGTAATAGCAACTACACCATGTGTTAAGTAATTAGTCATCCCTGCAGGAGGATTAATGAGCAAATAAGTACCCAAAGGGAAGTTCCTAGCGATCTTAGAAAGTCAATCGGCATAAAAATTTCCTTTGGGCACTTCCCTAGCGATCTTAGAAATAAGTACCCACAATAACCACAGTAGTCATGCCTACATAAAAAAATTTTGGGGGAAAATTGTGGGATAACTTCGTTCAGCCCAAAGCATGGGCTGTAGGCTCAAATAAAAAGCAAATGAGCAACTTTTTGTCATGGACCCTATTAACTTTTGAATCCATCAAAAGGCCGATTCCAAAAATTCCCTCGTTTTCTTTTTCTTTATCAATCACGTGCAATTTAAAAGGATGTTATGAGATCAATAAAAAATTTAAAAAAAAAAATTTGTTGTTAGAAACTAAAATCTCAAAGTTCAAACTATGGGTCGTGTCAGCAATGTAGTCTTATCACGTGAGAAGAGCTCTTGAGTTCGATCCCTATTAAACACATCTGTTGTGAAGGGCGAAGAACTCGTGGTTTAAAAAAAAGAAAAAACTTAATAAAATTTTTTTAATTAAGAGCCCTAAAAATTACATAAGAATGTAAATGGAGAATATGCAAGATTTTTCCTAACAAAATATCAACCACTTTAACGCAACGTGAAGATTAAGGAATCATAAGGAGATGATCAAACATAAGATTAAACTGCAAGAATTACAATGTCTTTTGGCTTCAGTAAGTTTCTCTTTAATTACGCCCTTTTACAATTAGACAGTCTACAATGAGATTTTTATCACCCAACATTATCATGAAACTGGCTTATCTTAATACTAAGTGCAGCACCAACTAATGTCAAAGCCCTTACTGTTGTTCCCTTCTCCTCTATCCTTTTTCTTGGCCCATAATGGCCCAAACCCAGAATAATAATAGAATTCATGCCTGCTTGAACTCGCAGACCGTGCTCTTTTAGCTTCCCTTGGTTGGCCTCTACGTTCAGATTTCTTGGTAGAGGAATCAGTGTTACTGCTGTTATTGGTTATGCAAGCTACTGCTTTGTGCTCGTTCTCTTCACTTCCACTGAATTTGAATTCTCTATCGATTTCGTTATCGTCAAACAATTTATCCTTTTTCTCTGTTGGGTTCATTTCTGTGTCATTATTATTCGTCTTTCTTGCTGACTCATTTTCCCTGTTCTCCATCATCAATATAATCCATAGTGTTATATATTTATTATATTCCGCAATCATAAATTTGATTTGGATAATTCTTTATATATAATATATACTTGTATGCAAAACCCTAATGTGAGATATCCATTTAAAAATATACATGTAAATATATAGATATGAAATGCAAAATTGGTGCACAGATTTTAATTACCTCTCAACAGCTCGAACAGAGTCACGAAAGTCCTCGTTCCCATCAAAACTATTTTCTCTTTCAAACTGATATAAGGAAAATGTTAAACCAAACAAAAAGAAGAAAAACACAGAAAGATCAATTTGACCTAATTGGCCATTTAGGGGCGAGTGAGCTGTACAAAACTCAGAAATTTTAGGTTTTTACAGAAACCCTAACGTGGCATATTTTTAAAACCCTAGAAACAGAAAAAGGAAGAGAAAATGCGGGCGAGGGAGAGAAGATACAGCGGAGAGAAAAGAGTTTTGGTGAATTTATGTAAATAAGAAGACAACAGAGACAGAAATAGACCTGGTGAATAGCAGATTGATAGTTTTGTTGAGAAAATGAAATCGCATCCCATGGAGACTGGTTTAAGAGGCACACATGTGGCTGCTGGACCTCAGCTTCCCCTACACCACCATACGACAACTTTCTGTTCTTGCGAATCCTCATCTTGTATATCAGAGATAAAGAGAAAGAGAGAGATAGAGAGAATTAAGAGTTCTTGTCTTCTTTACAAAGAAAAATCTAACATGGTCAACAAGAAGGGAAGGGAAGGGACTCAGGGGAGGCTGAGGCTCTGTCTGCTGTTTTTGCTGCAGATCTCAGTTAAATCATAAGCTGAACGACTGTGTCTTTTTCCTTTGAGTTAGTGTTTTAGGTTTCTTGGCCCCTTGAAATGCTTTTGTTTAGTAAATTTTGGGCATTTTTGCACTCCGACTTTCCGATTATTTACGGTTTTTGCACTAATTACACGTAATCAATATTGTCCAAACACCATGTTCCTTGATGGATATATCCTTTACCGTTGCACGGTCTCGTGTCTTATTCTATTAAATATTAAAGCGGCGAATTATCCAAAAAAAAATTTAAATTCATTAATATCAAAGAAAATACTTATAGTATCTGTATGCTTTGGCAAAATAATAATAATAATAATAACCTTACTTATGAAATTGTGGGTTACAATGTTGATTATACTAAGAGATCTTGAAGTTTTTAATTGGATGTGTTTAAAATTTAAAGATTGTAATTATGCTATCCAAGTTTACATTTATTTTCTTCCATACACATTTTCGTATTCAGGTAAAATTTTTAAACAGTAAAAGGTCCTAATAATGGTAACTTCAGGTTTGAAGCGTAGAAAAAATTTTGAGCAGAAATGTAACCGGAATCAGAAGTCTTACATGTTTATCTTTGAGTTCCTAACTCAAATCACACAGGTCTTATTCATGCTTGACACCTAAATAAACCTACGGGTTTCAAAATTTGTAGCAATTCGGCCCATAAAGTTATATGCAAGAAATATGGCCCAGATTATAAGTCCAGTTCTAAAATGGAAATGGCCCAATGTCTTTCTTTAAGAGGAAGTTGGCCCATTGCAATTTTCAAATCTGGGCTTATATGAAGCAAGTATTTTACTTGTTAGCCCAAAAAGAGAGTCTCGTAATATCTCTGTCGTAGAATTTTACAATTAGAGGTGAAAGTTTAATGCATGTGATTCCATCTTTGCGTAAAAAATTAAAAAAAAAAAAAAAAAAAAAAATTTACTTGTTAGGCCCAAAAAGGAGGAGGGGGTTCTTTCGTAAATTCTCTGTTCGTAAGGATTTTTACAAATTAGGAAGGTGGAAAAGTTTATAATGGGCATTGTGGATTTCCCACTTCTTTGCGTAAAAAAATTTAAAAAAAAAAAAAAAAAAATTGAACTTTCTTGTATTATAACAATGGGAAGATTTCGTGGGTTTTGCAAAGTAAATATTCAAGGTCCTACCAAAGAAAAGGAATTAGGAAGAAGAATATACATCTTGCAACACGTGCTTATGACCCATTTATGAAGTTATTTTGAGTTTGAATGAATAAAAAAAAGTTGCCTATATACAGAAGAGCTATAAAATGGGGCAGTTAGTGGGCAAATTGCTGGATCCACAATTGGAAAAAAAAAAAAAAAAAAAAAAATTGAACTTTCTTTTTATTATAACAATGGGAAGATTTCGTGGGTTGCAAAGTAAAATATTCAGTCCTACAAAGAAGAATAAGAAGAAGAATATACAATTCTTGCACACGTGCTTATGACATTTATGAGTTATTTGAAGTTTGAATGAATAAAAATTGCTATATACAGAAGAGCTATAAATGGCCAGTAGTGCAAATGCTGATCCACATTGAAGAATATAGCGTTGAGACAAAAAAGAAATTACAGAACAAAAAATCAGCAACGATAAAAATGGGAAGAAAGTATGAACTGCATGTGTATCGAGGAGTCTAGAAAATGACAACCAATTTTATAAAAGCTGTGTGGCACTTTCTTTGTGTGGTTATCTTGTCTGTTCTTTGTTAATTAGGATGCTCTGTGCACTCTCAATATTTAATTTTTATATCTATATATACATTTAAAACCATGTTTAGATAGAGCATGAAACTCATTTGGGAAGAATATTTTTTGCCAAATGCATTTAAAATTTTACGGAAAAAACTTAATGGTATTTTCAATTTTTAGTTTGATTCATTCAAAATTCAAATTATAAAATTTCAAACTCTAAATTATTGTAAATTTTAAATTTTAAATTAAAATTTTCAGCTAATAAGATATTTTTTTTTATTTTATTGAGACATAAAAAAAATAAATAAATAAAGAAGTCTCTAGTTATTGTTTCTATCAGAATGTAGCTAATGATGGGAAGACATCCATTGAATGAAATAATTAGCTAGAGAGAAGCCAATTAGTGGCATTATTGTAAGTTCCAGAATATTTAATTAATTATATTAAAAATAAATAAGCGCTAGCTCTACGTGCTGCATTATCTTAATTAATTAATTAATTAATTTATGTCGCTCTCTATATTTGTTACAATTATATTATCTTTCAAGGGCTTGTTATTTTCAAAAAGGATTATATATTTAATTTATTTATAAATTCCCAGTTACTTAATCGAATAGCAAATGCTAATGCTCCAACTCTAATAATTGGAAACAAAAAGAATTCAGCGAATACTTATTTGATCATCCCCAGGGGGCCCAGGTAGATGGTCTTCACATGCAAGATAAGATGACATAAACAATATTATCATATTATAAACATATATATAGCTAATATTAACTTATTTAAGTCAAACATTATTTCGTTATCCTTCTCTTTCAAGGAAACAAATTTTTTTTTTCTTATTTTATTCTAATTAATTATATTTAAAATTTTCTATCTTTAAACTTTTTACGAGTATTTATACAGAATCTTTTATATGAATTTAACATTGTTTGAAATTTATAGCTATTTTTCTTCTAAATATTTTTTCAGCAAATTCAACTTTTTAATAAAAAAAAGTCAATTTAACAACATTTTTCAAGGGATGAGATGAAATATTAGAGGATTATACTTTTTCAACTAGACGTATTGAATATGTAATTGTTTTATCTCAAAAATTTGTGAGGCGTAAATCTGAATTAATCGGTTTTAATAGATTTCAAACAATGAACGGTTGAAAATGAAAAGGAAAAAAAAAAAAAAATCTATCCACAAATAGCTTTGAAGGTGACAAAAATGATTGCACTTATCACCTACCCTAACCATGTAATAGTAAAAAAGTTCGAGCGTGAAAGGTGGTTCATGCTCCAACCATGAATCTAGTCTAGACATTAAAATGTCAAAATTTGATATTAAGAAGTCACCCGCATGTGAAGTGAGAAAAAATTTTTGGTTGTTTAGGCACGTTCAACACGTGTGGACATGGACTCTAGTTGGCTTCTTCCAATGATGTTCACTTATTTTACTATAACAACTGGTTACCAGTCACCTGCTAAATTTGGGGAAGATGCCGAGTAGGGTTTGGTATTCACGTGAATGGCACGCTTCTTCCTTGCTCCACCCTTTATGTCCGTTGCACCATTTTACATTATCCACACTTCTCAAATCACAAGCACACATTTTGTTTGCGGTTGGGAAGGTCAATTTCACCTATTGATGTTTTCAATAATTAAACATTATTGTCATTAAAATTTAATTTTTACCTGAATAAATTACTTTTTTTTCCTATCCGAAATAAAGTAGTTAATGTTGTTAAATTTGTATAAAACCTATATTGTTGATATATATATATTTTTTTTAATGCAAAAGAGCGAGTGATCTTTAGGAAATAATTCTTATCACCAATTTGAAGAGTGAAAGATATCGGATTCGAATTCTTTTAATTATTAGTGTTTTCACTAATTTGGTGAATTAAGAAGAGAGTTACTCTTGTCGTATAACCTGCAATATTATTTCAGTCAATTGAATCATCCAATAAATTAAAAAAATTCATAAAGTATAATTATAAATAATATTACATATTGACCATGTTGAATTTACTTCTTAGTTCAATTACAAAATACATACATTATTTACATTATTTTATAAATAAATATTTGGCTCGAAATCGAATTCCAGTTACCAAATACACGTGCTAAGATACAATAAATTGGTCGGCCATTATGACGATGCGAAATTTGTTGTTGAAAGTCAAAATAAATTATATTATTGATTAATTTAATATATCGATTAGGTTTAATTTAATTTGTATTATTATTTTTAAATAGAAGAAATTTAGACGTCATTTATTGAAACAACAAATACAGGATAGATAGGAAACAATTTTGTTATTCAGTGACACAGTTAATTGTTAATTTTGATCAAATTGTTAAAAGTACAAAATTTGATTATTTATTTTCAAAATTATGGAATATAAATTCTATAAAAATGAATAATAGATATTTTATTTTATAAATATTTATTTTTTATTTTTTCATATTTCACAAGTTAAACAAGAGTTAATTTCTTTCAAAAAAAAAAAAAGAGTTAATTTATAATTTAATTTCAACTATAAGACTTGGTGCGTAATGCTTTGACCACTGACCAAGGATCCCACCAACAATATCGCAACCATGCCGCCGAGTAAGCAATTTGGTAAAAGCCGCTGGGAACCTGCAAGGACGTTAACACAGTAATTTGTAATACTCTATCGTTTAATATAAACGGATTAAAGATTAGGTCAAAAGTTAATCAAATTTAATTAATTTAATTTGATTAATTTTTAAAACTATATCATTTTAATTAAGTAAATAATAAAAATTAAAAAAATTTCAGCTAATTCTTTTATAACTTTTAACGATTTTTCCATAAAAAATATAACTTTTAATGATTTTGATTAATTTTTATTTCGATTAAAGTCAATTAATTACATATTTTGATTAGTTAATTTGATTTATATTTTTTTTAATTTTGCATGGTTAATAATTGAAATTAATTTAATCAAAATAATTCGGCTAAATTCTATAAAAAACTAATTGAGTTAATTTTAATTAACTTATTTTAGTTAAAAATATTATTTATTTAACCGAATGCTCAACCTTAAAAGGTGACCAGACAAAAAATAAAAGACAAAAGTATATTTATAAAAGTATAAAAACAATTTAACATATTATGGGAAAAATATAGGGATATCACAATCATAATTTTAACAAATTACATGAATAAAATAATAATTTTTAATAAAAAATATTTAAACTTGACAAAAAGATATATGAATATACCGGAATTAAAAAATAAAAATACAACTATGTATTTCTGAAAAAGAGAAAATAATATAATATTATATATTATAATAAAATATAAAGATAAAATCCTAATTTTACTTTGCTAATTTCACATATTATCAAACGTGGACACACGCCAAACACGTTAGACCAAATTCATAAAAGCTGAGATATTAAATCTTGTCACGTTCTTCTCACAAAGACGCACAAACGCCCTCCCGGTTCACGTTAGAGTCACGTGCTATTCACGAGCTTTTTGACTATTTTTTTATGTGTTTTCAGTTTCACCTTCTTTTTATTTGTTTATTTGCTTGTTGTATTGAATCGAGGACAGATGAGATTTCGACACGTATCATACAGGCCCACCACGAAAAGCACGTGGGACGCGTGTGCAGTGTTAAACGTGTATATTGTGCAATTGATTGATAAGAACCGCCCAAAACGCGTGACTGTAGAGCTGTCGTCGCGTGATAAATGATTTTTTTTGAATATCGTAAGGGCTGATGTTTACGCTAGCATTAGCACGTGGACGACGATCCCCGATTACCATAAGACAATCACGCAGGTCAAATTGTCCGTGTCAAACACGCTCTTCTAAAAGCAAATGCTATTATGTACTACGATTTCTTTTCATTCAAGAAAGAAAAGTGAGGTAAATAAAATTGGTTGAGGGGGGAATGGTAATTTTTCTTATCTCAAACCAGCGTTTGAATCGACTCTAACATTTTATTTGGGATTGGAGCGATTCTATGAACCGAAAAAGAATATTCCCTACTCTAGTTTTGTTCGCGTGTTATCTCTTTTTAGATGTGCTAAAAATATTTATAAATTTTTAAATTTAGATGTGTAAATAATTATCTTTTTCATAATAATTTTTACGATTGTTCGTTAAATGAATAATTTTTATTAATATCTTAATGAGTTAAATGTGAAAAAAAGTAAAATATTTTTTATTGATTAAATTATTAACATGCGTGTTTTTTCAAACCATGGAAACAAAAGAATGAAAATGATAATCTAAGGTAACCTTTTCTTATTTCGAATATAAATGTAAAATTTTAAAGGAATGAAAATTAAAGATAATGAAATTACAAAAATAACTCTGCAACAACCTCTTTATACTACTTATATAAAATGCTGCTATTTTTAGAAAATTAAATAATTTGGGCCTTCCAAACAAAAGAAAATAGTGTTACTTTTCTTTCTCGTTTTCTATTTTCCATTCAATTTAAACAAACAATAAAAATAAATAGTACAGTTTTTCATTATTTTTCCTCCTTATTATCTTTCATTTTCTTTCCAAACACAGTTTTTCATTACTTTCCTTTACTTGGTCGCGCTTGGGTGCTTAAGAAATTTCATGATAGCTAGACACAATCGAGTGTCAATTGCAAGCTCTGTGGGCCGTTGGATAAGTTTGTTCTTGTCAGTATCATCACCTAAAAGGAATTCTCTGTGCCTCCCAATCAACCCAACATTCATTAGCACTTTAATTTTGAAATTTACAACCTCATAATTTGAAAATCGCCATGAAATCGACTTTATTTAAGTATTTTTCATATATATATATATATATATCATATTTGGTCTAATCAAAATTTAAATAAAGTCTTTTCAATAAAGACAATTTTAAGTTTTGAATTTTAATTTTATAGGTAAAATTTATTGGGATGAAAATTTTATTTAATTTAAATCTTGCTAAGAGAACTAATGGCTTTATAACTTTGTTACAAAGTAATGTGAGTAAAAAAAAAATAATTAAAGAATAGAATAAGAGGATCTTTGGCTTGGCAATCTCTTTCAACTTTTGTTTGCCTTTGATTCTACTCAATTAGGGGGACAAATGCAACGATTAACGAATAAAAAAGAAGTCGATAATCTTCATTAACTTTTTCAATCTTAAAAAACCTCAAACTTATCAAATTTGTGGGTTTTATAGTTTTCTTTTTTTGGTTAAACCGCGAACATCATGATGCACCAACAAGAAGGAACGGTGAATATTGGCATGTGACTTTAACCAACCCGATCAATAACAAATAGGACCCACTTCGGTCAACCTAGTTTACTTTCTTGACCGGAGCTTATATCCTGTACTATAATGTACCTGATTCTAAATTTAATTACTGAGTAAATTAAAATTAATCTCTATTCATCCGGCATCTACAAGGAATAATATAACTGGTAAAGGAACGGCCAAAAGCTGCTGTGCAAATCGACTAGAAGAAAATAAAAAGAAAACTGTCAAATTATATCTATAATTATTACTTTAAATAGAGCATAATTAATATTTTTTTTATGGGCCTCTTAGATTGTATAATTATTTATTTTCCTTACATATTACATTTATTTACAATGTGAGATTATTAAAAATAAAGATTTTAAGAAATTTCATACATAATTTTTTGATTATTCTATATTGTGAGCTTTAAGTATTAGAACTTCTACAACCCTATTATTCAATTCAAGACTGCATTATATATTTTGATTAGTACAAGGTTCAAGAATAACAGTTAGTAGCTGTGTAGCTGATAGATAGCATACAACTACCAAATTTTAATTTCAAACTAAAATTCAACTAACTAGTTAATTCTTCTTTCTTTTACATAGTATTTAAAAAAACAGGAAAAAATGATTTTTTTTTTTTATATTTAGAATATTAAAAATTGAATTTTTAATTTTAAAAATATAGTATAAAATTATTAATAATAATATGAAAATATACCAAATATCCTCCAGGTTTATCGCGCACATCAGGAGGTGTGAACTTTGGAAGAGATAAGTCAGCCTGGTCATTAGGTGTAAAGATTTGCTGAGGCCTTTCTCTCTTTACTAAATAAGTAAAAACAAAAACCAAAAAAAAAACACCAGTTCAAAGAACGTGCTTTATCTAAAAAAAATTACTGATGATGTGTAAGGCACAGGAAGTTCCAAGTCTGTACTGTTACGGCTTTAATTAGACCAACAAACAAACCACACACAAAATCGTTGCCAATGCCGACTACTTCTCAACAGCCAACAATTTTTTTTTTTTTTTTTTTTTTTTAATAAAAAATAAAAGATTTTTTAAAGGAAAATTCAATACATAATTTTTTTGATATTCTATATTGTTGAGCTTTAGTATATAGGAAACTTTCTTTACAACTCCCTATTATTCAAATTTCAAGACTGCATTATATATTTTGGATCTAAGTACAAGGTTCAAGAATAAAAAACAGTTAGTTAGCTGTGTAGCTTGTAAGATAGCATACAAACTTTACCCAAATTTTAATTTTCAAACTAAAATTCAAACTTAACTAGTTAATTCTTCTTTTCTTTTACCATCAAGTTATTTTAAAAAAACAGGAAAAATGATTTTTTTTTTTTTATATTCTTAAAGGAATATTTAAAAATTTTGGAATTTTTAAATTTTTTAAAAATTATAAGTATAAAATTATTAATAAATTAATATGAAATATTTACCAAAATATTCCTCCAGTTTTTATTCGCGGCACAATCCAGGGAGGTGTTGAACTTTGGAAAGAGATTAAAGGGTTCAAGTGCTGGTCCATTAGGTTGTAAAAATTTGCTTGAGGGGCCCTTTCTCTTCTTTTTATAAATTAAGTAAAAAACAAAAACCAAAAAAAAAATACAACCAGTTTTTCAAAGGAAACGTGCTTTATTCTAAAAAAAATTATGTTGATGTGGTAAGGCACAGGAAGTTCCAAAGTCATGTTTTTACTTTACGGCTTTTAATTAGACCAACAAACAAACCCACCACACAAAATTTTCGTTGCCAATGCCGGGACTACTTTCTTCAAAACAGGGGCAACCAATTTTTTTTTTTTTTTTTTTTTTGTTTTACATCTAAGGATCTTTTTCTTAAATTTCGGGTTTTTATACGTGGTTACTTTATACCACCTAGATTTTACTTAACCATGGTAACGGTAAAGCAGTTAGGGAGCTGAAAAGCGCAGCACAAGAAAACAAACCCATTTCCGTTCTTTTCTCTACTCCATTCTCCTTCTCCCCTTTCTCCTCTATCAACTTCAAAACCCTTCCAACTTTGCCCGAAAGGAGAGGAAAAAGGCTTTTTTTTTTTTTTTTTTTTTGTTTACTATCTAGGTATTTTCTTAATCAGGGTTTTATACCGTGGTTACTTTATACACCTAGTATTACTTAACCATGGTTAACGTAAGCAGTTAAGGAGTAGAGCGCAGCACAGAACAAACCCATTCCGTTCTTTCTCTCTCCATCTCCTTCTCCCTCTCCCTCTATCAACTCAACCTCCAAACTTTGCCCGAAAGAGAGAAAAAAGCCTTTTTCCCATTCCTTATTGTTTGTGTAGTTAACAGATTGTTTGCTTTCCGGAAAACTTATTCTGCAACTCAACTGTTACTTTCCCCGGAAAATTTACAGAACCTCAGCGAATATCATTCCGCTACCTTACCCGACTATTGTCTCATGATCCCTGTTTGCTTGCTTTAACTGGTGTGTATAATTATCTTCCAATTCATTCCCTCTTTGCATTAATTTTAGTTTATTATTTTTAGGCTTTCTTTGTAACTTATCTCTACTGTTCTTGAGATCTGAAATTATCTAGTCGGTATTGTTCAAGAGAAACCATGGGGGCGAATTTTTTATCGTTGAATGCATTAGATTTTAGTCTCTAGCTAAATAATCTTTCGTTCCCCCTCGTTATTTTCGGGGGTTTAGTACTAAGATTCGATTTGGGTATCAAAATTTTGAGTCTTTTTGATTAGTGGGTAACTTTCATTCTGGGGTTTAGAAATGAAGATTGAGATAGGCATGGGAGGTGGGGTATGGAACGACGAAGATAGGGCCATGGTTGCAGCTGTTTTGGGCACAAAGGCTTTCAATTATTTGGTAACAAACACAGTCTCAAATGAGAATCTTTTAATGGCTATAGGCAGCGACGAGAATTTACAAAACAAGCTCTCGGATCTCGTGGACATCCCCAACGCTTCAAATTTTAGCTGGAACTATGCGATATTTTGGCAGATTTCCTACTCCAAATCCGGTGATTGGGTCCTGGGTTGGGGAGACGGCTCCTGCCGGGAGCCCAAAGAAGGGGAAGAATCTGAAGCCACTAGAATTCTCAAGTTACGCTTTGAAGATGAGACCCAACAAAGGATGAGAAAGAGAGTTCTTCAAAAGCTGCATACATTGTCTGGTGAATCAGATGAGGATAATTATGCTTTGGGATTGGACAGGGTTACTGATACTGAGATGTTCTTTTTAGCATCCATGTATTTTTCGTTTCCTAGCGGAGAAGGTGGTCCAGGCAAATGTTTTGCATCTGGTAAGCACTTGTGGATCACTAATGCTTTGAAGTCAGGGTCTGATTATTGTGTGAGGTCTTTTCTTGCAAAGTCTGCAGGGATTCAGACCATTGTGTTGGTGGCTACTGATGTAGGAGTTGTTGAATTGGGGTCTGTGAGATCCATTCCTGAGACTATTGAGATGGTTCAGTCAATAAGGTTAACCTTTTCCACTCATAATTCTGTTATCAGGTCAAAACCATTGGTGCCAGCAGCTGCACCGGTTTTGCCAGTGGTTAATGAGAAGAAAGATGAAAATTCCCTGTTTTCCAATGTGGGAATAGTGGAGAGAGTTGAAGGAATGCCCAAGATTTTTGGGCAGGATTTGAACAACTCGAGTCATGGCCACGGACATGGTTTTAGAGAGAAACTAGCTGTTAGGAAGATGGAGGAGAGGCCATCATGGGATGTTTATCAAAATGGGAATAGGCTTGCATTTCCAGGCACTCGTAATGGCCATCACGGTTCAAGTTGGCCACATAGTCTTGGTTTGAAACAAGGGAGTCCTTCGCAAACCACAGCAAATAATCTACATGAACTTGTTAATGGGGTAAGAGAAGAGTTTAGGCTGAATCACTATCAGCCACAGAAGCAGGTGCAAATGCAAATTGATTTTTCAGGACCTTCCGTGATAGGGCGGCCAGTTAGTGTAGAATCAGAGCACTCAGATGTTGAAGCTTCGTGTAAAGAAGAGCAGCCTAGCACGGTTGATGATAGGAGGCCTCGAAAACGAGGCAGGAAGCCAGCAAATGGAAGAGAAGAGCCCCTCAATCATGTCGAGGCTGAGAGGCAGCGACGGGAGAAGCTAAACCAGCGATTCTATGCTTTACGAGCTGTTGTGCCGAATATTTCCAAGATGGACAAGGCTTCCTTGTTGGGGGATGCTATTTCTTATATCAATGAGCTTCAAGCGAAGCTAAAGTTAATGGAAGCAGAGAGGGAAAAATTTGGGAGCAGCTCAAGAGATGCGTCAACTTTGGAGGCTAATTCAAACATGAAAAATCATAGCCAAGCTCCGGAAGTCGACATTCAAGCATCGCATGATGAGGTTATTGTGAGGATAAGCTGCCCTCTGGATTCCCATCCGGCATCAAGAGTGATCCAAGCATTGAAAGACGCACAGATCAATGTAGTTGACTCGAAACTTGCTGCAGCAAATGACACAGTTTTTCATACATTTGTGATCAAGTCTCAAGGATCTGAGCAAATTACAAAGGAAAAGCTTATGGCAGCATTTTCGCACGAGTCCAATTCATTACAGCAATTATCACCGATTGGGTAGCACAACAATCTGTCAGTTAACGATCATTAGTCCATAGGTGTATTGGTAGTGAAGAACTCTTTTGAAAGCTTCTTCAGAGTTTTTTGATACATGGGAAGGCATCATCCATGAGGCCAACTAGAAGTAGAAAATAACTACCTATTAACCAAGTAGGGTAGCGGAATTTCTGTGATTGTTTATAGTATACATTCTGTCATAAGGGAAGTATTCATGCAATGCAATGCAAGATCAATTAAATTTGTAAGTTTTAACCAACGCTATCCCATTGTTGGTTGTGAAGAACTGATATATTTGTTTTGTCCTTAATGTTTATCTGTGTAATTCTTTTGTTCTTTGCTAAATTATTATGGCTTCACCTATAATTTTTATTTATGTTCTTTGTGCTTCTCTTTCTTGCTTCCTTATCCTCAGCTCGGCAATTTTATTTATTTAAACATTAGAGTCTACTTTTGAAAATATTGTTAGAGTAGTCAATTTTTTTTTTTTTTTTTTTTTGGTTTGCTTCTCTTTTCTTGCTTCCTTATCCTCAGCTCGGCAATTTTATTATATTTAAACTTTTAGGAGGTCTTACTTTTGAAAATATTGTTTAGAAAGTAGATTCAATTTTTTTTTTTTTTTTTTTAATAAGCTTCTAATTTTTTTTTTTTTTTTTTTTTTAATAGCTCTAATGCCCCTCACCGATTCTGTCTCTATCAAATGATTTTCACGTTTTTTGGTTCATGATTTTCACATGTTCCTTGTTAGATTCCTTTTGGGAAACTCATTTTTGTGCACTAAAAACTTGTTCATTGAATATGACCTCAATTATTTTTGCTTAACGAATTGCATTTGCAGCTAATGAACGCTTCTTTAGATGGCAATGAATAGATACTGTTCTGAAAGTCGAGGGCAGGGCATCCCTTTTATTTTCTAGGAAGCACTCTGTCCATCCACCCTTCTTACCAAGGAGGAAGATGTTGGATTAATAAGAGAATGACGACAGAAAATAGGAATATTAAGGGATAAGAAAAATCAAAGTGTGGTCCAATGGAAATAAATATAAAATTTTTTTTAAAAAAAAAAAATCCGTGACTCTGATTGGATTTGGAGCAATGCATAAAAATAAGTATGACAAAAGTCAAGTGGGTGCGGGTGCATGGTCATGCGTATTGTGTAGCCCTTAAATTAAAGCTAAAGTCAGGAGTTTGAAATTTTGTATTCCATAAAGTGTGACAATAACATAATGCATTTTGGTGTTTCATCAAATCTCACTCGTGTCTAATTAGTCTACACACACGAGTTTCAACTCTTCTGCGTGTTCAATAATTATTTTCACTTTTTCCTTTTTCCAATAAAAATAGTGCATGCTCATGCTCTATAAAAACCACTACTAAAATACCAATTGATTGAATTTTAAAATAAATCGAGACTATCATTTATTTTTTTCAAAAATAATAATATACTTTAGTTTTAATATTTTCCTTCATTTTTTATTTGTTTAATATAATTTTCTATCTTTGCCTAGTTTTATAGATTAAAAATCGGTGAAAAATAAATAATAATTGTCTTGTTTATACTTTGATTTGAAAATTTAAATAGTATAATAAATAAATTACATAATGTATACAGGAGCTTCTTGAATATAGCGATTACATGTTGAATGAGAAAGGAAAAAAAAAAAAAAAAAACAAAGTGTGAATGAAACTTTAGAGGGTCGTTGAATGAGACATAAGAACAAAACCTCGTGGTCCTGTGGGCTGTGGCACTGGCTGGCGCTCTCTCTCTCTCTCTCTCTCTGGCTGCGCTCTCTCTCTCTCTCTCTCTCTCTCTCTCTCTCTCTCTCCTCTCGCTGCCACGGTACATTGTTCTAAATGTTATATTTAAACAGACTCTCTCTCTCTCTCTCTCTCTCTCTCTCTCTCTCTCTCTCGCTGCACGGTACATGTTCTAAATGTTATATTTAAACAGATTAATTTCATATTTAATTTTTTATACGAGTGTTTATAACGTTTGTATTATTATTAACTAATTATATTTTTTAAAAAATATTTAAAATTTTAATATAATTCATTTGGGTTTGATTTGTTATAACAATAGTAAAAAATGTTCTACGTGTGTGTTAATCGCAGATATTTTTCAAAAAATACAATGTGATTCTTCAATGGAAGGTATGATTGGTTGCGTACCACAATAATTGGGTCCCCTGTGTTGTACGCGATACTTAAGAATTTGACCTACCTTGCCAAATGCTGTTGGGTTAAGGCGGAGGGAACGCCATGCATGCAAATATATAAAGTACAGCTATTATTTTACCAAAAAATTAAAAAATAAAAAAGAACCATTTCTCATAAATTGTTAAAAAGTATTACAAAATACTAGTATCCGAGACCATTATTTTGTAATTTAATAATTTTACAATTTTTAATAAGTATTGTCAGATATTAACAATCAAAATTATTTTTTAATTTGGTAAAATTAGATAATATGATTTACATCATGTCATCCTATAAAAATTCACTAGGTAAATATTTTTGACTTGTCAAAAGTAAAATAAGAAAATATATAATTAAACTCTCGACCTTTAACAAAGTCATTCCTAATTTTTATATTTTTAAAAATGACTTTATGATTTTTTTTTTTTGACCTTATGATTTTTTAAACCTCATTTTTTAGTTCGCGTGTTTCTGTGAATTTCATTTTTCTATATTTATGATATCATAAAATTGATTCACTTTTAATATAGAAGTGTAATATTATTATAAAAAATAAAATTTAAAATAATTATAAAGTCAAAAAAATAAAATTTAAGAGATCAAAAGATGATTCAGGACTTAAATATGTATCCGATCGAATTAAAATCGATGGGAGTCATATTTTTCTCACTGACAGAGAAATTATTATTAACATCAACGTCTAACTAGCGCGTGTATCGACGTGCTAATGAAAACATAAATAAGACTGTTTAAGCAGTGGGTCCCATCTTACACGTTCATAGAATTAACGCACCTAAAACAATGAATGAGCTTATATGGGTAGGCCCACACACCAAATATAAATAATATTTTATAAACAAAATTCAAGAGTTTTAAAATTTTAAACCTCTCAAATATTCTACCAAAATATCTTTTCTAACTTTCCCTCAGAAACCCCCCAAAAAACTCTTCATCCAAGAAGGCTCTAAGCAGCGGACAGTGAAAGAGGCGTCTCTGATTTTCATCAATCACAGCATGTCTGGACCCATCTTCCAGGTTTTTTATATATATATTTTTTTCACTTCTCATTTCTGTTATTTAGAATATTTTTTAGGGTTCTGATGTCACTAATGAAAACTTTACTTATTGATTTTATTTTATTTTTTTTAAAGAAGCCAAACTCAATTCTCTATTTGAATTTCAAGATATTTTAATTTTCACCCAAGTTGAAGCTATTCAAATGTAGAATTAGTAAAAGAAGTTCAGATTGCTTTTGTACAAAACCCATTTTTGAAAATTGTATTTCACTTTCGTTTCTGCTTTCTAGAGTATGCTAAAGCTTAGTCTTTGAATTCAATTCCTTATACATTGATCCGATAACAAGTATCTTTGAATTGCAGATTGTTGTGTATGTATATATTTGTCGTTTTGATAGTTTTCTTAATTTTATTCCTTATGTACATAGAGAGTAAGATATTTTTTGGTCCTAATGAGTTCTGTACTATTTTGTGCAAACATAAATGTTCAGTTTACTCCCATGAATTGAATATTATATAATCCAACTTAACTACACTAAATTTTGTCATTTGCAAAGGAAAGATTAAGTTATTGGAGTACCCTGCTTACTAAATGGAGGCTATAATTTTTTTGAGATTTCTGGAAGCTTTTGATTTGCTTTAATCTGACCTTGAACTGGCTTGTTCAATGATTTGAGTAGTAATCAGCGAGCAAGAATTGATTGTTGATAAGTTCATTTTTAATGGTAAACTTTTCAGGATGATTTTGAGAGCTTGAAGAAAGATATCAAAAGGCATGAAGATAACCTAAAATTTTTGAAGTCACAGGCAAATCTTGTAGATGAATCGATACTTGATCTTCAAGGTATGTTCCTTTCCCTTTTCTGTGATGGTGGTAATTTCTTCAATTTGAATGCATGTGATGTGATGGTTATAGATATTATTCTGTCACTTGGCTGCTGACACGGTTTTCAGTGAGTCTTGGGAAGTATCATTCACTAAATACACCTAAAGCAGCAAGAAAGAATGGGGGGTTTCAAAGTGAGGAAGAAACAGCAAAACAAATACTAAAACAAGAGATAACAGCAGCTGCAATATGGTGGCAACTAAAATCTCATCATGCAATAGCGCTTTCAGATTTGCCAATGACCAAGGATGTGTTAGGTGTTGTGGCAACTCTTGCCAGTGTTGATAATGACAATCTAAACAGGTCAGTAGCTTTTCAATCTCTTGAATTTTATTCTTTCATTTGATCGCAGGAGAGGCCCTCTTCGTTTTGTCAAAAACATCTCAATCCAAAACTTCAGTATGTTCGACAGCAAGCATACACTATTAAGTAATAACTATCCTTCATCACATATTATATATGATGGATAAGATGAATTGAGATAATCTGCAGGAAATTATGCACATTGCACAAGCTATCATAGAGCCATTTGTGGGGTTTCCAGAATTGTGAATGTCTTCATTGTCCTGATAGAATTTCAACTGCACTAGTCATCTTAGTGAACTAAAACTCACCAATAGTAGTGAACCTTCACTTTTCATGTAATTTGTTTTTCTTTTTGTAACTTTGAACCAGGCTTCTCTCAGAGTACTTGGGTTTGGAGACAATGCTGGCAATAGTCTGTAAGACATTTGAGGGTGTTAAGGCTTTAGAGACATATGATGCGGAAGGCAAAATAAACAGCAATATTGGTCTACATGGCCTAGGATCTTCAATTGGGAGGAAAATTAATGGCCGATTTCTCGTCATTTGCCTTGAACATTTGAGGCAAGAATCCTGTTCCGTATTTTTGTTATCTTTATCTATGCACTTAATCATATATATAGATGTTTGACTATAGCTTGTTAACAGGCCATATGCTGGCGGTTTTATAGCTAATGATCCGCAAAGGAAGCTTTCTATTGAAATGCCAAGGCTACCAGATGGGATTTGTCCAACCGGTTTTCTTGGTTTTGCTGTTAACATGGTCAATCTGGAAAACGCTAATCTGCTTCTTGTCACTGCCAATGGACATGGCCTTAGAGAGACACTACTTTATACTATATTTTCTCACCTTCAAGTATATAGAAGCAGATCCGAAATGCTACTTGCTCTCCCATGCATAACTCATGGAGCCGTATCTTTGGATGGTGCGATGATAAGAGGAAACGGTTTCTTTGCTCTTGGCAATAGGCAAGTCTTGAGTTAAATTCCTTTTAAGGCATGGACCATTGAGTTCATCTTTTTTTTTTTTCTTTTTCTTTCTTTCTTTGAATTGGATTTCAATTTCAATTGTTTTAAATGCTCTTTTATCTTGTTTTTCTATTTCTCGTTGATATTTTTCTTTACTATCAACATCTGCTTTTAGGAATGATGCAGAGGTGAAATTCCCAGTAATTTCTAGCAAAGGTAATTTACCTACAAACTACACTCAAATTGAATATAAGATCAAGATGTTAAAACGGGAACATCTGACTATTGCTGAGGATATGCGAAGAGAACAGTCATTGTTGGACAAGACAAAGGTTCAGCTTGCTTCATGGGGCAAGCCTAAGAAGAAAAATTGCTAAATGTAAAGAGAAGTTGTTGCATCACCTTCATTTTTTGGATGGCAGGAAATTATTTATCTGCATTTATAGCTTTGTAAATTTCACTGGTAGCTAGTTTGCTGGAGGTTCTTCGAGTGTATAGTCATTGGCTCAAACTTTTTTTTTTCTTTTTTTTTTTTTTTTTTTATTTCGTCAGTGTTCGATCCTTCTCCTTTTGTGTTTTTGCGTATTACTTGTTATTATGATATACTGTGCCGAAGCGTAAAGCGTTTGGAGGGCTGGAATACAGTCAGAGTTTCGGAGATAAGGGACTCATCTGGTTTCGTGGATCGTTAGAAGCAGGAAATATGGAAGTTCGGGACTTAGGGTTTTCGGCGCCTTTCAGAGATTTTGGGATATATAATGAATAAGATATGAAAGAGAAAGGTTATATGGCAGAGATTTAGTGAAAGGTAGGGTTATAGAAATTAGATAAGAGGAATAAGAAGGAAATAACAGAGAAAATAAAAGAGTAAAAAATCAGTGAAATAAAGCAGAGCTCAGCTCTCTCGAAACTCGCTGAAGAGGAATAGCTAAAACAACAGTTCTAGTGCGCTCGTATTTCTAAATAGCGCCCGGCCTCTCGTAAAAGTGTTTGATTTATGGGTACGCCTGTATAGGTTGAGGTCATTAAAATCCGCTCATCTCTCGTGTACCTCACGTGGTTCTCTCTATAACCTCTTACGCTCTCTGCTATTTCCCCTGTTTCATCTCTATCCATCTCTCATCCATCATTCACTGACTTGCTCCGTTCTTGTTTGTTTCGCCACCTATATGCCTTTTACGGTTGTAAGAGACAATAGGGCTTGCGTACTCTAAGGAAAACATACATAAAGATCCAACATATTCATCTTACCTGTGACCACACATATTGTTGGTCAAGGACATTTACAATCCTATGGAAAAATTTTCTATATTTTATTTATTGTCAAATATATTTACTTTCAGATATATTCATATATATGATATCTTTGCATAGTGAATTTTTGAATAAATTATATTAGCGCAAGCTAATAAAGTTTATAAATATAAGAATTAAGTAATTTAATTTTTTAATCTAGGTTGAGTACTAGAGCGGGCTTTATAAACTGATGCGTTCACTTCTCATTAGCCAAGCGCATATTAACATTGACGGATTTTAATTTCTAGACAACAGCTCTCAATTATATACGAACTATTATCAATTAAATAACAAAAATCTTGGCCCTCTTTAGCAGACATTACAGGCAGTACTACATTCACGACCAGATACTCCATCCTCTTAGAAAAAAACCGTCAAACAGATTGCGCGCAAAGGTATCCCACAAGCGCAATGCAGAGCTTGCAGAATGAAGCATCGCCATTTTATTTATGGATGTATTACTTGGAGATGGCCCCCAAGGTCACACAACACACGGAGGCCCGTCGAAATTGATAAAAATCAAGTCTTGTTGACTATCAACTACTGCGACAGAAGGTGTCAATCTCCCAACTTCAGAGATCAAAAATTGGAAGAAAAATATTAATAACTTGGTATTGAGTGCCATACTGCTTGATATATCCCCCACCCTTTCCAGCCTCCGACAGTCTGGTTTATATGTGATTGTGGGAAATGAAGTCCATAACCAGACCAACAGATACACTATTTACTCCCTTGTGCATTGGACATGCAAATCGCTAGTGTGTTATATTCGTAGCAAAAGAGCCCATCACAAAAACTACTAACCATTACGAAATTCACTAACTTCATGCAAGAACGTATTTGGTTGTGTATTTCCTTCCTTATCCCACATGACACTTTCCTTTTGAAACATGACCCTTATAATGGGTAATTGAATCTTTATATGTTATTTAGCATATATTTATCTTGTTATTACATTGCTTTTTTTGGGTTACAAATGAGTTTTTCGATCATTATTAAGACATTTCTATCCTTTATAGTCAAAACTTATCTATATCTTATCGGGGAAGGACACAATAGATTGAGGATTTTAGAGACACACATATATATGCTCCACTATCTTCTCATACTATCATTAAGGAGGTGGAACTAAATCGAGGGGATTATATTTGGTCAGGCGAAGCCCTGAAAATCTGCCTTGTTGTATTTAGATTCTAGTGGTTGTCAACTCTACAAATCCAATCCAACTGGTTTCCTCTGTCCTATTTCCCCTAGTACACAAAATTCCTATATTTATATATAGTTTCTCTGGTCTTTTACAAAATTCATGTAATCAATCTTATCATATGAGACCTAAGATTCTCCTTAAAGTCATTCTTGAGGAGTCTTATTTATGTGAAAATTTTTGAAATTCAAAGCAATAAAGAATCGTTATGGAGCTCTCTCTCTCTCTCTCTCTCTCTCTCTCTCTCTCTCTCTCTCTCTCTCTCTCTTTTCAGATTTGCTTAGTTAAAAAATAGCTTGTTTGGTTGAATTAAATTCCACGAAATTTGGCAAGATTCAATTGAATTCTATATTTTATATGGAAATTGAAACGATTATATATACCAAGCATAAATAAAAATAATGAATAGTGTTTCTTGCTGGATAACTGATGGTTCACTTCTCATTAGCCAGCGCATCTGATTTATCTGACACTCATTTATCGACTTGCAATAAATTGCCTTCGATTCAGCGTCCTTCGACCAGATCCCCCTAAAAACCGTACGTGCGGGTCTCCCCGCATGCAGCTCACGCCATTGGAGGTGGCCCAGCCCAGCGTCAATTGAAATAACTTTATCATCTGCGTGTTCATCCAATCAGTCAAAAATGATTAATCTGTGGCCATGTTTCCCTTCAGCGGTGATGCAACAGATACATATTTCCTTGCTGGTTGCTGTACTGCAAAAGATCCATAAACTACATCAATTCACTACTCAAGAGTGTTCTGCCCTGCCTTCTGAAACTGCAGGTGCAGATGAATTCTCCTTGTCAAGTTTCTCATTAGCTTCCTTGTCAAACTTCTTACTACGACAATGTTTAGAGATATGCCCCTTCTTCCCACAAGAGTAGCAGACCAATCCCTTGTTGTCCATCTCTGTTTCTCGTCTCCTGCCATTAAATCCTGGCTTCTTCATATCTTTCATCCTTGGTCCTAGATTCTTGGTATGATTAAAGCATGCAGAGTTGGATGGCTCCGCTTGCTTGTCTTGGTTGCGAGACTCATCCTCCACCCTTACACGATCCATCAACATCCAAAAAGGCAGATACTCCTCACACATTAACTTCATGCAAAAATCCTTCCAAGACGGCGGAAGCTTGGAAATAATGGCACTTACATGAAATTTCTCATCAATGAAAATTCCGGTAGCAACAATCGAATCTGCAATGCTATTAAGTTCTTGAACTTGATCAAGAATTGGTTTTTCTTCTACCATCTGAAATTCAATGTACTTTTTAACATGAGATCTCTTTTTCCCAAACTCCTCATAAAGATAAACTAATTTTAGCTCTTCCCATAGTTCTTTAGCGCTCTTGGCATTCTTTGAATACTGATAATAAAGAGCATCAGATAGAGAAGCCAAGATGTTACGGCGACACATATAGTCATCATTAAGCCACTTCTGCTCAACGGCTTTGGCTTGAGCAATGCCTTCAGCACTTGCTTCTGGTTTCATAGCACTACTAGGGCATGGATTAGTCAGCACATATGCAATATTTAATTGCTTTAAGAACAATTCCATCTGGGGTGCCCAACACTGATAATTCTTCCCATCGAAACGGTTAATCTCAATAGGAAAAAGTTCATGAACAGAAGAAGCAATCCCAGAATCAGAAACCTGGCCATTAAGTTCATGAGTAGAATTAGTCACTGATTTAGAGAACTGTCCATTCAGTTCATGATGCGCAGAAGCTGTCGCAAAATTAGAGGCTTGTCCATTAAGTTCATTAGTAGAGACAGTCACCACATCAGATACGCGTCCATTAATTTCGCTAGTACAAGCCGTCACCACATTAGAGATTTGATCATTTTTTTCATCATGAGATTCAGATCTGCAGAGTATACATGGAACAAATTGTCCAAGTCAATAATGAATTCAGGTATATGCTTTCTGACTAAAAAGTAATACTTTAGGGAAGCAGGCAATGTATGACAACCTATGATCAGAAAAGTATTGCATTTACATTGAGTGATCATCTATGGTTAAAACAACCTCAAAATCCTAGTTTCATGAAGTAATGCAGCTTGCCTTCTTTATGTTAATTTTATAGGCTTCAAACATGCTAAATCACAACTTTTTTCAAAATTCAAATATTATCAGAATAGTCTCACCTTAATTTTGATTGCATCTTTACAATAGCATCTTCTATTAAAGGGACACTCTTCCTGAATACTGACCATTGTTCAGCTGTCAAGCAAATTCCTGAAAATATAGCAGTAGCAACAAAAGTTTTCAGCAAAAATGCCGATTAGTAACACTTAAAGCACAAAAAGAGTCAAGAATAGAAAAGGCAAGGAATCAATCCAAAATCTACAACAGAACCAAGAAGCATGCTTAAACCAGCATCAGTTGCCAAAACTTGTTGCAATTAGAATGGCACATAAAAGCAGAGGGGCTTGCAAAACAAAAATATGATTGCAGCAAAGGATTTTCGCTACCTGTTTGCATGCTTATGTGGAGGAAAGATATATATATATATATATATATATATATATATGGAGAGAGAGAACCAAGAGTCAAATTACTTAAGTGAATGGCACATAAAAGCAGAGGCTTGCATAAATCAGAGAGTGGAAATTTATTGAAAATAGCAGCGTGGCAAACGGAATATTTTAATCTAGGCTTTACCTTTGTTTTGCGTAATGGTCTTATGTATTGGAGGGGCATACGAGTGAGTGTAATTTTTCATCTATTATAGGAAATATACTTATAATTATATAAACTCAAAGGTTCTCAATATATATGGAAGAGTGAGCTTTGGAGGGGGAATTTTAGAATGGAGAAAACTTCACGTATAAGCTAATAATCACTTAAGCCACAAAATGCAAGGACGGATTAAGGAAATTAGAAATGGCAGAAAGCAAAACTGACTGTCATACACATTATTACCTTAGCTTTGTGTACCCTATAATGAGAAATACGCACTAAAACTCTGAATATGCTAAGAGAAAACTTTTCTAGGCGAGGCGAAATAACAGGGTCTCCAACTCATGTGTCGCCCCATAGGCTCATTTAATTTCTCAGCTTTTTCAGTATTAAGTGGTTTATATCGAAACCTATGAACCGCAAAGTTAACTTCATTGTCGTTTTGGGTATAAGACAATTACTCTATCAATATAAATTCCAACATACTTTTCAAATAACAATCAACCATGCTCGGAATATTAACTGAAGGGAAGCATAAAAAAGATATAAATGCACAGAGAGAGGATTCTTAGGTTAAGCATGTCTCAAGTCACACCTTTATTATTGGTAAGTTTGATGCTGCCTTTACTACATCCTTATAGATAAAACTTTCCTCTGATTCGAGTACTTAATGAAAAAAATTTCACACATATATATATATATATATATATATATATATATATGGAGAGAGAGATAGGGGGATTAAATGAAAACGTAAGCTAATATCAGCAACAGCATTAAGGAAATTAGAAATGGCAGGCAAAACCTGACTGCACCAATTCCCTTGTTCCTATATGGAAAATCATCAATTGTAAAAACTTTCTAGCGGGAACAGTAACTCTGCCTAGGCTAATCAGGTTATTTATCAACAGCCAGAATCACGTGGAAAGACATTCATTAACCAAGAACTTTGATCATACCAATGGATTTCTGAGAGCTAAATTAATGCACAGAGGTCTAGAGGTGCATGTCTCATCACCTTTATTAGAAGGATGCTGCCTTCCATCTTTATGATAAAACTCCCTGATCGATATGAAAGATTTCCCTTTGAAGTCTTGAATCACCACATTCCTTCTATTTGATAGCTAAATCAAAATGGATTTACTAAAAATCAAAGATAAAGAAGAAAAGAGGAAAAGAAAGGAAATAGAAAATCTTATTATCTACTGGCACCTGCACAGATGAACATCCAATAACGGGAAATTTATATTAAAAAAAAATTTACACTTGTGTGATTCTCATTTTAATAATTGCCCTAACCACAAATTACAAAACAAAAGAGACAGAGTTCTATTACATCAGTCCCAAATGGCAACATCAATAAGGGTAACTCATACTAGAGAAACCTTTCTCTGTTTACTGGTGAGAAAATATACAAAAGAAAAGGAATCAAAGCGCTGAAGCTCACAATTCTTCCTGCTCTAGTTTTCACTTTTCACTAAAGTCGATTTATCTACTAGCTCGAAGAAAAAAAAAAAATGAAAGCTTCATATCAAGCCAAATGATAAAAATTTAAAATTTATTCAACTGTTCAATCCACCAACAACTTGAAGTTGCTGAAACAGAACGACATATTAATAGTAAAAACCAAGAGGACGCTAAAATCTGGAGATTACGGTTTTTTACCTTACAAATAATGCGATTTCCATCACTGTCAAACTCCTTCTTCGGTATTGTCTCATGTTCCTTTCGCGCCATTCCTTGGTTCTCCTCTCGGAAGTTTGTGTCGGCCTCTTTACCCTCCTCGCCACTTACCTCCATTGTAGAGAGCAAAAAGGACTCAACCACACCCCTGATAAATCTCTTGCGCTGGATATCAGATAGGTCGATACCGAGTCTCTCCGATGTAGTTACTCGGACCTTGAACTCGGTCATGTCGTCCATGTCAGCGTTTTTGAGTATATCGAGTACTGTTTCCTCGATTTTCAGTTGAATTTCCGATTCCATTGAGAGAGAGAGCTAAGAGTTCGTTTTGGGTGAAGTTAATTAGGGATTCAATCCCGCCTTTGCACGGTCCAAAAATGTCCGAACCAAATCCGAGTTCCGTAACCAAACTGTACTGAACCGAAACATTTAATTTTTTTTTTTCGATTTTTTTTTTTAATTTCGATGCAATTCAAAATTTTTAATATATCATGTTATATAAAAATCAATATTGATATATTTTTAGGGAAAAATATAATTATCATAGCCAGATAAGAAAATAACATTTTCTTACATTAAAATATTTATCATCTTTTAAGGATAGAAAGAAACAGTTTGTCATTAAAGAACAGAACAAAAGTTCCACCGAATTTAAACTCGAATTACTGAATTCAGAGCCCAATAGCCTGACCACTAGACCATGGAACCATTTGGATAATTGTATTAGTGCTTTTTATTACATATTTCAATTTTGTTGGAAGCGCGTGCGGGTTCTTTGCCTGATTATCACGTGCACTCTTTAGTTGGGGAATCATGCAAATTCTGTGTTCTATCAACCATTTTGCATCACACAAACTGGATGTCTCACTATAAAAAAATTACAATTACAAATTACTTTTACGTTTAAAGATTGTGGACAATATTTAAATCACTTATTATTTTCCATATAAGCAACATTTTTGGACGTTGAACTCAAAATTTGACTCTCTCATTCTCGTACAAATATCTTCTTTTACATTAAAAAAATATTTTTAAAAGAAGCATTCAAGCCAAAATCGGTTTACCTCAGTAAATCAAGACCCATGTCATGGAATTCCTTACTGTCTCTTCAATCCTCATTTGCATAGCTATAATTGCTAACCTCTTCCGATGGCGAAACCAAAAATCCAAAAGGCTTCCTCCAGGCCCATCAAGATTGCCAATATTCGGCAACCTTCTTCAATTAGGCCCGCTACCTCATAGGGACCTAGCTTCATTGTGCAACAAATATGGGCCCCTCGTCTACCTCCGTCTCGGCAGCGTTGATGCAATAACCACCAATGATCCTGAAATCATACGCGAAATACTACTCCGTCAAGACGACATATTCGCCTCCCGGCCACGGACTCTCGCCGCCGTCCATCTCGCATACGACTGTGGAGATGTAGCATTGGCTCCATTGGGCCCAAATTGGAAGCGAATGAGGAGAATTTGTATGGAGCATTTACTAACAACAAAGAGGCTCGAGTCTTTCGCAAAGCATCGTATCGATGAAGCCCAACATTTAGTACGTTATGTTTGGGCTCAGGCCCAATGCGGAAAGGCTGTGAACTTGAGGGAAGTACTAGGCGCATTTTCCATGAACAACGTGACAAGAATGTTGTTAGGAAAGCAATACTTTGGAGTTGAAACGGCGGGTCGTCAAGAGGCTATGGAGTTTATGCATGTAACCCATGAGTTGTTTCGGCTTTTAGGTTTAATATACTTGGGTGATTATTTGCCATTCTGGAGGTTGATTGATCCTTATGGGTGTGAGAATAAAATGAAGGAAGTGGAGAAGAGAGTGGATGATTTTCATTCCAAGATTATTGAAGAGCACAAGAAGGTAAAGAATCAAGTTGGAGAAGGAGAAATGGACTTTGTTGATGTTTTATTATCATTGCCAGGCAAGGATGGGAAAGAGCATATGGATGATGTGGAGATCAAAGCTCTTATTCAGGTAATTCTCTCTCAATTTCTTTTTTCTAATTTTTCAAGTTCTGTACTTTCTCCTACTAAATCAAAATGCGACCATCGTCATCATCAGGATATGATAGCTGCTGCAACGGATACTTCAGCAGTAACAAACGAATGGGCAATGGCAGAGGTGATCAAGCATCCACGTGTCCTTCGCAAGATACAAGAGGAGCTCGATAGTGTCGTGGGCCCCAATAGAATGGTCACAGAATCAGACTTAGCACACCTTAACTACTTACGCTGTGTTGTACGCGAAACCTTCCGCATGCATCCAGCGGGGCCCTTCCTAATCCCTCATGAGTCCCTGCGCGCTACCACTATCAACGGCTACCATATTCCCGCTGGAACCCGTATCTTCATAAATACTCATGGACTGGGCCGAAATACCCAAGTGTGGACCGATGTGGATGAATTTCGGCCCGAGAGGCATTGGTTGGCCGACGGAAGCCGAGTGGAGATAAGCCATGGAGCTGATTTCAAGATACTGCCGTTTAGCGCTGGGAAAAGGAAGTGCCCTGGGGCTCCACTTGGGGTGACATTGGTGCTGATGGCTTTGGCACGGCTCTTTCATGCTTTTGATTGGGCTCCACCAAATGGGCTAAGATATGAAGATATCGATACCACTGAGGTCTATGGCATGACTATGCCTAAAGCCCAGCCTTTAATTGCATCGGCTAGGCCACGTTTGGCAGATCATATGTATCGCTGATTCAAGACTACTATATTTGCTTTGCTTTTCTTTTCTTTTTTTTCTTTTTGGTATTTTTAATCAGATTAATGTCTAAAAAGAATAATAAAGGCTAGCCACTCTAAATGCTTTTACACTCCAGATCAGATTAATGTCGCAACGAAAGGAATAAGTCGAACCATAGAGTTCTGATCCTAGATATTATCCTTTAATTAATAAATTAAAGGAGCGCCTTCGTACGACGTCGTTTGTTTTATCACAGCAATACATAAGACCGTATTTTAAATTAACACGCTGCCTTCTGTTCATCCCCACCGAATTCTGTGAAGCGGCTCTGCTGCATTAAATTTTAACGCCGACGATAAGAAGTTGCATCAATAATCTCCGATCGTTCCTTGAAGGTGCGTCGCAGAGCTGTAATTTTAGTTTTAGTTTTTATGCTAGATTGTTTGTTTTTAAGCATATTGTTGTTATTCACTTAGCAAACACTACATGTTCGATAAAATGCCTGAACAAGACGCTTCCCCATCACCTTCAGCTTACTTGTACCTTCACCCGCTATTAGTTGGGTTGCAAATATTTTTTCAGGGAATTTTGTTACAAATAGTTGACTAATCTTAGGAATAGATATGACATTTCCCTCATTCCTTGGCAGACACAGAAATCACATTGGATTCTATCTACAATGTTTCTTCGGCGAGCTGCAATTGTACTACCTTGCTCAAGAAAGTTTCTTTCTGCCAAATATACTCATGATCTAGCTAGCTCTATTACGGAGCTGAATAAGGTAAGATACTGTTATAACCTGAGTTGTAAACAAGCATCTTGTCGTTCTTTTAATGGATAACCATGTGATGTGTTGAAATCTTGTTTAATGGATAACCATGAAAAGAGATCATTCTATCTTTTTTTTAAAAAAAAATTTGTTTTGTTAGTTCTTTAAGAGAATCACTGGATTAATTGTTCAACATGTTCTTTGTTTTCATATGCAATACTGATCATTGTTGTAGGAAATGGAATCTGTCTTTGGTCAACCTCCTTCTGGTGGAATTTCTGGTTCTACCAAAAAAGATTATATGCCACAAGAACCACAGTTCACTCAAGGGCCTGTTAGTTCTATTAGAAATAATAATTTGGTTGAATCCCAATCTGCAATTCAGAGAATGAATCATAATGCACTTGGGTTGACCCATATTGGTAGTAGAGGAGAAGCACAAATGGTGGATGTGTCTCCCAAAGAAAATAGTAAGAGAACTGCCATTGCCAGTTGTAAGGTAATTCTGGGCAAGGAGGTTTTTGATATGGTTTTAGCTAACCGAATGGCTAAAGGAGATGTTCTTACTGTGGCCAAAATAGCTGGTATAAATGGAGCAAAGCACACTAGCAGCCTCATCCCACTCTGTCACAATATTGCCCTAACTCATGTTCGCGTAGATCTAATGCTGAATCCAGATAATTACAGTGTGGTAATTGAAGGGGAGGCTGCATGTACGGGGAAAACAGGTGTTGAAATGGAAGCATTGACAGCCGTGACTACTGCTGGCCTAACAGTGTATGATATGTGCAAGGCTGCTTCTAAGGAAATCCAAATAGCAGATGTACGGCTTGAGCATAAAACAGGTGGGAAGAGTGGAGACTGGACTCGAAACATAACCATACCAATGACAAATGCACCAACGAAGACGTCAGCTGAAATTAAGAAAGTGTCAAAAATAGACAGAAGAATAAGGAGGTTCATCCAATTAACTTTAGGACCTTTTGAAACACCAAAGTTATCTGGAGATGTGGTAACCCAGAGTATAGCGTCATGCTTTAATTGTCAATCAATTGTTGTTGCTACTGAAAAAGATGCAGAGGGCAGATTCTGTTTTCGCATTGGGATTTTAACAGTGGATGCTACTCAGCGTACTGCAGAAAAAATCCTTAAATCTAAATTCACGGAATTTAAAATTTCTCAATTTTCTCTCAAGTTTCATAATGGATGGGCAAAAATATGTGAACTTATAACACAGCATGACAAAAGTCCAAGTGTTTGGGGGAAGTATTCTGTGGAACAAATATTGGAACTAGCTCGAGCCAGTAGACTTCATCGAAAGATCCAAGTGGCTAGGAGCAGCAGTTGATGAAGCAACAACATACATGGGAAAGGATGTCGTCAAGTGGCTCAGGAGGAATGAAGGATCAGCAAAGAATATGATACTTGATGCAAAATGACCGGGGTGCAAGTGCACAATATCTTCATGAACGACTGCAAGTGCTCTATTTTCTTTTTCATGACACCCCGTTTGAATGAAAACTCTTTACCATCAAAAGGTTAATGCGAACTCCTATGGCAGATGTTAAAATTCTAAGTTTCTTGCACTATTTATCTACCATAAACTGATCCGAACATGCCATGATGGGCTTTTTAGGCTTAATGCATCTAGTATAGACTACATAGGGGCTATGGTGATGAAAGTTGGCAATATGATCTTTAGTTGTATCCAAATTGAAGTTAGGTTATTGAGTAAAGTTCTAACACTCTGTGATTAAATAAGCAATAAAAAAAAAAATTCAAAACCATCACGAAACTGGTTAGAAAATTATTGCTTTTGGGTTCCTCTGTCTATCAAACATGGTTAATTTTCCTATTCCCTAAACAGATATATCAACATAGCTATCTTTGTTCTTTTCCATGACATACTGTAATGTTTTAAGCATTTGTCTCTTGTTTTCCTTCTTTGAGAAAATGGTTTGTTAATAGTTCGAGCATTTAATTCTGTCCTTTGATTTCATTGTACATTTATTTGGTGATAAGGATCTGATGTTAAGCTGGATATTGCCTTAAATGACTTGAAATTTCGTTATTTGCAAAGTTCAGTGACATCACACAGTTCATGGACAGAAATGTCTTCGTTCCAGATATTTTAACTTGATTGAAAAGCAAGCATCATTTGGGGTCTCTTAATAATGCTTTTGCCACACGTACGTACATGTCTGTAATGCTTTACTAAGCTCATGCTCAACTTTATTGCTCTTTCCAGGCTATGATTCCTCTTTATTGTCTACTATTTATCTTTTGCTTTTGAAAATTGCTTAGTGCTTGTCCCACTCTGAAACTTTTCATTAGTTTCAATAGCAAATTCATCCAAGCCCCAAGGTAGGCAAAGATATTATAGATTTTCGTCTCATATGTTGGCTATTTTATGCTTTGCCGACCTTACAAGGTGCCCTTTTTAGTACGGAGGATAGGGTTTATGCTTGGCCTACCCTCTTTAACTGTGTAAATTCTCTTTGGTAGGGCTTACCGTTCCTTCATTACTTCATTTGTTGTCCTTTCCCTTACTCTGTTTCTTCTTGTGTTTTACTGTGAGAAAATGATGCATGTTACTGTTTTCTTTTTTCAGATCAAATTATCATCATCTTTTTCTCCCACTTAAAATTACCATATTCCACCCTGTTTTAAACAAACAGTTGTGTGTATATTTTTTTCCATTTGTCTTTTGATCATCTTGTGTGTATTATACGTGTGTAGTGAAATTACAATTATGTTAAGGAGAAGAAAGGTAACTGTGGGGCCTATTAGCATGTGCCTGCATGATCTCCAAAGCTAATGAGATAAACACGTGGCACCTCGGTGGTTAATTTTGTGAGTCACTCCTTTTTGACTAATTTAGGCACCGCGTTTACAACCAACCAAACACTTCCCAAACCAGAATCTCGTTTTAATTTGTTTGCAAGTAAAAATGAACTAGTGCTCATGTCTACGGTCCACAACATTCATTTAGGATCCATCAGCGACCGTCCTTTCTTCGTGAGTGTATTAAGAGCACCAAGGTCTCTCACGTGCCTATATCTAGTATTTGCCACGCATGCCCAGTATTGCCATGTCAGGTGCTGGAGAGTCCACTTGCAAAAAGATGGACAAGTACACTTGCTTTCTGTGAAAGGGCCGTTAGGAGGATAAGAATGGGAAAAATACTCCCACCTAGTGCAAGGCTCACAAACGCATTAAAATTGACGAGAAATGCCTTTTTCTTTTGGTGACTCTCATTATCACAATCAATAAGAAGATGGGAATGGCAATAGCTATTGGGCAGAATATAGGTTGTTTTCCAATTTCTATTATAAAAAAAATGAAATCAGAATCGAATCGCTTGTAAACGATGTTTAAGATGATTTAATTACAATCGGTTTCAATATTATCTTAATTTAAAATTGAGATTTAATAATACTTTTGAAGCTTTTTCTTAATTTTATCATTAATTATGATTTGATACTAATTTTGATTGGTTTGGTTTAATTCGTTTTTGATTTGAAATTCAACACTGATAATACCCACCCAACACAACAGCAACCTTCCACCTATTACATTGTTGATTAATGCAAGAGGTGAGGCCATAGTTATATTCATGTGTGTACCTATTAAAAGAATGGTATAGAGAATTGAAATATGAAGTTTCCTAGGACGTCCAAACACGACAACCAAATTGAAATATCAGGATTTATATGCGACATGGTAACATGGGAAAGCTTTATTAATGGACTAAAGTAACAAACCAGATGGGAAACAAAATTTTTGTGCAATATCATTATCGACCTTTATATTACACCGACCAACAAAATGCTCTGCTCCTTAAAAATAGACCCAGCGTTCAAAGTCTTTGCCGCCGCTCATTGAGGCACTCACTACCAATCAATTGTCAACCGTTCAACTCAATCATGGCATCATGTATGTCTAATTATGAAAAAATATATCTATCTATTGATATTTTTAGATTTTAAATGTAATAATATTTGATTTTTAATCAAATTAACCAAGCAACAAAACTTGGGTCTTCTCTTGGGATATTTGTCCTTCCACTCATATCCAAGTGGCATTTTCGTCATCCTATCCTCTCCAGTCTCCGCCCCATTCTCTCCTTTCGCTTTCCGAAGATATATTAGCAGTCCTACCTTAATTAAAGCCTCCGTACATAAATTGATACTGATATTTTAACCAAAAAAAAAAAAACTAAATGACAATTTTATCTCATTCCTTAAGTATCCAATCCAATTTTAGCATATTCAGATAACAGCTTCAAGATTGATGTAGATAATATTTTTACCATTTATATTGAAGTTAAATTCATATCCATTTAATTAATATTTTAAAATAATTATTTTTATCAAATGAAAAAATATATTTAAACCTTCTAACTATAATTGATGCTATAATTATGTTTTTTATTGAGTCAAAATTGAATGATTATATATTAAAATTTTATCTGAATTTTAATCTTTATTTTAAAAAATTTATATTGGACATACATGTAAGATATTATTTGAAATAAGATTTAAAAACTTTATTTCCATTTAAGATTTTTCCAGAGTCAGAAAATACCTATCTCTAACTAATACATTATTAAAAAGTAATATTTGAGTTTATCAATTTAATTAGTATTTTTAAAGTTTACTATTTCATAATTAATATTAAAATAGTATTATTTAAACATAATTAAAATCTTAATACTATAATTAGATCATTACATTAGATGACTAATAGTTGAACTAAATCATGATTAATACTTATATATGATATTAAAATTTTTAAAAATCATATTTCATTATAAAAGATTAATAAAAAGATAAATATAACTAAAGATTAATATATTTACATTCGATCAAAAACCTTTTATAGTTATTTTAAATTTATTATTAAAAAATATTAATAATAAATATAGATAACGTATACCCTTTTAAAAACTAGCAATGTAAGCAATTTATTTTCATCAATAAATGAAAGTAAAATTATAAATAATAAATAATCTAAAATAAAAAAAATGTTGTTATCGATTAGATTTTTCTTGAGGTAGCAACTAAAAATGTAGCGGATTGGCAACCGTAACTAAGTACGGTGCAACTTCAAGTTCAAAAAGGAGAATAAATGCTATTTCCCCAACAAAAATTTGATAACTACACCTACTAAGTAAGAACCGCCTTCGCTGCTCACTCACTCTCTCAATTATTTATACTCTCTCACCTCTGCAACTCTCTGTGTCCTCACTCTCACTTTAGTTTCTTTGTTTTTCAATGGAAGGAAAAGCACGAAATGCCTTTCTCTTCTTTTCCTTCACCATTTTCCTCTCTCTCTCCACCACTCTCTCATCCCCGCTCGACTACCAAACCCTCGTTCTCAATCCTCTCCCTCGCCAGACCGCCCTCTCATGGCCGGCCGCCGATTCCGAAGCAGAGACCCTAACGGACACAGCAGATTCGACCACCTTCTCCTTACAGTTACACCACATCGATGCATTATCCAACAACAAAACTCCACAGGATCTTTTTGGCGAGAGGCTGCAGCGTGATGCTTTCCGAGTTGAAGCTCTCTCTTCAGTTGCTGCCTCCGCTGTAGGTGCTGGGGGGCGCGTCGGAACTGGATTTAGCAGCTCCGTGATATCTGGTCTGGCGCAGGGTAGCGGCGAGTACTTCACGCGCATAGGCGTTGGTACCCCTCCCAGGTATGTTTACATGGTGTTGGATACTGGAAGCGACATCGTCTGGATCCAGTGTGCTCCGTGTAATAAATGCTACTCTCAGTCTGACCCGGTTTTTGATCCGCGTAAGTCTAGATCTTTCGCCGGAATCCCCTGTGGTTCCCCTTTGTGTAACAGGCTTGATTCTCCTGGTTGTAACACTCAGAAGAGGACGTGTATGTACCAAGTTTCCTACGGCGATGGTTCTTTCACTTACGGCGACTTTTCCACCGAAACCTTGACGTTTCGCCGGACCAAAGTCAGAAGGGTGGCGATCGGTTGTGGCCACGACAATCAAGGTTTATTCGTTGGTGCTGCGGGTTTGCTTGGGCTTGGCCGGGGAAGGTTATCATTTCCTTCACAAACCGGTGCCCAGTTCAACCGGAAGTTTTCCTACTGTCTGGTAGACCGTTCCGCTTCCTCGAAACCATCCTCAGTTGTTTTCGGTGATTCGGCTATATCGCGAACCGCCCGGTTCACTCCATTGATATCAAACCCCAAGCTTGACACGTTTTACTACGTTGAACTCCTTGGGATCAGTGTGGGAGGGACGCGTGTTCCTGGCATCACTGCATCTTTATTCAAACTCGATCAGACTGGTAATGGAGGAGTGATTATTGATTCGGGAACGTCCGTAACCCGTTTGACGAGACCCGCTTACGTAGCACTCCGGAATGCTTTCCGGGTCGGAGCTTCTAATTTGAAGAGGGCACCCGAGTTCTCTCTATTCGACACGTGTTTTGATTTGTCAGGGAAGACTGAAGTGAAAGTTCCAACTGTGGCGCTGCACTTCCGCGGTGCTGATGTGTCATTGCCGGCGTCGAATTATCTGATCCCTGTGGATAGTGATGGTAGCTTTTGCTTTGCATTTGCGGGTACAATGAGCGGGTTGTCAATAATAGGTAATATCCAACAACAGGGGTTCAGGGTCGTCTACGACTTGGCGGGTTCACGGGTCGGGTTTGCTCCGCGCGGTTGCCAGTAATCAGTGCGAGTTCAGGGGATGGTAAGGGAGAAAGCTCTTTCCCTTTTTTTTTTTTTTTTTTTTTGGGAGAAAGCTCTTTCCCTTTTTTTTTTTTTTTTTTTCTTTCTGGTGGAATGTCACATTAAATTATTTCTTTTTGGTTGTGGGTCCACGAATTTATCTTTCCTAGAATTGAATTCTAGACCAGCTGAGAAGAAAAAAAAAAAAAACAAAGAAAGTTGTATTTTTTTTTTTTTTTTTTTTTCTTGGAATGTCATTATTTTTCTTTTTATGGTTGTGGGTCCACGAAATTTATCTTTCCTAGAATTGAATCTGAAGCGAGAAGAAAAAAAAAAAAAACAAAGAAAGTGTAGGATTGGAGATGATATTCAGTTGTTGTTTGTAAGTTGTATTATTAACTTATCAAAAATTGTAACTGAAAACGAGGGTAAAATCGTCGAATATAAGCTCAAATTTAGCTTGAATTCATGTTACTTGAGATCCAAAAATCCACAATTTCAATTACTGATATAAAGGCCCAAATGGGTTCTAACGAGTAAACTGTTGGCATCTTGTCAATTTCGTTCTGGAAGGTTGCCTAGCAGCCTGCTTAAATTTAATGGTATTTTGATGTTATTGTTGGACGAACGCATTAATTGCAGGGCCTATTAATTTGGTTGGTATAATTGGTAGCTAGCAGGCCCTATCAAGTGTGAATGTCTCCGTATTTTGTGGGCCCTGAACCTCACCTCACTTCACTAGTTGGTAATGGCGGTGGTGGTGGTGGTGATGCAGTTTTTCCCGAGACCTTTCGGTGAATGTAAATCCAAAGTACCCCGTAGTAGATCTATTCGAATGATAAACTTGACACCGGGTTAGACTCCGCAGGCGGTGAGGTATGTCAAATTCGAAGGGTATGGATCGTTGTGTCCTCATACGTATAAATATACCAAAGTGTAGAGCTTTGGATCCTGTCTCTATTTGTATCGTGAGCTACTACCATAGTGTGAAAACAGAATGCCCATATAGCACATGCAACCACCATTCGAAATTCAATGATTAGATGCGCACATGCGATGCGATATGGGAGGCGGCAGGTCAAAGAATGCTGGTATAGAATTTACCAACTCTGCACTGTGTAACATATTGTTGGTATGGGGAAATTATAAATCGAGCCAATACTGTTGACGGAGTAATGTCCTTGATTTACTCCATTCTTTGTGGGGTTAAGTTGGTGAAAACTGTTCATATGTTTTAAAAAGAAAACTACTAATAAAGGTTTTGCTAATGTCCTTTACAGACGTGCAATCATGGAACTGCTTAAATTATTTTATTTGCGGGTGCGTTCCTCAACTTACTTTTCGACTTTTCCAATCAGAAAATGGCAGCTTTGGTGCAAAGTTGGAGCTGTTCAGTTCGGTTCTGATTAAGGACTCCAGTGTACTATTGATGCACCTCCAAAGCATCACATATACACATTTACACGCAATCGTGTATATTTTGATAAAACTGTCCTGAATGATTGAATTAGAAAAGCTCGTTCAAGGGCACATTTGAAAAAGCTTAATCAATACACATACATTTTTTCCTCCAAAATATCCTGACAACGATGTACAGACAGACGGACAGGGTTCCCTAGGATGCTTGTAAAAAGTCAGACCAAAGAAAATGAGAGAAAATCTGAAAATGCTATAATAAAATAATATATCCATTTATTATTTCTCTTTAAAGCTTAACACGTGCGTATTGGGATCCATCATCAATTTGGTCACCGAAATAAAACCTCCAATGTTTCAGGCTTCAGTTTTAGATATTTGGGCTTTTTAAGCCCTACAAAGTATAGAAATACATCCATCAATTCGATTCTGAGCCTTCAACCGTAAAGGCCACAAGCCCAATAGCTCTTCCGCTAATCAGCAACCAGTACCGCTAATTTTGGCCTTTAGCCATTGGAGAGCACACGGTTTCTGCTTCGACGACGGTTTTGGTACTTGTCGGTTGCGGTTAACTGGTGAATCTTAAATTATCCTCTAAAAACGCTTGATTTTGTTAAATGAACTAAAGTATTTGCGATTTCTGCATGACAGGTCACTTCCGCTGGACGCCGGACTGGACATTCCCGTTGCACATATGTAATAATAATTCCATTCAACGAATGTCGTTTTACTTGAGAATGCACAGTCGTTTTTGGCCAAATGACTTGATTTGAAGAAAAGTTGGAACCGAAATGCAAGTGACCACGTGAAATGCAGGTTACTCTTTCACTAACAAATAAAAAAAATATAATCCTTCATACTATTTATGTAATTTTTATATGCCAGCTAGTGATACATTATTTTCTGTTTTTTTTTTTTTTTTTTTTTTTTTATGTAATGTTTTATAGCCAGCTAGTGATTACATTATTTTCTGTTTTTTTTTTTTTTTTTTTTTTTTTTTTTTTTTTTTTTTTTTCCCACAATGATCATTTTTCAAATCTCCATTTTCTTTGTTTTACGAATTTTGGCGGAGACATGTCAGTTTTCTTGAATGCATCTTGCAAAATGGGTACTTGATGAATCAAAAATCGTTAGTGGAGTAGGTAAGATCCCTTCTTAAGCCAAACAAGGAAGTGGTAAAAGTAGCATATTAGAATCCTTTTGCACTAATAATAGATCTTTCTACTTCAAGTAACGTTGAAACTAAGCTATCTTTTATGCCATTATCATCATACCCATAGACAAAAAGTCCCATTTCCATCCATACAATAGCAGAAACTGCACGATCACTCCACTCCACAACACGTTCCACAAACTACACTTTATATATATATATATATATATATTATATATATATATTTTTGCTTGGTCACCAAGGAATGATAATATGGTGCTTTAATGTATCCTTATTATTAATGATACATCCACAAGGCATTACAATTTCCCCAACCTAGAACAAACAAAAATCCTATGTTACAAAACTTAGTTGGCCCAGTTGCTCCTTCCTACATTAACTTAATATCTTGGCACCAAGGAATGATAATATTGGTGCTTTAATGTATCCTTATTATTAATTATACATCACAAGGCATACATCCCCAACCTAGAACAAACAAAAATCCTATGTTACAACTAGTTGGCCATTGCTCCTCCTACATTAACTTATTTTTGCCTTCCCAGTTTTCCACCATTGCTCGGTCAATTATAATGTCCTTGGTTTGAGTCACCCAAATACTTCAACATATTCTTAACATTTTTTGAATTTAAACACTGAATAAATTTATTTTTGGCTGTCAAATATTTGAAAATTTTGGGTGTGCAATCAATCGTTGGATTGTTTGCATTTTTAAATTTACAAGATTGTTTTCAAGATAGGATTTTAAATTTTGAACTTCTAAATCCATAAGTAAAAATTCACGTTAGAGTGCAGTTATTTAGTTGAACCCACTTATCAAGATTATTTAAGGCGTCTGCATAAATTTAGATATGCTCAAATATGTTAGTAATGATACGGAGGATAACCAGTAATGGGTATAATACAGCCTAATAATGGGTCCTGTCCTGGTCCAGGCTATGCATTTTTCTACGTATATTGTAATAGAATAAGAGGTGGTAACAGCTAACCACCAACAGGAAAGTTAACGAATAATTCTCATTATTTAACTTAAATCACAATAACAACATTTATCCTTTAATTATTCCACCTAATCTAATCTCCTATCAAGGCCTTCTCTCATCTCTCTCTCTCCCCAGAAAGTAGAAACCCTTACACTGTTACACATTGATCAGTTGACTCTTGCAATATCTCTCACAGATTAAGAAAGGGCCTTTTTTTTAAGGATAAAGGAAATCTTATTGTACATACAAATTCAATCGCTCATTCTCTCTCTCTCTCTCTCTGCGCTGCTGCTTTTTTTTCCCTTCATTGTTACAAAATTCTGAGCGTATTTCTTAATTACATGTAAAATAACCAAGCCCATCAAAGAAACACGCTGTGTCTTTACTCTGCTCTGTTTCTCAATAATGAATAGCACAGAATTTTGAATACCCATTAGAAATAAGCCTTGAATTTGCAAATTTACCCCTCTATCTTCTTGGGCAGTTTTATGAATGGAATTGGATAGTATTGAAACTGTGCCATCCGCAGATTTGATAGACGAGGATGAGATCCATCAGCATCTCCATCAATTCCCTTCAGTCCCAAAGCCTCAGAGCAACAACATCATCAACAGTAACACTGTTTCTTCAGCAATTCATTCCATCAGTGTCCATGAGCTGCTTGAATGCCCTGTTTGTACCAATTCTATGTACCCTCCAATTCATCAGGTTTGTTTTTTTTTTTTTTTTGGTTGCAATTTGCTTGTTGGGTTCCTAATGTTTCCCGATCTGTTATTTTTATGTATATATCTATTCTGTGGATTTCTGGCTGCTGAATTTATCCACAACTCCTTTGTTTTGGATAGATGCAAGTTTGCCGTTTTCTTATAGTTATTCCTTTTGTTATCAATTGGTTGCTATGGTTCAAATCCGAGGTAGGATGAAACGAAGGGGCGTTTGTTTCAGTATTTGATGATTTTGCTGTATCAGTACGGTCTCATATTTTGACTTATATGGATAAGATTGACGCGTTTCCGTTGCAAAGATATTCAATATGTGTGGTTCTGACTTCTTTGTCTTCCCTTTGCTCAGCGTGCCAGATGCTTTGTAGTTTTCATTTTTCGGTTTTCACTTTTCAGTCATAGGGAATTGGTATACCAACTTAATCATATCTTACATAGGCAGAACTTGTGTGACAATGATGAAAATCAATACAAGCCCGCTAGATATGGACTAAGAAGTACCATTGGCAGCAGCTTATCACTGTACAAGTGCCAGTCCCTAGTTAAATTTAGCAAGTGACAACTGACATCTTTGCTTGAAGTGTTGGACATACTTCCTTCACTGTCTCGCTCACCTTCCCTTCAAAACAACCATCCCGATAAATGAAAAACTGGTCAGCATTCGTGGTTTTCATCCATTTAGAGATTCATGATTGATTCTTGATAGCAATTAGGAAGAGTACTAGAACCCATCTGTTTTCATCAGGATTCAGGCACTTAGAATCATGGATGTGGATCCTAAGGCTATGAGTGAGAGAATTTGGCAGTGCGAGATGACAGAAGCGTGTCACACGTGATTGTTTGTATTTGTGCATTACAGTAGAATAAGTTTTCATTCTGCAAAATCCTGAAGTTTGACCTTCTATACATGTTCAGATAGGATTTTACTCAGGACAATTGATGTAAATGTGGAAGGAAATGTTGAGTTGACAACTTCCATGAATTTGACAACATAAAAGAGTTGGGCTCATCCGATGGCTTCTATGGGTTTTGCTTGCTCATTATTTTCACACGCACAGTGCCAAGTTTGCTTATAGATGAGCTTTCATTGTCCTTTTCCTTCTGTTATAACTATTTTGCTATCTATTTGCTGAATTATGTAGCAAATTGTTTCTCTGCAGTGCCATAATGGGCATACACTTTGTTCAACATGTAAGACAAGGGTGCACAACCGGTGTCCCACTTGTAGACAAGAGCTTGGTGATATTAGATGTCTGGCACTGGAGAAAGTAGCTGAGTCACTTGAGCTGCCTTGCAAATATATATCACTTGGATGTCCAGAGATTTTTCCATACTACAGTAAACTCAAACATGAGGCCCTATGTAATTTCAGGCCCTACAACTGCCCTTATGCTGGGTCTGAGTGTGCTGTTGTTGGGGATATCCCATTCCTTGTTGCTCATCTTAGGGATGATCACAAAGTAGACATGCATTCTGGATGCACTTTCAACCATCGTTATGTCAAGTCCAATCCCCGTGAAGTAGAAAATGCAACATGGATGTTGACTGTAAGTATTTGTTTTTTCTTACTTGGTTACTTGTAAGAAAAGAAAGGTTCTTGATTGATTAGCCTTTATAGGAAAGAGCATAATAATAAACTTTAATGGCCCTGAATGATCATGACCTACTTCTTAATGGTTGGCTAGATCAGGGTAATGGCATGTCATCGAACATGATATATCCATTCTTTGTCAACTAAAGGATCCTTCTGTACCTTTTATAAAGTGCAAATTTAAAACTTCTTAACATTATGTGACAAATAGACCGTAAATAAAAGCTGGGCTCTTTATGCTCATACTTGCAGATTGTAATTTCTTTTTTGCCTTAGCAGTACATGATCATAAACCTGAGTTTGAACCCATCACAAACCTTTTGTTGCATTCCTGCCAGAATTTATTCTGTAGCTGCCTCCTTTTGTTGCATTCCTGCCAGAATTTATCCATCACAAAACCTTCCCTTTGTTGCATTCCTGCCAGAATTTATTCTGTAGCTCCTCCTTTGTTGATTCCTTGCCAGAACTTTTATTCTGTAGTTTGCCTGGTTTTGTTTAGGACTAAGGCGAAACTCTTGTGCCTAAGGTTAGTTGGTTAGTCTTGCGTTGATTTTCCTGGGAACCACCAGTCTTCTGAAATCTCATTCATACAGCGTGCAAGTTTCATAGCAAGTTAGTTGCATTCCTGCCAGAATTTATTCTGTAGTTGCCTGGTTTGTTTAGGATAGCGAAACTCTTGTGCCTAAGGGTTAGTTGGTTAGTCTGCGTTGATTTTCCTGGGAACCACCAGTCTCTGAATCTCATTCATACAGGTGCAGTTTCATAGCAAGTACCTAACTATCTTTTCTGATCATATTGTGTAGGTTTTCCACTGTTTTGGCCAGTACTTCTGTCTGCATTTTGAAGCTTTCCAGCTAGGGATGGCTCCTGTTTATATGGCATTCCTTCGTTTCATGGGTGATGAGACAGAAGCCCGGAGTTACAGCTACAGCCTCGAGGTTGGGGGGAATGGGCGGAAACTCGTTTGGGAAGGCACCCCAAGGAGCATTAGAGATAGCCATAGGAAGGTTAGAGATAGTCATGATGGCCTGATCATACAGAGAAACATGGCACTTTTCTTCTCCGGAGGTGATAGGAAAGAATTGAAGCTTCGAGTGACAGGGCGCATATGGAAAGAACAGCAAAACCCAGAAGGTGGGGCATGCATACCCAATCTCTGCAGTTAGGGTGGTTAACACACACACACACACACACACATTCATGCGCGCTCCCTCTCTCTCTCCCCTCTCGTGTGCTGCATCTTTTGTAATATTAGCATATTCGATAACTTGATAATCCGTATATATATATATATATATATACACACTGGAGGCCTGGGCTTTATAAATTGTCTATCCAATGAAGTTATTTTGGCTGTGGTGTGACTTAACCATTTTACAAGCTGCATCAAATTTAATGGTGTGCTTCATATTGTAATTCTTCAATTTGGATATATGTATACACATGGAAGTTACTGCTGCAAGTTTTGCACCTAATGCTTGTGTTGTACTCGCTGAATTGCAATTATAGTTGCAGAATTAGTCCACTTCAACTTTCATATGGCTTATACTGATGTACAGGTAGTCGGGCATATAGCCTAATGATGAAGCGCACCAGTCAGAGCTGAGAATGGTCAGCACTCATTAAAATGTCCGTATTTATTTATTTATTTATTTATTATATGTTGTAAATAAAAATAACGAACATCTATAGAACATAAATTATGAAAAGCATTTTTTAATATTTTATTAAATTATTTTGTCAAACAAAAAAAAAAAAAACAATGAGTTTGTTGCCAGCTAAGCAGGCTATTCTTTTTTTAATCATACAAATAAATAAAAGATTGCGTCCTGACGAAATTGCTTTTATCAGTTGACGTTGCATTTTTTTTTTCGCCCCATATCTTCTAATTCCGGTTCAAATTGAAACCAAATTGTAAAAGTTTTAATTGAAATCGATTCAAGATTAATTTGTATTGAGTTATATCTTTTAACTGATTATGCTAATTAATTAAATTAATCAACATTTACAATAACTTTAAATCATTTATATTTGCAAATAGAAAAGGTAGGTGACATTTTTTTTTGCAGAATAATAAATAAAAAGTTAAATCTACTAAAAAATAAAATTTGAATTATTTTATTATTAATCTTCTACGCTAAATGAGTAAATTAATTTGATGTTCCGATCAATAATTACTCGTTAAGAAGTGAAGTCAACTACAAGTTCAAAATCAACGAGGCTTAGCTCATCTTTGATCAATTTACCCCTTTATATGGAATGTGACTTCACAGCCAAGCCCCAATTTTAGTGGGACGTTTATTTTTTCATTATATTCTTATTCTTTCCTTCGTTTTATCTTATGGATTGGTGAAATTTGATTAATTAAATTTAAATATATCGAGGATTTATATATTCTCATGTTTAATTAAGAAAGAGTAAATCATAATTCATAGGATTAATAGAATTTATTATAGTCTTAATTCTATTATTTTTTTAAGAAAAAAGAAATAGCACTCATAGATAGGATTTTTTTTAATTATATAGTTTTTCATTGCAAATGAAATTTAAACAATTTAAATTTACTTCAAAAATATTATTCAAATCCATAAATTTTGTTTTTAACATACCAAATAATGAAATGTAAAGTGGAGCAAAAAAAAAAAAAAAAAAAAGAAAAGTGGCAGCAATAAAAAAAAAAAAAAAAAAAGAAAGAGCATATATTAAAAAAAAAAAAAAAAAAAAAAAAAGAAAGAGCATATATTAAAAGTCTAAATAAATAATATTTGAAATATCATCATTAATTAATTGTTTTATCCATTCTTATTTGTTTTTGTGATCTTATACTCAATTTAATCTAAATTACCACGTCAGAAGTCTTTGTTCCATGAATCGGCATCAAAAGCTATTAATGACGAAATTATTGTAATTTTTGCATAATTTATTAAAAATAATAAATAATTATTACAACTATAAATGTTTTTTTTAGAAAAAAAAAAAACGATAATCTTATTTGTTTAATTAACAAATTAGGGGAGAAACTAATACAGTAAAAATATATTATTATACACTCTGTCACTCTCACTGGTGATTAGTAATTATAAGTAATTCTTAACTTAAAACTAAACGTAACAATTACTGAACTTTTATCAAAAGATTAAACAACTATTATCAAGGTTTTGGATTTTTTAAATTGAATATTTATGTTCAAGCTAATCTTCCAATCCAATGAAGCCTTCTCTTCTCCGTCTCTCTCTTTTTTCTCTCTCGCCTGAGAGTCGTTCGATGTTGATCGGCCGGCTCTTGCAATTTCAATCATGATTTTTCTCTCTCCCTCACCGATTAAGAAAGGCATCTGTTTTTGATAAAGCAAATAACCAATTCTTGTTCTTGTTATATACAGATTCAATCACTCGCTCTCTCTCTCTCTCTCTTTTGGCCTAATTTTTTCTCCTATTCCGCCATTATTGCTCATTATACATAAAAGAACAATACCCATCAAAGAAAAACGCCTTTTCTTTTGCAAAATCTCCTTGACTTATGTAGAATTGTGAATACAATCAGAGAGTAGGTTTTTGAATTTGGAAACTTTTCTTTATCTCATTTTGGGCAGTTTTGAGAATGGAATTAGATTGCATTGAGACCGTGCCGTCGTCAGATTTGACAGACGAGGATGAGATCCATCACCACCACCATCAATTCCCTTCAGTTCCTAAGCCTCAAAGCAACAACATTAACATCAATATCATCAACAACAACAACAACAACAACAGTAATACTGTTTCTTCAGCAATCCAATCTATCAGTGTCCATGAGCTGCTCGAATGCCCTGTTTGCACAAATTCCATGTATCCTCCAATTCATCAGGTTTGTCCTTTGTTGAGATCTGAAAGGTAGATTCTTTATGTTCCTCGATCTGGTTGAGTTTGTTTCTTTATTGTGGAGGATAGATTCACGATTCTTAAAAAAAAAAAAAATTTTTTTTTTTTGTAGTTAGTTTTAGTTTAATTGCCTATTCAGGTATATGCTTGCTACTCAATTGGTTGATTTAGGTCGAACTGCAGTTGTGTGAATATAAGGGGGCTTTATTCTATCGAAGATTTTTGAATTTTGAATTATGGTGCGTCGGTATGGCACCTTATAGGGGTAAGAGCTAGAACAGAGGAATTTTGGTGCAAACATATTCGATATATGGGTTTCTTTTCTTTCCTTTTGTGCAATTTTATAGATGCTTTATAGTCTGTCATAGGAAATTGGTAGCAACTTAGTAATATCCGTGGCTAGGTGGAACCTTGGCTTACAACAACGAACAGCCTTCTAGTAGCGAATTAAGAAGTAGATTGCATGCAGACCAAATTGGGTTTTGAGTTAAGACATGAAATATGATGAACTAAAGGAGTAATTTACATATCTGGTGGCTTCTGTATATTTTGGATGACACAGATGGCTTAGATTCCCAATATTTTCACCTAAGCTGTTTTTACTTACAAACATCATTGAATGGGAGTAGCAGCTTTCATCTCTTTCGCTCACTTTTATATCTATCTATGCAGACCAAATTGGGTTTTGAGTTAAGACATGAAATATGATGAACTAAAGGAGTAATTTACATATCTGGTGGCTTCTGTATATTTTGGATGACACAGATGGCTTAGATTCCCAATATTTTCACCTAAGCTGTTTTTACTTACAAACATCATTGAATGGGAGTAGCAGCTTTCATCTCTTTCGCTCACTTTTATATCTATCTATGCAGACCAAATTGGGTTTTGAGTTAAGACATGAAATATGATGAACTAAAGGAGTAATTTACATATCTGGTGGCTTCTGTATATTTTGGATGACACAGATGGCTTAGATTCCCAATATTTTCACCTAAGCTGTTTTTACTTACAAACATCATTGAATGGGAGTAGCAGCTTTCATCTCTTTCGCTCACTTTTATATCTATCTATGCAGACCAAATTGGGTTTTGAGTTAAGACATGAAATATGATGAACTAAAGGAGTAATTTACATATCTGGTGGCTTCTGTATATTTTGGATGACACAGATGGCTTAGATTCCCAATATTTTCACCTAAGCTGTTTTTACTTACAAACATCATTGAATGGGAGTAGCAGCTTTCATCTCTTTCGCTCACTTTTATATCTATCTATGCAGACCAAATTGGGTTTTGAGTTAAGACATGAAATATGATGAACTAAAGGAGTAATTTACATATCTGGTGGCTTCTGTATATTTTGGATGACACAGATGGCTTAGATTCCCAATATTTTCACCTAAGCTGTTTTTACTTACAAACATCATTGAATGGGAGTAGCAGCTTTCATCTCTTTCGCTCACTTTTATATCTATCTATGCTTTCTGTCAGATTTAACGTTCTAGCCTAGAAGATTTTTGCTGATCTGATTAGCTAATTTTTTTCCTGCAGTGCCACAATGGACATACACTTTGTTCGACTTGTAAAACAAGGGTGCACAACCGGTGTCCCACTTGTAGACAAGAGCTTGGTGATATTAGATGTCTGGCATTGGAGAAGGTAGCCGAATCACTCGAACTGCCTTGCAAATACATGTCACTTGGATGTCCAGAGATTTTTCCGTACTACAGTAAACTCAAACATGAGGCCCTCTGCAACTTCAGGCCATATAGCTGTCCTTATGCTGGATCTGAATGTGCTGTTGTTGGCGATATTCCATTCCTTGTTGCTCATCTGAGGGATGATCACAAAGTAGATATGCACTCTGGATGCACTTTCAACCATCGTTATGTAAAGTCTAATCCCCGTGAAGTAGAAAATGCAACATGGATGTTAACTGTAAGTATTTGTTTTGTATTATTTAAAAATTATAAGAAAAAAAAAATCAACTTTTTGATAGTAAGGTACATAAAAGTCATTTTTGAAGGCCCCTAAATGACCATAACATGCTTCATAGAATTGCCTAGACGGGAGTGCCGCATTGTAATTTCTGTTCAACTTACTCTAAGATGTAAACATGAAGTCCAATGATTTGGGTGAATGGTTTGTCATGTTGTTTCATCAGCCTCATGAAGTCTAAACCTGCGTGGGTCCAATTCCAAGACTTTTACTCTGAATGCCCTCTAGATTAATCCTGCAGGGCTTGTTTTGAATTGGGAGACTATGTAACCTAGGGATTAGTTGTGTAGTCAAAGCGTTCCAGATGGCTTGCCAGCCAGAAAGAAGCGGTTGAAAGGAAAGAAAGACAATATAACATCTCGGCACTTTTTGTAGTCAATGCATTTTTGGCAAAACCAGTCATTTAACTTAGCAAATTACGTAATAAAGTAATTTAAGATATGGATGATACTCGTGGTCAACAACAGTACAATACTTATATATTGTATTTGTATGCTGTCTGGAGATTGTTCCAAGTGGACTCTAAAGTTATCAGTGAACTGAAAAAACGAATTTCTGAAAAGTGTTACTTTTCTGTGATTCAAAAAGTAGCTATTATAGAGCATCTATTTTCCTATGTTCTGTAATCACCAATGTTTGAATCTCACTCTTACTGGTGCAATTTTATAGCAAGCACTTAAATATCTTTTCTGATCATATTGTGTAGGTTTTCCACTGTTTCGGCCAGTACTTCTGTCTGCATTTTGAAGCTTTCCAGCTAGGGATGGCTCCTGTTTATATGGCATTCCTTCGTTTCATGGGTGATGAGACAGAAGCCCGGAATTACAGCTACAGTCTTGAGGTTGGGGGAAATGGGCGGAAACTCGTTTGGGAAGGCACCCCAAGAAGCATTAGAGATAGCCATCGGAAGGTTAGGGATAGCCATGATGGCTTGATTATACAGAGGAACATGGCGCTTTTCTTCTCTGGAGGGGATAGGAAAGAGTTGAAGCTTCGAGTGACAGGGCGCATATGGAAAGAACAACAAAACCCAGAAGGTGGGGCATGCATTCCCAATCTCTGCAGTTAGGGTGTTCTGCCACATGTGCCTCATCTTTTGTAACGTTAGTATATTCAAATATCTTGAGAATCCTTTTGTGTATACTGGAGCCTAAACTGTATGAATTGTCAATAAACTACTCAAAGAAGTTGTTCTGGCTACGTTGTGAATTTGTTGTTTTGATAGCTGAGTCAGTTATGGTGTGCTTCAATGCTTCTGTCCTAATTCTCCATTTTGGGTACATATTGAAGTTATTGCTATAAGTAGCCAGATTGAAAATGGCACCATCGGGCCTTGAAGCCTTATATATATATGGAAGCCCTTATATATTATATTATATATAATATATATAATAATATATTTATTCATTTTTTTTTATTAGGTTAATGTGTTAAATTTTAAAATTTACTAGCTTTTTACATGATGAGGTACATTTTATCCCCGAACAAAAAAAGGTTTAGAAATTTAATTGCATCTGTAAATGCGATCAAAAATGGTAAGAAGTAATACGGTATTTTTTTTGACGCACTGACAACGACGGCAAATCAGTTTTCTTAATGTCGTTTTGATATATTTATTCATTTTTTTTATTAGGTTAATGTGTTAAATTTTAAAATTTACTAGCTTTTTACATGATAGAGAAGTACATTTTATCCCGAACAAAAAAGTTAGAATTTAATTGCATCTGTAAATGCGATCAAAAATGGTAAGAACGTAATACGGTATCTTTTTTGACGCACTGACACGACGGCATCAGTTTTCTTAATGTCGTTTTGATGTGTTTTTGCTTTTTGCATGCCAATAGAACATTTTTGTCGGAGGGTTTTAGCAATAGCCAATGGCTTCAAAATCCATAAAACTCTCCTCGCTATACCAAGTCTTGATTTTTCCTCATCTTCAGTAAATGATAATGGAGCTTCTCAATCCTTCAGTTTCAAACAGACCACTAATTGTTCCACGCTTTTGCATCTTCACTCGCAAATTCCCCATTAAAGCTTGCAACAGCAAAAATCTATCCGGATTCCATATTCATAGCTATAAATTTCACAATAGCCCCTCCGTGCCGTTCCATTTATCCTACTCTGCCACCAGAAATGTTCGTGTTTCGGCTCATTTTGGACGACAAACGAATCGCAGGAACTCTCTAAGGAAAAAGCTCATTGATGATGCACAGGTGCGCCAAAAGAATCTCACTTCTCTAAATCCAAGCTCTGATTTTCAAAACCCGAATCTTCATTTTGATAATCTTAATAATACTACAGAGAATTTGGATAATGACGATTTAAAAGAGAGTGATTTTGGTTATGGGGTTGGTTCTGTTGAGCCAGAAAGTGCAAAAACATGGAAAACAAAATCGGAAAAAATGGGCGAATCGGTGTTGTCGACTAAGCTAGAGGAGTGGGTTGATCAATATAATAAAGATACTGCATATTGGGGCGTTGGTTCTGGTCCTATTTTTACTGTCTTTCATGATTTAAAAGGGAACGTCAAGCGGGTTTTAGTTGATGAGGATGAAATATTAAAGAGAAGTCAAGTTAAGAAGCGATTTGGGGATTTAACTGAAGTGAATTCGAAAGTTGTGTATGCAAAGGATTTGGCTAGAGAAATGGAGAGAGGAGGAAATGTTATTGCTAGGAATAGTTCAGTAGCAAAATTTCTTGTTTCGAATGAGTCTGCTTTTGTAAACACAATTCGTGATGTTGTTCTTCAGCCAGAGTTTGTCCCAGTGCTCTCGGGATTAGGGAAATTGATATTCTGTGGTTTTGTTGCTATTTGGGCACTGAAGAAGTTATTCACTTTGGGAAATAAGGAGGAAAAGTTAACAGAATTGGACAAAGAAATGATGAGGAGAAAGATAAAGTCTAGAAGAGAGAAAGAAATGCTGGAGGAAGGAAGAGTCGAAGTTGTTCAAGAACCTGTTGAATTACCAATAATGTCAATGGAAAAACCTAAACTGGATAAACAAGAATTAGTGAGAAATATACTTGAGGCAAAGGCTTCAAAGGATAAATTGCTGTTGATGAATTCTCCTAGTTCCCAAACTATGGATTTGGATGAAAAAATTCAAAATATTAGAGCAATGGCAAGGGAAGCTCGAGAGGTGGAGAATGGTGAACAAACAATGATTGATAAGGATAAAGAAGAAACACAGCCTGTGAATGACGAATCATCCAGTGGGATGCAAATGCTTGATGAGCGTCTTGAGGAGGTCATAAGCATCCCAAACAACATTCAAAATGGAAAGTCTGGCCAAACTGGGAATGTGGTTGAAACTAGAGTGCAGATGTCTTTAGACAGATCAAGAGGTGATCATACTAAACATCTAAAAGAGGTGTCTTCTGAACAAAATAAGGTCATCAAATCTTCTAGCACTTCATGTGCTGAGGATTCAAAAGACAGGCAGACAATAACAAAAGGAACGACAAAAAGAGAAGTTATAAGTTCCTCAGGGACTGGTAATCCCAATGGTGAACTGTGTATGCCTGAGGACAGGTCTGTTACAATGAAACCAAGGATTATAAGATCAGTCAGAGAAGCGAGGGAATTCCTTGCTAAGAAAGGTAACCAATATTCCCAGGGACCCCAACTAAATGCAGTTGAAGGAAGTACCACATCTTTAAGTCCGCTTAGTGATAAAGTGTCTGGAAGTAAAACAACCCAAGATGAAGAAACGGAACCTGTCAATTTGGGCAGAATGTCAGATCCTTTACCTACATCAAATTTTGAGGAGGATTTGATTCCAAAGGTTAATGAATTAGTTTCAACCAAGAAAGATGATTCTGAGGATTCTGATGAAGTATATAAAGTTCATGATTATCAAAATTCTGAAACGCTCTTAAATGGTAACAGCAGTAGCAGCACAGGGAGAAGACAGCCTGTAGAGACAGAAAACTGGATGGAGAAAAATTTTCATGAAGTTGAACCCATTATCAAGAAGATTGGAGATGGATTTAAGGATAATTACAAGATTGCAAGAGAAACAGTAAATCAACATATAGGTGCTGATGTAACACGGCTTGACTATGGTGATGATGGTGAACTGGAGTGGATGAAAGATGATGATCTTAGAGAAATAGTTTTTCAAGTCCGAGATAATGAGTTGGCAGGGAGGGATCCATTTCATCTAATGGATGCTGAAGATAAAACTAAATTTCTCAAAGGTCTTGAGAAGAAAGTTGAGAAAGAGAATGAAAAATTGTCTCGGGTGCATGAGTATCTGCATTCGAATATTGAAAATCTTGATTATGGGGCAGGTAATTGATTGCTTGTGAACCATATCATTTATTTATTATTATACTATCCTTTGTTCTCAAAAAATTAGTTTTACAGTGGCATGACTATGCTCTGCTACTGAATCCAGTGCTCTTTCTCTCCTGTTTTATTCTAAAAATTGAAAATTCCCATCACCTTAGGAATACTTGTGTAAATTTACACATTAACAAAAGCATTTTCATATGCTAATATAGTATCCTGCTCATCCTGTAGATGGCATCAGTTTGTATGATCCACCAGAAAAGTTTATACCACGATGGAAAGGGCCCTCATTAGAAAAGAATCCTGAGTTCCTTAACCAATTTCTTGAACAACGGAATGCAATTTTTGATGGAAATGCTAGTAATTCATCCCTTGGGAAGAAGGATGAACAAAACCTGACTCAGAAATCAACAGAATCCTCAGTCAATGACAATGCTGCTACATCCTCATCAGACAATGCTTCAGAGAAGAATTTACGAAATAAGGATCCTAATGTTCCCAAGACAATCATAGAAGGTAGTGATGGTTCTATTAGAGCTGGCACAAAAACAGGCAAGGAGTATTGGCAACACACAAAGAAATGGTCTCGTGGGTTTCTGGAATCTTATAATTCAGAGACAGACCCAGATATGAAATCTACCATGAAGGATATAGGAAAAGATTTAGATAGATGGATCACTGAAGAAGAAATACAGGAGGCAGCTGATCTAATGAAGAAACTTCCTGAGAGAAATAAGAAGTTCGTGGAAAAGAAAATCAACAAGATAAAAAGAGAAATGGAATTGTTCGGCCCACAAGCTGTAGTGAGCAAGTACCGCGAGTATGCAGAAGAGAAGGAAGAAGATTACTTGTGGTGGTTGGATCTTCCACATGTACTGGTATGTAAAACATGCATTTGGCTTTCTTTCTTATGGTTAACTAAACTTTCCAATTTACCATCAAATCTTTTGAATTTTTTCCCAAGTAAAATCCTAGGGATGTCAATTACTTTTTTCTAACATTATCTGTATTTTCTTGAAAATACATATTCTTTTGGTCAGATGATAAGAGTAGTATTCGACTCTTTTGGGCTAATGCCACATGTTCAGTTGGGATATTGGCATTTGAATATCTGCATAATAAAATTGATAAATTTTGTTGCTATTTTCAGTGCATCGAATTATACACTACCCAGAATGGGGAGCAGAAAATAGGATTTTATTCTTTGGAGATGGCTGCAGATCTTGAACTGGAACCCAAACCATGTCATGTGATTGCTTTTGAGGATGCTGGGGATTGCAAAAACCTCTGCTGTATTATTCAAGCTCACATGGACATGCTTGGAAATGGCCATGCTTTTGTTGTTCCAAGGCCTCCAAAGGTGGAAATTCCTTTTTTCTTTCTAATTATAACTTAGAATTATTCAGCAGATCCTTTGAGTTATAGGGAATTTTTATGCCATATTTGCATGCCATTCTTCTGACTCATAAATGAGAAGCATATTATTAGTGTATTTACAACTCAGAAATTATTTAACCAAACTGGATTAACCATTCTAGCATTCATATATTTGAAAGAATCTGCATGTATCAATGTGTTACTTTCAGAAATATTTTCCTGAGCACCTTTGGGAGGCTGGAATAATATTCATATTTTTCTATTTGGTGAGTGAAAATGTTGGACAAGACTCTTTCATGGAAGCCGATCCACTGCTACTAGCTAGTATTTATATTCTCATCGCTTTCAAATGGAATAGAAATATTTCTCTGAATCTACAGCTTGCACTTTTTTAGCAATTGTGATCTGTTGGTTGAAATAATTTAGCTGCTGAATTCTAGGTCTTTCTTTTTTGATTTTCATGTTTAGAGGTGATAGGCAGCATAATTACAATTTCATTGTTTCCTAATTCCAATGTTTCTAACTGTTGATCTTCCTAGGATGCCTTTCGGGAAGCCAAAGCAAATGGTTTTGGTGTTACTGTTATCAGGAAAAAGGAGCTACAGCTAAATGTAGATCAAACCCTGGAAGAGGTGGAGGAACAAATTGCTGAGATTGGGAGCAAGATGTACCATGATAAGCTCATGCAGGAGCGTTCTGTTGATATAAGTGCGCTGATGAAAGGTGTCTTTGGTGTCAATGGCCAAACTGCTAGTTCAAAGACTAAGAGGTATTCATTTTTGGCTTGAGTTGCATGCCTGATATAAACTATAAGCCGATTAAGATGCGAGAGGAATAAGGCGGTGGTAATGTGGATGGACAATAAAAATATGCTTTGTTTTATTTGCGAAATAAGACCATTTATATATTTTCTATCCGTTTGTTTCAGAAAAAGGTCAAAGAGGAAGCTGAAGAAGCCTGGCAAGAAATGAAGATGATAAAACAGCTGGGCCATATAAAGTCGATGGCTGTGCAATGCATTTTACAGGGTCTCTATCTGGGTTCTTTGTGTTGCTTCCAGGAAGGAAGCACGGGAGCAGGAGGAGCACGTCCTGTCCAATGCCGATCTCTTTTACCTGTCATACCATCACCTATCAAATTCAATATGCTGCCAACTCAATTTGTAGGCCCTTCCAATCATGCACTGTTGGCAATTTTTGACATTCAAAATTTTGCTGCGCTGAGAAGGATGATTTGAACTATGGCTAGCGCAGTACCAATTCTAACAAGGAGCATTATAGCTTTGGTTCTCAAGGTGAAAATGAATTGTAATGTGAGACGAATTGTGGCTGCGTGCATCACTAATTTCAGACACATTGATCTCGAATAACCATCCTTGCAAAGTCTGAACTCTGGTCCGAGCAGTTGACCTCTGTATTTGTTAATAGTTTACTATTTCAGTGTTGTACATATGATAACAGATGGTCTGTGTTTTTAGAACTGAAAGATGAGTTAATTCAATTTACAACAATGTGAAAACCTTCTGACTTCGCTCTTGTTTGACCTGTGATATACGTAAAAGGTAGACGAATCATTCTCATCTTGTTTGAGATGATTTATACTTAAAAGTATCGTAAATAAACTAAGGAGTTTGTTACATGGCGATTGGCAGGTGTCCTTCTGTCATATTTATAGGGAGTGCAACAGATGTGCGGATTGGATGGCGCGTTTTGGTAGCCAGCAGAGTATAGGTGTTCATTATTTTGATTCTCCTCCCCTTTGGTCTTTCTTCTTTTCTTTTGTATGACATTTGTGGTGCGACTTGCCCACGTTTTGTGTCTGGTTAATATTATGGTTTCTTCTTTCTTTTCAAAAATAGTAAATAAACTAAGAAACATACAGTGTGTAATTGGTAGGACACATCCCAAAACTCTCAAACCACAACTTCCTCCCAAACAAGCATGAAGTACTTATTTTATTTTAAATAAAATGCGAGTTGGGAACCTAAACAAGAAACATGTTCGTTCTCTCATTGAACGAGACAACAAAAGATGCTAAACATTCATCACGTAGATGCTGCTGATGGAAACTACAAGTTACTTTCAACATTGAAGTGTAGTACATTCAAGATAAAAGAATCAGATTCTCATCTTCAGATCAATCAGAAACAAATGAAATTCTATCAAATAGTCTTGAAGTCGAAAGAATTTGAAAACAGGGGAAAGAAACTACGATGTAATTGAAAATCCCGCCATAAATGTATATGTACGATAACATATGTACATATACACATATATACCAATGTTATCTACCAAATTTAGAAATCCGTCAACGCAGAGACTCCAGCATCTCATCAAGGCGACGGTCCATGATGTGTGATACTGTCTCAAGGAACGCAACTTCGCTTGTGCCAGGAAGTACAGAATCCTCTGCTTCTTGGACAATCTCCTCAATAACAGATGCCTTCTTCAAGGTCTCTCTGCACATTATGCTTCCAATAGCAAAGGGGGTGAAACCCCTCTCCACCCCCTTCTTCAGAAGCATGGTGGAGATGCGAAGTGTCCGCGCACTTTCAACCGGCATGTCCCATCCATGAAACTTCAGAAGAGCAATATCCTCTTCTGCGTCCAGTGATTTTATGTACTCAACAGTACTAGCGTCAAAAGGTTGATGAGCTTGAGGCCAGTAGAGCCAATCAAATGTGCAATCCTCGAACTGTGAGAAGTAAGAACACATGATTACTTCCACAAATTGAGCAACATATTGTAGTAGTAATAATAATAATAATAGTAGCAATGGAGAATCCAAATTACATGCTCGGCAACATGCTAAATAAACAAAGCAAATCACGTTAAAAATAATAAAGATAAAATTAACCCAAAAAAGAGATGATGATGCGCATGAAGTAGCTAAAAACTAGAGTAAGCAATGCTTACACTTTCAGGCAAGCAGTATCCATGATCTATTGGAATCAGCATAGTCTGTCCATCTTCCGCATTTTTACCCAGCAAAATATTCCCAGCATGCCTATCCGCATTTGCCATTCTTATATCCAGAACCGATATTTTATGAACTTCCTCAACAGGGAAAGCCCCTGGACCCATATCTTCACAACTTCCATCATTCTCAATAAACATCTGCAAGGACCCAATTTTGACTGCTACATCGTCTGGATGGTTAAACCACTTATGGAAGCACTTGATCATAACCGTAGGTGGAACCCCCGCAAAACCACTCTCATCACCGAACAAGGATCTGCGTCCCCTCTTTGGATGATCCAAAATATAAGCTGCAACTTCCCTTAAAGCTCCTTCTCCCACCCTGGTACCCTTCTTTAACCCTTCACCATCAGGTGACAAAGGTAGTCCTCGAGGGTTGTTCACAGCCATAGGTTCCTCATCAATTGGCTTAAAAACAGAAACAAACTTCTGTCCAGAAGAATCCTGCATGAAATAAGCCCCACCCGTTCCCTCCATAGATCTGATTGGATTATTCCCATTCTCTAATCCATCAAAGGTAGCATTTACCATATCACAAAGCACAGAGGGCAATTCAATTTTGGGATTAACAATAATTGGCTCCAATAGAAAATCTCTATCAGGAGGCTTTCTTCGTACAATCTGCATATTAACAGCATGATTTCTCTCATCATTCTCTTCACCAGCATCGTATTGTCTTCTAGCAACAGCGTATTCTTTCCTAGCAATCTCCTCATCATTCAATCGCGGTGCCACAATAGACAACTCCAAATTCTTCTCCACAGCCTTTGTCCGAACTTTTGCTGATTTCCTCACCAAAAAATGAATCACAGCATCATCATTATTATTATATTTACAGATATCATCTATAAGCCACCGATCCTCGAGTGCCTCACCATCACAAACAACCTCATGCTCGTCAAGGTCATCAAACTGCCTCTCCTTCTTTGCAACCTGTTGTTTCACATACCCAACATCTCTCCCTCGCTCCACACAAAATGTATATTCTTTCCCGTGTGCAGTCTTTACCTTTATAACCTGAAGATCAGAAAGCCTAAGAACCAAATGCAGAACATTCCCATCAGTGACACCATAGTCACGGATAAGGGAATTGCTCCGCGATAGCTCGCGGCCTCCACAAACAAGTTTTTGGTTCTTGACAACAAACCCTCTACAGGACTGAATCCGTAGCTTCACAGATTCAATGGAATCAGACCCTGAAAGACGCATTGGCATCATAGACCCACCAACAGAGAGCTGTATTAAGATATAGTCATTGGAGGAGGGGGGTGATACGGCATCGACCAACTCTGAAGGCAGTAGAGGAACATTTTGAAGTGGACTGAGGGCAACACCACCAGACGACATTTTTTTTACAATTTATTTCGTTTTTCGATTTTTTTTTATTGAGAACAACTGTTGATTTGGATTTGAAGGAAGTTCAAAAGAAAAAACTATACACGAATCATAATAAACTAGACATTTTTAGATTGTCAATGACCATCCAATGACAATCAAGATGATCCGCAAAGAACTAAAAAAAAAAACTACAAAACGAATCTTGAAATTTATGTACAAAGCCAAAACATTCTGCTAACCAAACGATAGAAGAAATTTCAACGTTTAAGCCCAGGGTTAGGAGAATTTAACAATAGATCGAGATTTCTGCAAAGTTAGGGTTCTAGTACAATAAGAAATCATGAAAGGGGAACGGTAGCCAATATAAGGGCAGAAAATGAAAGAGAGAAAGGACTCTTACCAAACCGGAAGAACCGAAGAGAACGGAAAAGGCGAACCGGAGGTTAAATTTACTAAAATAATCTCGATCGGCGATGGCTAAAAAGATATTTTTGTGCTGGTGATTGGTGAATGGAGAGGAAGGAGAAAAGAGACGCGTGGAGCCGGCAGCGTTTTATACGTAGCGCGTCAAAAGTAAGACTTTTGGGAAAAAATAAAAAATTAATTTGTTAATACATTTTGGGTGTTTCTGGTCAAATATATGCAAAGGAATATTCCTGTTTTATAGTAGTGAATACGTACAGCTGTTCATACTTGGAGTGGTCTCCAAGCTTTTTTTAAATTTGAATTTACTATTTTTACTATCCGTAATTTATCCTTATCGTCCTAACTCTGCATTAAAAATAAGTCTAAGTCCAATTTCCATGTGATGAAGAAAACTTATTTGTGTTTTATTAAGTTATTCTTCGCAATAATATAAAGGTATTACCTTAATCGGATATATATTATTACATTACATCGTTAATTTTTATAAACAGTTCATTTAAAAAAATTATGGGAAAAGCGGAAAACTCTTAATTTTAATAGTAGTATAATACGGGAAAATAAGTGAAAATTAGGTATGACGAGGGTGGATAGAGGTAAAGGGCGAGGCACCGGTATTTTTTCATGTATCCGTACGTATAGTTGCAAATATAGGACCAAGACCAACAGCAATGTGCTTGCTTTGTAATGCTTTGACAAAATCTAGCGACGTCAGCTCATACGAAATGAACAAGTGAACTGAGGTGTAGTCTACTAGACTATATTATTTAAGGGTGTGTATATTATATATTATACTATTATTAATTAAAAGTCATTAAAATTTATTTTTAAAGTGAATTTTTTGTATGTTAGTCATACTAATTTCCAAATAATTAACCAGCATTCCAAAATTGCCTTTTCCTAATTATTAATGCCAAAAACCCTCTAATAACTCAAACTGCCGACTGAAATTGGTTCGTTATTATACGTGACTGACTGAGCAGTCAATTGTTATACAAATCCTTTTACCAGCTTCCACCAAAAAAAAAAAAAAAAAAAAAAAAACTATATTAATTTAGGGTGTGTATATTATATAATTATACTATTATTAATTAAAAGTCATTAAAATTTTTAATTTTTTAAAGTGAAATTTTTTGTATGTTTAGTCATACTATTTTCCAATAATTAACCATGCAAATTCCAAATTGCCTTTTCTTTTCCTAATTATTAAATGAATGCCAAAAAACGCCTTCTAACTTAACTCAAACTGCCGACTGAAATTTGGTTCGTTATTTATACCGTGACTGACTGAGCAGTCAATTGTTATACAAATCCTTTTACCAGCTTTCCAACCAAAAAAAAAAAAAAAAAAAAAACCGTTTAAAAAAAAAAAAAAAAAAAAAAAACCGTTTTACGACTGACTGACTGAAAGAACGTCAATTGTTCCCGGTTCCCAGTCATCGCTCATCAGCAATCCAAAATACTCATTCTGCGATAGCAATTTCCTTTTCGTAAGGGAGCCAAATCCAATAAGTATCAATTAAAAAGAACTGGTGGAAAAATTAAAAAACTTCATTTCTATTCCTCAAAAATAATGTGCTTCCGCTATTCTGCATTACAGTAAAATACATCAACAGCTCTGAGAGCCTTGATAGAATGAGCCAAGGCAGCAAAAACAACAGAATCTCTGTGTCCTTTACACAAAGCTGAACCAAAATTGCACACAGAAGAAAATTTACGTTGCAATTAGGCATCCCTGACAACAATAACAGGCGACCAAAATGCCAACGACTGCTCCTGCAAAGACTTGTGATGGAGTGTGGCCGAGAAGTTCCTTCAGCTTTCTTTGACTGATAGGATGCCCTTGAAACAGGTCCTCAACTATCATATTGAGAATCTATTGTTAAGGCAGGAAAGATGCACATGTTAGTCCTTGGTGTCGTTGCAAATTCAGATGCACTGCTCGACACACATTCTAAAGGTTCAAGTGGTAAATTGCATGTCTAATCATAAGTAATGTGAAGCAGACTAGAAAAACCTCATCAATACCAGTTCCAATTTGCAAACAAATATTATGTTTTATGGGATTTATTTTCAATAAAACAAAGAGCTATATATTACGAGGAAATAATCACATATTTAGACTTTCCAGAAGCTATCCAACTAACACCAAATCAATTCAAACTCTGATCAACTTGAGGTGGAACATTATTGATTTCAAATGTCCACCTTCTGTGTATATCCCACATTAACTGTCAATAAAATAAACTTCCATGTCTGATCAACTTAATTTATTTATCAACATTGAAAGACTCTCCAAACATTCAGTGAAGAACTGCAAGTCCAACATATTTTTACTAAAATTATCCTACCCCATGCCCACTATTTCCTAGCATCTAATAGCTAACCTCATTGCAATATGAACTGTCAAAACAAGCATTCAACTCTGCAACGTCTTGTTATGGCAATGCCTCAACAACAGTCAGTAAGGAAAAGTTACTCCCTCTTTACAAATTAAGCTGGAGAGAATCATAATACCCTCAAACTCCACTATAACTCCTCAAATTAGCATGCAACATATGCCACAATATGAATCCAAATATTGAAAATCAATCACATAGAACATTAATAACTATAGAAGCCAAAACTAACTGAACAAGATATCAGTTTGGTACATTTATTAATAAAAAATAATTGGAAAATTACAATGTAATTTATTTATGCAATAATTTGACAACGAGTCCAATAACCATTTGTTATTTATACAATACTAAAAAATTATAATTTGCATATGTACATATAAATCAATTAAATCAGATATAATTTTTGGAGTAAGTAAACTGACAACCAAAGGCCAAAAATTCAACCACTTACTAATGGGATCTAATTGAAAACTGAAAAGTAACAATCGAAGTAACCAAATTTCATCAAATCAATTTTTTTGATAGAACTGAATAATATTCACCCCTACCATTTGACAAGGGCTTATCAAGCACCAAAATTCAGGCCTTCCACATACAATTCTTACCCACTAAATGATGAAATTCATACTTTCTGCAAAGTTAGAAACCCAGATGACCCCTAGTCCAACTGGGTTACCCAATGCACTTATTTCTCCCAAGCTAACCACATCATTTCTGGTATGAGTTGATACCGAGAAGAAACTACAAACGAAACAGATTTAGCTGCTGAATTTGCCATATAGTTCAGACCAAACAAGCAGTCCAATTTATCAATACCACTAACAATGAAGTAATAGGAGATGAGAACAGCAACAATAAAATCAAACAAGCAATTCAACAGTTGATACCTATATCTCATAATTCACAAGTGCTTAAAATCACTAAATTTCACTTAAGCACGCATTCACAATTTTTCTAACAAAAGAATACTCAAACACCACCGAGAAAGAAAATGATAAAATATAAAGCTGATTACCTCCGCATGCATCCCGGCATGACGCCTGACACCAATTGCATCATACATAACTATAAGGCTAAACCCCAAACAAACTGGAAATAACGAATCAGCCACCCCATGACAAAGCGCCACTGATGTTGTCATAGCAGTGCATAAAGCCGAATGTGAAGATGGCATTCCTCCAGAGGCAAAAAGTAGTCTCAAATCCCATTTCCTCTCCACAAAGAAATTTAAAATCACTTTTATTGCTTGGGCTATAAACCACGCAAAAAATCCCGATATAAAAGTTGGGTTTGCTGCCAATGTCGCAACGAAAGGACTAATTCGAACCTTAGCGTTCGATGTAATGCTCAATAAAGCTACTCCAAATGCTCCATTTTGCAAGTATTTGCCACTGTAATCAACCATTGCCTTTTCCGATTCCTCAGTGTATGCTTGTAATCGAAAAACCCATTTCTTGGTTTGTGAAGAAGCAACCCCCTTTACTCGTTGCAATATTGGGACCAAAACAAATAAAGGGTTCAAAGAAAAGGTATTATTATTCCATGTGGATTTCGGGTTTTGAGGATTTGAAGGAGTTGTACAAGAAAAACAAATTGGAGAAGCGCTAAATTTGGTAAAACGAGTCAAGTTAAAGAATGAGAAGTGTTTAGAATAGAAAGGTTTAGTGCAGGAATTAGAGGGATTAACACAGGAAGTTCTCTTAATGAAAGAAGTGGGTCGAAGGGTTAAAGAGTCCATGAGGAGAGACTTGTACGCTTGATTTCAGTCTGCATTTCAGGGAGAGGTGTTGAGAAGGAACGAGAGGCTACGCGAGATTGACCCGTTAAAACTTAAAACAGTATTTATATGTATATTTTGATACGAACTTCATACTTGTGGTTGTGGCAGAGAAAGAGCCCTTAATTTGTCTTATTATTTTATCACGCTTTAGGCAACGAATATGCTACGGTTTATTTGATTATACTTATTGGACCATTTGGAAACGAATCAAGCCCAAGAATAATTTCAAGAGAAGGCAAGCAACAGAATAAGCCCACAAAAAACAATTTTCGTTCGATTAATGGTTACCATCCTTTTCTTTTTTCTTCAAAATATTTTGTTTAATATAATTTTGAACCATTTGGTGATAACCAAAAAATAAAAACTCTTATAACAAAACACAGTTTTAAACTTTAAAACTTATTAATCAAATAATATTTATAAGAGATATAAATATAATCATAAAAAACCTAAAAAGAAAAAAGGAAGCTAACTTAAGTGCCCTTGCAAATTTTAATTCAAAATAATCCTTTTTATGTGTTGATCATTTACCCTTGCATTTTTTTTAGAGCAACATTAATTGAGTTTGTGATACAATATGTAACTTAATTACTTCAATTAAGTTTTATTAAATATCTCAAAAAAAAAAAAAAAAAAAAAAAAAAGTTACAAATTCTTTTTAGTACATTAAAAATTTTCAAAACCAAATAATTAAAGAAGAGAAAAATAATTTCAGATTAACTTTTGCAATTTACTCTTTTCTCCCTTATTATTCAAACAACAAGGGTAACGCAGCAAACCAAACAAAGAACAGATACAATACGTTAGAAAGTTTCCATGATCTCTTTCATCTTCCTTCCAATTTCCCGGTTCGTTCGCCAACCTCTTCTTCTTTGATTCTTTCTTTCATATTTTTTAAACGCAAACGCTCCTTATCTGCATTTCTCAATTTCAAAAACAGAAAAAGAAAAGAAGGTAAATCCTCGTTATTGACCTTCAATTTCTCACCTCTGTTTCAACTCGCCAATTGCCGCCACCATCTCGATCAAATACGGATCCGACTGATTGTTTGAACTCGGTTTTGATACAATGGATAATTTGATATCATTGGTGAACAAAATACAGAGGGCCTGTACGGCCCTTGGTGATCACGGCGATGAAAGCGCGTTGCCTACACTTTGGGACTCTTTACCCGCCATTGCCGTCGTCGGTGGCCAGGTCCCATTCTCTCTCTCTAATATTGAAATTATGCAAATCTTTTATTTGTTCACCATTTCTTTCCTATATGTTTGTTTATATTTCAGTTATGGACCTTGAGATTATATTTTTGTCTGAAGCATTTAAACAAGTCTGCATTTATGAGGATGAACTTGTCATTTGTCAATGTATTTGCAGTTAGCGTTGAATTCCTCTGTAATACACGGCAAGGGCCCATTGTTTGTTGTATGTAGCATTTTGACTCCAAAAGGCCCAATCACATGGCCCATATAAAGCCATACCCATACTTTAGAAAGTCTTGGGAGACTTGGACGTTGATGACCAATAGAGAAAAATTTCCCTCCATAACGACATGACTCGTCGTCGGAGTAAGAGCTTGTCTCTCTTAACGACTGCCGTTCGCAGCTATACTCTTCGTGCTCTCAGATTATACAAAGATGCAGGGGCCACCAGCAGCGCCATTTCTTTTCACTTATCTGCTTATGTTTATGTTTATGTTTCACTTTTCGATCTTAAGATTACATTTTTGTTTAAATCATCTAAATATAACTTATGAATCTTCGCTTAAAAATCAGGATTAGCTAGTCTAGCAATTAGAATACGTTATTTTTACTTTTATGCTTTTAGACCTGGCGTTCAGATTGAATTTTGTTGGAACTTGTAAAATTCAAGTTAATTCAATTGGTCTACTCTCCCATCTACCAGTTTTTCAATTCCAAAAGACAACTATTTCTGGGCATAAGTTACAACTCTTCTTGGGGAATGGAAATCATTTTCAGGACCTGTTGTATTTAATAATCTATAGCTTTCATTGTTTACAGAGTTCTGGAAAATCTTCAGTGCTGGAAAGCATTGTTGGAAAAGATTTTTTACCTCGTGGGGCAGGTAATTTACATGTATGCTGTGAATTCTTTTAATCTCTAAATTATTTTATCTTGATACACATAATTTCCATGCAGGGATTGTTACACGGCGTCCTCTTGTACTGCAGCTTCATAGGATCGATGAAGGAAGAGAGTATGCTGAGTTTATGCACCTCCCAAGAAAGAAATTCACCGATTTTGGTATACTATCTATGAGAGAAGCCTACTAGTTTTTATACAATTTGTGTTTTATTGACTTTTGTTGTACAATTACTTTGTGTATGTATATCTCTTTGTTTCGATAGCTATTCTTCTATTGTGTGTAGCTGCTGTGAGGAAGGAGATCTCTGACGAGACTGATAGAGAGACTGGCCGCACCAAACAAATCTCTACTGTTCCTATCCATCTTAGCATCTATTCCCCTAATGGTGAGATAGTAATGCCAATCACACGATTTATTCTTACCTGGATTGGGCTTTTACATTAATCTGAAGAAGTGGTTTTAAACCAAGTGACTCATAGAATATTTAACTCGACTAATTTGATTTGATGATCGAAGAATTTGAAGGTGCATCTATCTTTCGTTTTAAGCTGAAAAAATAAGTTGAAATTGAACTATTATCAATAAACTAATAAATAACAGATTTTACATTATTTACTTTTACCAATCGATTTGAAATTCAAAATTAATGCTTGAACATCATAATCTTCAAGTCATTTCTGTCTATCAGCAATCCAGGGTTTGAATTGTTTTTGATATTTTTTATTGTCTTCCTGAACTATCCAACAAATTTCATTGACTTTTGAATTCTGCAGTTGTAAATTTGACATTGATCGATCTTCCTGGTCTTACTAAAGTAGCTATTGGTGAGTTATTTGCCACTTACTCATGTGTGCTAATGAATATACTTGTCATAGTTTTTAAAAGGCTAACGGACAATATGTTATATTGAGAATCATAGATGGTCAACCTGAAAGCATTGTGCAAGACATTGATAACATGGTTCGGTCATACATTGAAAAGGTAATTTTGTTACTTAATCTGGAAACCTTTCATGCAACCTTATGAAAAAAAATTTTCAACTGAAATTCTGAAAATCCCAAGTGCAGTGAATTTTGATATCTGTAGGAGAGCTTGAAGTGTAATTGTATAATATTAGATCCCACAAATTCTACCTCATGCAAAGATGTACTTTTAGGAGCTACTCTTTTTCATTCTTTGGGAGCTAATCTATTTGTGCATCATTGCAGCCCAACTGTATTATTCTGGCAATTTCTCCTGCCAATCAAGATCTTGCTACTTCAGATGCAATTAAGATATCTCGAGAAGTTGATCCTAAAGGTAAGATTACAGACAGCATTTTATTAGAAAATATTCACATCATTGATTTGACAGATCATCTTTGGTTTGAAAAATTCAAAAATAAAGAAGGATGGATGATTTGAAAATTAGTGTAATTTTAGATATGGAAAAGGGAAAATACAGGAGTTTCTATTTGCACTGCTGGAATGGAACATGGCATTTAATATTTTTAGTGGGGAGAATTAAAGTATGACTTGAACTCTGATGCAATGGGTGAGAGGAAAATTGATTAACGTTTAGACAGTAAAACTTGGGTTTTAAATAACCTAGTTCATCTCCATTTTTTAATTGTATTTTACTTTTTGCTTATGCTTTTGGGGCTTGAATTTTTACAGAGAAGAAGATTGCTTATTCACTGAATAACATTGAGCATCTACAGTATTTCTACTCTGAAAGATTTTGGATTTTTACAATTTTAATTTCAGAAAATGATTGTTGAGTTGTATTTTTATCCTTTGACCTGTGATTTACTATACGTATCATTTGTTTGATAATCAAATTTTAGGGGAGAGGACATTTGGCGTTCTGACAAAGATCGATCTTATGGACAAGGGTACTGATGCAGTTGATGTAAGTGCACTTCCAATCATTTGATTAAATTTGGTTATTTCATTGTAGAGTTTTTCTTCAAAATTATACTTTTTGTTCTTTTCTTTGAATTCTGAAGCCTGTTAATAGCATCATTGGGCTTGTCTTTGTCCAGGAAAAATGCATTAGTGCTTGAAAAGCATTTTGCTATATCCTGAGCATATAACTGCTATATGAAGTTAAGAAAATTTTTGATATATTTTAATAAGATTCTAGGATGAATAGATGTTTTTATTAGATGTGGCGTTTCCAATTTCAATTAAGTAAAGATATACGAGTTTAGATGTTGCAGTCAAAAGCATTCTGTTTCTCTCATAAAATTTTTGCCATTCATTACTAAATCTATTGAAGAAGAATTCAAGTCTCGCTACAATGAATTTCTCCCAATATTTTGGCTTTTGCAGATTTTGGAAGGAAAATCGTATAAACTACAGTTTCCTTGGATTGGTGTTGTTAATCGCTCACAAGCTGATATCAATAAAAGTGTGGACATGATTGCTGCTCGACGTAGAGAACGAGAGTATTTTCAACAAAGCCCAGAGTACCGGCATCTTGCTCAAAGGATGGGCTCTGAGCATTTAGGAAAGATGCTTTCTAAGGTATTCAAAGATGTTAATGAGAATTTAAATATCCATCAATGCTCATACACATGTCATGCTCATGCATGGTGTTGAATGTGGTTAAATTTTCAGCATTTGGAACAAGTCATCAAGTCTCGAATTCCCGGCCTTCAATCTCTTATCAACAAAACCATTCTTGAACTAGAAGCAGAATTGAGCCGTCTTGGGAAACCTGTTGCTACTGATGCTGGGGTGAGCATTAAATGTGTCATTGCATCTCCTTTCTCATACAACTACTACTTTGGGTTTCTTTACACATTATTGCCAATCTGATGGAAGTCAGGTGGCCTTTTTATCCGGCTATGATTCTTTTCGTCTTCCTTTTGCCCCTTTCAACATTAATTCACACCCGCAGACTACTTGAATCTTGTTGCAAGAAACATTGGTAACTTTTGTTATTTCTTTTTCAAATGCAGGGAAAATTATACATGATCATGGAAATCTGTCGTTCATTTGACCAAATATTTAAAGAATGTCTTGATGGCATGTATATGTTCTGATACTGCTTTGTATTTTTATAGTGAAATGGAATAAGTGCCATTCATCTTGTCTTAGTTTGCAACTTGATCTCGTGTTGGATAATACCTTTTGTCTGCAGACGTTCTGGTGGTGACAAGATTTATTCTGTGTTCGATAATCAGTTACCAGCTGCTTTGAAAAGGTTGCAGTTTGATAAACAACTTTCATTGGACAATGTAAGAAAGCTAATAACTGAAGCTGATGGATACCAGCCGCATCTAATAGCTCCTGAACAAGGTTATCGCCGTCTTATTGAATCTACTGTGGTTACTATCAGAGGTCCTGCTGAGGCAGCTGTAGATGCGGTACTCATTCATATTTCCTTTAGAAAATTATGTTTTTGGTGATCATATTATGGAGAGCTTTTGTTGAATGTGGCTATGTGTTGCTATTTATTATTGATTGCAGTTGATCTTTTATTCTTCAACATTATGAATTCTGTGTGCATGAACTGTGTGCGCAGATACAGTGTCATTACCATTTTTTTAGCTTAGATTGAACTACATTTTTTTTCATTTCAATCTTATAGAGCCCACTCCTTTCAAATCCTTTTTCTTGTTGGCCTTTTCATAGTAAAATTTTACGTATCTTCTCCAAGTTCATGCAGTTTCCTCTTGTCACATCACTGTGTGATGAATCCACGGATGAAGAGATATTTCTAATTGTTGTTAGTAACACATGCTTTTCTGAGGAACAATATGGAATTTCATTTTGTGCTTGGCAATGACATGCATTGCTTGCTCATGAAGCTTTTTCTTGACATTGTCATTCTTGTTTGTCACTGCAGAATGCAGACATGTTCTGTAAAATGTGGGGAGTTTGTTTGATCTCTTCCTTTTACCATGATTTCAGGTCCACGCCATACTGAAGGAACTGGTTCAAAAGTCTATCAGTGAGACCATGGCAAGTACCTCAGTTGTTAGATTAACATTATCACACGGTTTGCTTTAGTGAGAAAATGTAGCTTTGATAAGTTCGAGCCAGTTGGTCACAAGGAATGGGGAAACTGAAGAAATCCAATGCTGTCTTTGGACACTAAATTTGGATTACAAAATTTTGATTTGTAAGTGCTTGCTTTTCCCATTACTTGTAGGAACTAAAACAGTATCCAACTCTGAGAGTGGAAGTGAGCAATGCTGCTATTGAATCATTGGAACGGATGAGAGAAGAAAGCAGGAAAGCAACTTTACAGCTTGTTGATATGGAATGCTGTTACTTGACCGTAGAATTTTTCAGGAAGCTTCCTCAGGATATTGAGAAGGGTGGAAATCCTACACATTCAATTTTCGAGAGATATAATGATTCATATCTTAGGCGGATTGGTAAGTGACTAATGACGCTCGTGCTTGTGCTTGTGCAGTAAGATTTGTCATTAATCTGTTGATTCTGATTTTGTATCCTCTCAACAAACAGGAAGTAATGTCTTGTCATATGTGAACATGGTTTGTGCAAGTTTAAGAAACTCCATTCCAAAGTCTGTTGTGTATTGTCAAGTGCGGGAAGCAAAACGCTGTTTACTTGATCATTTCTTCGCAGAGCTGGGACGGAAAGAAGTGAAAATCCCATTTTTTTCTTTTTCTTTTTCTTTTTGAGAGAGAGATAGCTTAGTGGTTGTCGTTAATTGTCTATATATTTATGTTTCAGAAAAATCAGTTGTCTTCTTTGTTGGATGAGGATCCAGCAGTGATGCAGCGAAGAACCAACATTGCAAAGAGATTGGAGCTGTATAGAAGTGCTCAAACAGAGATAGATGCAGTAGCATGGGCCAAGTAGATAACAGTTTTTTCTTTTTTCTTTTTTATGAAATTTGGATTCAATTTTGTAACTCACGACTAGTAAATTCCTTATAGCTTATTTTTGCCACAGCTTTTACAGCTTAAATTTTTTTTTTTTTTTTTTGGTATGGTTCAATGAGTTTTAATATTAATTGCTGTTTTGTGACACTTAATAGCCTGTGCCACTTGGTATTTCTTCTTGCTAGACCCCAATCCCAATTTTGGTTCGATAAGAATTTTTGGGGGACCGCGTGAAACATACTTGCAGTAAACAATGAATTGCAAATTAGACTTGTTCCCTTTATAGAGTGTTATCTTATAATTAATTAATGGCAACCAAAAACCTTATTTTATCTGTCGCCTTACCCTTCATATACACATTTAGGCACAAATACATATTATTATGAAAAAAAAAGAATAAAAAAAAAAAAAAAAAAAAAAAAAAGAATATGGATTAAACAACAGAAATATCATTATCTTCAATGACTTTTGTTAAACTAAAGAATTGAATGACAATTGTATTTAGAAATCTTTTAATCATTATGTTGGTAACCAAGAGATATATATTATCAAAATTTAAAGGTTTAAAATTCTAACACCTTCATGCTTTAAGACGTTTTAATAATTAAAGTTTAGACGAAGACAAAAAAAGGTCTCGGGATATTACTGGGATAAAAATAGCAAGGCCGGATCATATACTTAATAATACTAGCCCAAACTGGATGAGGCCCAGCCGGACTTGTGTTTTTCGATCCATGAAAGCGAAAGGTGAAAAAAAGAAATGGAGGTGCGGGGAATCGAACCCCGTGCCTCTCGCATGCGAAGCGAGCGCTCTACCATATGAGCTACACCCCCGTTGTTTTATCTCTCCCTTATTAACATAATAACACAAGGAAAGAAGTTACTAATGATGGATAAATATGAAAAAGAATGTGACAAATTTGCCTTGTGAATATCTCCTTAAATTTAACTTACCTGAATCTGTAATATGCAACTTGCATGCAAATATGAGATAAAAGACCTCGATGAAGATGAGACACCTGTATCCTTTCACCACTAAATTTGTACAACTTGTTCAGTGTTTAACCTCTTTATCCATGCATGCATTGCTCCCAAACCTACCTCGTGAGGCTACTTTACTTCTAGGAATCTTGAAATCACAAAATGTTAACTCTGCTTGCATAGCTACGGTTATTATTACGATGATGTAACGACAATTTAATTACCAAATTGTTTTCTTCTTCTTCCTGGATCAACTCAAAACTCAGTACTGTAAACTGCAAACCAATAAATCAGCTTTAATTAACTTCTCGCCCCTCTCTCTCTCTATACAAGGTAATATATATTTCAATGTAGCTTTATTTTTACTCCTTGCCCCACATTTGAAGTGCTAATAATAGGTTTCAGGCTGATGGAGTACTCAGCAGAGAACTCAGGTCTAAAATGGAGAAAGCCAAATCTTAAACCAATTGAGACAGAGAGGTCTGCAGTAGGCAAAGGAAAAGAAGTAAATCATTATAAAGATGGTGATGGTGAAGAAGAAGCATTAAGCCCAGTAGCTCGGTTGTTTCATGAACCCAACTTCAATGTGTACATCATAGCCATCATGGGTTGCAAAACCCCAATTAAACCACATATCATTAAAGCCAACTTGGTCCACACTCTGCTCAAGCACCCTCGCTTCTCTAGTTTACTGGTAATTGCTTTTATTATTATTATTTAATTATGGTCTGCTATTTAAATATTTGCATAATTTTACTGTTTTCTTGACACCGGAAAATATATAACGCAGGTAGTGGAGGACAAAAATAGTAAAGAAATGAAATGGGTTAGGACTAAAGTGGATTTAGACAAGCACGTTATTATTCCAAAATTAGATGAAATAACCATAGACTCACCAGACAAATTTGTAGAAGATTACATTTCCAATCTCTCCAAAACCACCATCAGTAAATCACAGCCTCTATGGGACGTTCATCTCCTCAACATCAAAACGGCGGATGCTGAGTCCATTGGCGTTTTAAGGATCCACCACTCTCTTGGAGATGGCACTTCTCTTATGTCTCTTCTATTAGCCTGCACTCGACAAATTTCAAACCCTGAAGCTTTGCCCACTATTCCTACAACCATCAGAAATAAGAAGCAAGAACAAGAAACTGATTTTAAAGGGAAGTTGTGGCGATATGTTATGGCTGTTTTATGGGCTATTAAGCTGTTCTGGAATAGTATAGTTGATGCTTTTATGTTCCTTGCAACGACTGCGTTTTTGAAGGATACAGATACGCCTCTGAAAGGTCCTCCTGGTGTTGAGTTTACTCCTCGACGCTTTGTATGGCGGACTGTGAGTTTGGAAGATTTTAAGTTGGTGAAGAATGCACTGAACACTGTGAGTTAGTGAATTAATTAATTACACGTTAGTATTATTATTTTGAAAATTAAAAAATATATATAATAATTGGGTAATTAATTAGCTTTAATTGCAGACCATAAACGATGTTGCTCTAGGAGTCACGCAGGCTGGATTGTCACTGTATCTTAGTAGAAAATATGGTGAGCAGAGCAATTTATTAATCATCAAAAAATAATCTTCACGTTAATTTGTTTATATATTCATGAAAGGGACTTAATTGGATATAATTTTTGCCTTCGGCAGATGAAATTAGAAATAATGACAAGGAAGCAACCCAAATGAAAAATAATCTTCCAAAGAATATTAGGCTCAGAGCAACTCTTCTGGTCAATATAAGACCAGCTACAGGAATTCAGGTCACCATTCCTTTTTATTTATCTGTTTGACATTACTGTGTGAGCTAATTATTTTCACTGTAAGTTGAAAATAATGAAATTAAAGTAATTTTACAGGCATTAGCAGACATGATGGAGAAAGATACTAAAGCAAAATGGGGGAATTGGCTTGGTTATGTCCTCCTTCCATTTAAAATTGCCATAAGAGATGACCCATTAGATTATGTTCTTGAAGCAAAAGCTATAGCTGATCGAAAGAAGCATTCTTTGGAATCCATATTCACTTTCTCCATTTCTGAATTGGTCCTCAAACTTTTTGGCACTAAGGTAAACTACATAATTAATTCAATAATTACTTAATTAAGTGATCGATCGATTGATTTATACATTTGTTATCAGACAGCAAATGCTCTATCGCACAGAAGTATCGATCACACAACAATGTGCTTTTCAAACCTAGCTGGACCTCAGGAAGAAATTGGATTTTATGGCCATCCACTGGCTTTCTTAGCTCCAAGTTCTTTTAATCAACCACATGTAAGCAAACAATTTAGATTGTTTTAATTGATAATTGCATTATTAATTAATTAATCTGTTAATTACTTGCAGGCTCTGATGATTAACTTTCAAAGTTATGCCGACAAGATGTCGATCGTTCTATCGGTTGATGAAAGCACAATTCCTGATCCTCACCAGCTAATTCATGACATTGTTGAATCAATCAAACTGATTAAAGATGCAGTGTTGTCCAGAGGTCTTGCCAAGGATAAATGATAGAGACCAACTGATTTGATCTCACAACCTTAAATTCTCTCTTAAAGAGACTAATTTGTCTTAATTAAACAACTAGTATTTGTAAACAGTACTATAATTAAGCTTTCGTTTCTGTTGGAATTAATTTGCATTATTATTTAAATTTTGAGTTAAAAATTATTTTCCCTTGGTTTTTACTCAATGCATTATGAGATTAATTAATTTTTTGTCAAAATACCTAATTAAAGGTTAATACCTCTCAAAACTCAAGAGTTAGCATGTCAATTAGTTGAAGGTTGTGAAGTTGTCTTGTGACAATTTTCTTATTGTCCCTTGTGTTTGAAGGAAGGAAGGAAAGGCCTCTTCTTCCAAGATATATCAATTCTTGTTTACTACAAATGTTTTTATTCATTTTTTTATTTATAGAAATAACTTCCTATTTTCGATAAAAATTCAAAAATAAAAAGTAAAAAAAAAAAATGTTGTTTTGCGAATGTGAACACGTCTCTTGAGTATCTATTTATTCTTGTGGTTTACTTTGACTAATTCTGAGCCAATAACAACCATTTTGACTAAAAAAAAAAAAAAAAAATACTATTTTGAAACGGAGAAAGAACGTCGATGTTGGATGGTAAGTTTGCAATAACAAGCGGGAACTATCATTACCCGCCATCACTAACCACCTTCTCCACCAGCAGCAGCAACAACAACTATAATTTACCCTTCATTTTCAAGCAAGTGACACCTTTCAACCACCACCTCGCCTTCACATCACACTCACAGCACTTTTCTTGATCATCTGCTTATTCTCGGCATGCCTGTTATGAGGCTTAGATCCAATCATCAAATTTCAAAATTTCAAATTTTACAAGAACTATTAGATTTCCATGGAAAATTCAAGATTTCGAGTTTTAAGGCCGTTTCTTGTTTTATTATGTTTCTTGGTCCTTTGTTTAAGACCCATTGCCCCTGATCAGGAAATGTATAAGGGGCCAGGGCCGAATGAAGATACGAGTGCTAATTTTGCAAAATCAGAAGAAGAAGGAGATAATTACACCGACTATAAAAGTGCTCGCCTTCAAGGTACATCAGAGCTTTGCAATATCGACATGAGTACTTTTCTTCCACCACCATATAACACTATATCGGGCTTGGTCTGTTCACCTGTCTGGAACACATTTATTTTGAGGGTAAGTTTTATCTGATTTGCAAAATTAATTACAAGGGTTTGCTTGACATTATCATTGATACAAAAAAATAATTGAGTGTACTTATTAAAGGCTATTAATAATTTTTTTATTAATGTGAATATTGATAAATTCTACCTTTGTTTTTCTTTTCAAATTTTTTGCAGTATCATAAGAGAGAAGAGAACTTAGTGACATTTATAATATCTGCTGTATACACGACTGGATGGGTAGGAATTGGATTTTCAAAAGATGGAATGATGGTTGGTTCAAGTGCTATGGTGGGTTGGTTCAACAAGGAAGGCCATGCAAGAATCAAACAATACTACTTACAAGGTTCGAGGCCATCACAAGTTATAGCAGATGCTGGTGAACTAGAACTCACTAAAATTCCACCTGCTGTTGTGCTTCATGGACCCATGATCTATCTCGCTTTTCAAGCCAAGTTTCAGAAACCTCTTACTCAACAAAGAATCATATTCGCTTTTGGTACCAAATATCCTAATCACCACCGTCTATCCATTCATGATGATAAGACCTCTGTTCTGTTCGATTTCACTAAAGGTTAGTTTGTCTCTGTTCATTTTTTTAAGGTCTCATTTATGGGGTTATATTAATTATTCTTGAAGTTTCATTATTTTCGATTCTTGCATTGCACAGGTTCTGCCCATGCCGAGTTTATAAGTCCTGGGCAGATGAAGAAAAATCATGGGATATTGGGTATTTTTGCATGGGGTCTGCTCCTTCCTGTTGGAGGAATATTTGCAAGATACATGAAGCATAAAGATCCACTTTGGTATTATTTACACGCAGGTACTCAATTTGTGGGATTTCTGTTTGGGCTAGCTAATGTGGTTCTTGGAATACAACTCTATGCTAAAATTAATGCCAGAATACCAGCACATAGGTCCATTGGAATCTTCGTTCTTACACTTAGCATTCTTCAGGTATTTTGCGGACTTTGTTCTTATTTTACTAATGTATCCCCTGTTTTTAAAACTATGCCTTTAAAAAATTGGCATCTTCTAAACTTGAAATTCAGATACTAGCATTTTTTCTGCGGCCAAAGAAAGATGCAAAGATCCGCAAGTACTGGAATTGGTATCATGGCTGGGTTGGAAGGGTTGCCCTCTTCTTTGGATCTCTAAATGTGGTGTTGGGAATCCATGCAGGATCTGCAGGGGTTGCTTGGAAGATATGCTATGGGTTTCTAGTTAGTGCAATATTAGTCACTGTTATCATTCTAGAAACAGTGTCTTGGATGTGGAAATCAGAAACTAGAAATACATCTCCTTCCTTCCAAATGAATCCAATTTCATAATAAAAAATTTTCACTTTTCAGGTAATGTTGTAAAACAGCTAGCTAGCCTATGTTTCTTGATTTTATGTAGTTTAATATATCCTCAGTCGCATAAATTGATAAATATAGGATCGTCCTTCCAGTTGCAGAACTTTGAACAGAGATGGTCACAACTCACAAGTATCAAACAGTGCAACATTTCCCATTTTTTCTAAGGACAAAAAGGTAAGGCTGAACAATTTTGGACTTGCAGGTCTGAACCTGTGCATAGAACTGCTCTACAAGCTGTTCATTATGTGGATTTTTTTGTGTGTGAATGGTTGAGGGACTATTACATGGTTGGATACAATTGTTTATCAAGCTGAAGCAACCAAGTTTCAGCTTTTTTTGTTGAAAAGAAAGAACTAACTTTGAGCTGCTTCTTTTTCTTATTATGTGCTTGTTTTGCTATTATAGTTTGTAGATGAAGGTACAGCTGGATTTATTCAGGAAAAAATATTTGTTTTGACTGCGTTGAATTTGTTTGACATGCAAGTTATTCCAGGTATAAGCGAAAAATTTGTCTACACTTAAATTTCATGTTCGGATCCAATATAGAAAGAATCATCGGAGAAATTACTGCTTTAATTCTAGCTAAACAAATGTCATCAACATATCAGTGATAATGTAACAAAAATACAGTTCCAGAGAGACATTGAAACCCCAGAAACAAGAGATTTCTCTTGGAAAATCCCGAATTCGAATCCTGGATATTATGAAAAGTATTTATTGAAAAAGGAGATTTATTCCATTGTGTAACTTGCTCATAAAAAATTTAAAAATGCACAACAAAGAATAAAAATAAAAACAAAAACAAAAACAAATTTCTAATTGAAATGGCCCATCAGAGGATAGCGCATGAGAATTGTAAGAGATCATATATCCTAAAAAATAATTGAAGGAAAAAAAGATGACGTCAAAATTATAGTGTCCATCTGTTGCAGAATTAGACTTCAGATCCTTTTTTTTTTGTCAATCCAGTTGAATTTAGAAAAAGTTCACAAGTAAATAAAGAAGAAAAGTGGGGAAATGAGCAAAAGTCAGCTAAACAAAATGCCAACGCCCATTTGAAGGAAACAATTCCAATTATTTACAATTCAATCAAATTAATTTCAGTCATTTGCTATGAGGAGAAAAAATTAAATTAAATTAAATTTCTTTAGATGCTGGGGCAACCGACAAAGTAGATTGAAGTTCCTTTCATCGCTTATTGGGTAGATATCAAAATTTTCTAACTGTATTGTCAGCCAAAATTGTCACCTTCACAAACATAAAAATAGGTCCCTAAAGTAAAACACCTATTGTTTAAACCTGCAAATCAAGTAAAACCGCAATCAACTTTAAAATGTGACTCAACACGAACAGAGTCGAAGCTTCATAGATTCTGTTACTTCAATTAAACCCTTCAAGAAAAATAAACTTATGCAACAATAACTGCAATACCTGAATTAACAAAAAGATCTACTCCTCTATCTCTAACATCCACTGCAAGAACAAGACAGTTTGAGAGCTGCTGCAAAAATTTTCAAAACGTTAGTTTGGTGCCATTACAATTGAGTCTTATGTACATTGATATCTATCTTGCCCATATTATTAGACCTCACTATCAGTCTGGTTTGGACTAGAACTGTGCTGAGAAAACCTAGACCAGAATTGACTCAGGAATTCTCATTCTGAACCACATTGAAACCGGTAACCAAAATGGATTGGTTCTAGTTCCAATCCCTTCCCTACAGCTTTTGGGATCAGAACTGGCCTGAAACTGCTGGTCCAGTGGTTCTGAGCTGGCCTGGTCCCAAGTTTTTTTTTTTTTTTTTAATTAAAAAAAGGCAAAAGGTAGGAAAAGCTCTATATTCTATGGGCCCCTCTAGCGGTGTTTAAGAGGTTCAACAACAGATTATACAAAGTCCATGGTCATCGACATTTATTGTGCTACAGAAAGGATGCAATTAAAAAACCTAGGTCATATTATCAAAGAGGCAATGTCTTCAATTATAGGAAACTAACCTGAATTTCTAGAAGGTGGTCCGACCATGAAAGTCAGAAAATGTTCAAGATAATCATATCTCCCTGCATATATGATGAATAAAGGTTTCTAACTTCTACTTTTCCAAACCATCCTGCTACACAAGGTTGATTGATTGAGAAGAAAAGCGGAATCAAGTATCATGTGGCAGTAGCAGTACAGTCCTCGTTAGATGCAAAACTGGTGGTCTTTGGAGCTTCAGTGCCTCTTACTACTCTGTTATATATGACCTTAAAAGACTGTGAGCCGTATGGTCGACTAAGCAAACTTATTGGCATCCTCAGAGTCTGCTTCCGATTTCTCCTTCCCCTTATCAAAATGCTGAAAGTTTTTTCTCCATCAAATTTCCTTTCATCAATGCTGCTAGTATTCTCTATGGAGCTTTTGTTCTGGCTTGAATCGTTGTCAGAAATTTCAACCTTATCCAGATTTGAATGAGAGTTTTCCTTTAAATTTGCCAAGCCATCCACAGCCAGTTCATTTGCATCATCTGTTCCCTCTGCTGCTAGAAGGTTAACTTCTTTCTTCACTTCTCCAATGTTGTCAATATCCGCCGGCAGAACTGGAGGTGGACTTGTGCTTTGAGGATTTTCATATTGCAGTTTAGACTCTAACAGGGGATCAGGAATTGGCTCAGCAACAGGTGGCGGGACAGAAAACTCCATTGCTTGGCAGCCAGGCCATACTGTACTAGGAATAAACTCCGATACATTATGGTTCATGTTACACTGCCAAGAGAAATGATTGGGATGAAAGGCATTGCTGGTTACAGGAAAGGTACTCGTTGCCACTGTTGGGCTTTGACTGTAAGGAGGGTACATAAAGGGCAATGGCTGCATCATGTTTGCAGTTGCAGGAGGTGATGGATATGGATGGTGTGGGGAGGAGAGCGGACTAACTGTAGGCAATACAGTAGCAGGCCCAGGGTGAAGCGTCATGTTTACCGGCCAAGGTGCAACAGTTGGAACAGCACCAGGACCAGAAGGAAGAGCAATGTTCACAGGGAGCGGTGCAGCACGAGGAATGGATGGTGAAGGGTTAAATGGAGCTGCAGAAGCGGACAACTTCTTAATAGGGAGTGCACGAGTCTCACCTGAATTTATAACCAGCGGTTTATCCTTCAAATCCTCGACTTGAGGCAAGGTGGAATTACAATTACTTTGGGGTTCAAATTCATCAGGTGTATCCTTCTCACAGGGAGCTTCCTTTGGGGTAGAGTCAATTGAGTTTGGTACACTGTCAATCAATATGCTATTCTGCATAACTTCCTGAACCTTGACGATATCAGATTCAGATCCTAGTGTGTTTTGAGGCACCATCAAAGAATTATCTTCCTTTACATCAGTTGAGTGACTCTCTTCTTTCCTCTCTACAGCAGTTGCATTTTCCAAGTGACATGTGGAATCTATAGCAGAATTATCAGCCTTCTCTCCAGATGCACCTTCCAAATCCTTTACCACTGGACCAGTGTTTTTTGTTGCTTCATTTGTTTCTTCCTTGAGTTTTGCAACACCAACTTCCTGGTTATCTGGAATGTCACTTTGTGGAGACCAGACCTGAAACTTAGCAATAGTACCTGGTGGTGCCAATGCTACTTCCTTGTATGAAAGGGACTTTCCAAGACTAACTACAGAATTTTTCACTAGCCCAACATCATTAGGGGCAGAAACTGGACTAGATTCCATTGAAGAGGCAAAAACTTTACCATCAGTTCTTGAATTTTCTATTCTAGCAATTTTATTAGCTGAAGGAATAGACTTGACCCTGTATGTTACAGTTTTCACTATTCTCCGCCCAAATTTGGTACCCTGGGGAGGATTTGTGGCATGGTGATCTGCATAACTTCCATGAGATATTGCCCGTTTCTTTAAAAGATAATACCTGTTATTCTGGTGAGTATTCTTGACTGAAGGGTAATCCATGTTAGAATCCACAATCTTTTTCTGATAAACCTTGCCAATGAGTCCTCGCCGCTGCTTTAGTCTTCGCCCATATGAGCCAGCTGATCTTGGCCTTTGAACTGGTTGCCATCCATCATCTCCCTCAGCATGTGTGTCTGGCAATATTTCATTGGCAATGCCATTTTTACTCTCAACAGTCTCTTCCACAATCGGCTGCTGGAACTGAACTTGGGCAGAGCCTGTCTCCTGCGTAGCAACAGATCTATCCATGGCAACAGGTGTATCTGTCTCTTCACCTGAAGCCTCTTTGGGTATCTCTTTTTGAGATTCATCGGAACTTGATAAATTAACATTTGGCGGTGTCTTTTCCTTTATCTAAAATGAGAAAATTGAAAGCATAATGGATTAAAGAAAATTGAAACATGCCAGAAGATATACAAGAGTTTCTTTAAAAAAAAGGAAAGGAAGATGTAGATGAGTAAACTTCAGCAAACATTTGGAAAAATCTAGAATGGACATCCTTAGGCTTGGAGGGTTGAATTATCTCTCTTTCAGGCACTTGGATTTACAGTTTTTTAACTTTGGTTAGTCAACTCGATCTATTCTCACATGTTTTGAAACTAATGTCAGAAAAATACAACGTGAAATTGCCTAATCCAACAGATACGGTTACTAAGCAATCGAATGTGTTGTTTTAAGTTATATGCAGATCTCATTGCCATGTTAATATTTTCTATAACCAAACATGACCTGACTCTGTTTACCTTCGTAATATAGCTTTTCCTTTTTACTGACGCAAAATCTCTTCCCTTGGAGTCACGGCTTGGATTAATATAGTCCAGCAAATCTGAAACACTGCCAAATAATGAAAAGCAAAAAACTTATTAGTATCAAGAAATGTATCTGTTGCAATAAGAATATGCATCATTACCATCTCTCTAGCTGGCAAGGATCATATTCATGGTGCAAATATTCAAATGCAAAACAAAAGTAACATTCAGTGGGGTCGTATAGATATCCTGAGGGAAGCCCTGATAGGTTACTTACAACAATAAATGTATTTCAGTCCAGAAGATAGGCTGAAGATCACCATGAACATATGATGTTTTGAAATGTTTGTTCTCAGCCAGATTTTATCAAACACATAGGGAATTAGAGGTAGCATTCTACTGATGTTAAGTCATAGACTTGTTTCTTCAGCCCTTTTCTATGCTTGGTAAAGCAACTAAACCTTACACCAAGCGGCATGAAATTATCTAGCAAAGAAACTATAGTGTTTTTCCCAAAACCAGAACTCCAAGAAAATAAGCAATGCCAGATACATGAGAAACTGCACCATAGCAGAGTGATCTATGGTGTGATTACCCAAAAAGTAGCAGACTAACAAAATACATCAAATCTATAATATAATGAACTTGATAAAGGTTTACAACAAACAAGGATGATATTAAGCTAATTCACCTTAGGTGGCCTTTGCTAGCTATGGATGCATCAGGCTTCTTAGTACCATTTCGTGCTGCTTCTTGCTGTTCGAGGGCCTTGGATTCAAAGTACTCAAGCCAAGCAGCAGCATCCTGCCGAATTTCATTGAAAAGAAAAAATTGCATGGACATCTGAGAACCCATTTCATATTAAAATTTAAAAACTTCTAATTAGTTCATTCAAACGGTGTCTCTTTGCCAGATGATCCAAATAGTCATTAGTGGCATCAAATTCAAAGTAAAGGAAAAGGTAATTAAATACAGGACCTCTGGTAGGATACCTGAGTACGCAAATCATCTGGACCCAGCTTTGCACGGAGAATTTGCAAGGTCGTTTGTTCATGCTGAACGCTGAATGGATATGCTTCCATCAATGAGAGTGCAATTGCTATTGCATGGTAACTTGCTGCTGTCTGAGATAAAAGTAAAAATGCATAATTTAGTAAATATGTGTAATGCACAGATCTCTAGCATGTATAACTTGTCCAATAAGTTTCATTTTTTATGTAGTAGTTAAAAAATGTAGTGTCCATGGAAGTGTTATTTACCATCTGTAATATAAAAAATAAGCCATAATGTTAAAGTTCTCCATGCCCTTAACAGAAGAAATCCCTGCCTTATTCTGCCTTAGAAGTGTCATCTAGGTGTTTCTTCTCTTAAAAAGGATGGAGGAGGTGAAGATGGTAATTTTGAGGTAAATTAATTATTAGTAATAGTATAAAGCCAAAAATCTTTGAGGCATATTAATTAATTAATTTTTTAGGTAAATTAATTATTAGCAATAGGATGCAACTAGCCCGTGGTGTTGGTAATCAATATTTGCATCCCCCTCCTTCCCCTACCATCCGCAAAACCAAAAAAGAAAAGGGAGAGGTGTTGGGGTGAAAAGGATACCTTCAAATATCTAAACCACCAAGAAATTATAAGAGCTTATTACGAAAAAATAGAGTGAATGAACCATAACCAAGAGAAAACAGAACCTGAATATGATCTGGACCAAGCAACCTTTGGTTGCACTTCAGAGCTTTATGAAGATATCTGAGAGCAACATGCACATTTCCCAGGCCTTCCTCCATCATAGCCACATTGATGTATGTTGCAGCAGTGTTTGGGTGAGAAGGACCACACGTGAGATGAAGAAGATACAAAGCACGTTTTACATACCTGGTCAACCACAATACTGAATTTATGCAAGGCATAAAGGTATTCATGAATGAACAGAACTTGTGGATGTGACTCCAATTATATCCCATGACTTGCAGAAAATTTATAAAGAAGACTGGAAGTTGCTCAAGAGGAAATTTTGAAAAGGAAAAGGGGCATGTGTTTCAGCAATATAAACTTTGTACGCTGCTTAAATCTGATTAACAGCAGGGGAATAAATACTTGATTGATATGCAATATTTTCATTGAAATCACCATGAAAACAAAATTATTCAACCATTCTAATGATGAACTTAAGCATGATCAACAAAAGAATATCAGAATCATGTTAAGAAAAGATAGAGTGAAAAGCATGCCTTTCCATTCAAACCCAAAACTTTATGTAAGAAGAATAAAGCATACTTGAGAGCCAGTTCTGTGTGTTGAAGTCTGTAATAGAACACAGCAAGATCCCCATAACTTTTCATCGTATCAGGATGATCAAGTCCTAGTTCCCTCTCATTTATATCCAAGGCCTTTTGCTGATATATTGTGGCCTGTAACATTGAAACAAAAAACATTACTACATAACATCGCAAACTTTTAAGATGAGTCTGTAAATAAAATATGCTCATTCAACCACAAAATCTTATGTAATTTATCGAGGTGAAAATAAGCTGAGTTACTATGGAAATGCTTCAGCAACATTAGAAAGAAATGGACAATAAATAGACCTGATTGAAGTCTCCAGTATGATACAATACGACAGCAAGAAGGCTGTAAGCTCCTGCAGTCATCCGATGGTAGGGACCACAAACTGATACCAGCTTTGCAAGAGCCTGGAAACACCAAAGAACTTCTTCAGCTAACATACCATAGAACCAATAGAGAAGGATGAAGGAATAGTAGGAGAACGACCTCATTCATATGAAGAAAACAATGACTTTGAGTAGGGGACTAGGGAAGGAACCTAAAAGAAGCCAGGACTTCTAGTTCGCACGTAAAAATAATACTTAAAGGCATTTCAGTTGTCATATACCTTTGTCCCATAGATAACCGCATCTTCAAGTTTTCCTTTGTCTAAGGCTGTTTTTGATGATTCCAAGAGTTGTCTTCCATCGGCAGAGGAGCATGCAGCTTGCTAAAAAAATTAGAAAAGGGAGCTCTTAAGTAAATGTGAGCAGAATTCATACATAATAGAAAAACATATATGCTCCCATGTCAACTCATCACCTTATGCACTGGGACCAGGCTAACAATATCTGATTTTTGAAAAGGATGTGGAGAATCCATATCAAAATCCCTCGGAACCAATTCAATACCCACCTAAAAAAAAAAGGAAAAGCATAAAAAAAGTCATATATTTGCGTCAGTTTTTCAATCTTTGCAAGAGAGACAAATGAGTCCAGATTGTTTATGGGACAGAATATAGTGGTTCAGAGCTGATTATAATTATAGCACAGCAAAACAAACTTTATGAATACACTTTCATTACGAACAAAACATAGTAGACAATTAACTTTAAGCATAAAGCAATGACCATTAAAATCATGCATTCATATGGAAATCTCATTGTTGACTCTAGCATCCAATTTTCCCATACATGCTGTTAATTTATTCCAATCACTTCTCATGACCTAAAAAATTCTTTTGACACTGATTTCTCATGATTTGCCCCAGAACACATTGCAATCCTGTAAATAGGGTAAAAGCTAATTGTACGCAACACAATTCAAATGCCTCTAATAGGAAATTTTTGGACTACAAACTCTGTAAATTTATTCTTGATAAATATACCTTGTGGCATAGTCCACGGAGAATTGCAAATTTTCTCACATCTTTAAAGCTTGAGCTGCTAAGATCCCAGTCATATCGCTTTTTCAGAAATACCTCCAGCCATCTCCATACAAGCGAATGGATGCGGCGGGACTTATCTGTATCTCTACTTTCAGGAACACCAAGCATCAGATTTAATGCAGCAGCTATTGATACAGCCATTTTCTCATGGTTTGTGACAGCTGCAATCACAGCCTGAAGAATATGCTTAAATGCTCGTACAATCATCTCGTGAATGCAGAGTGACTGTACATGTGACAGCTTCTCCGAAAGCTTTACCTATAAAAAACAAAGAGCAAGGGTTATCCACTAAGGAAAAGCCATTTGAATGAATTATTCCACAACTATAATAATAGATCAAAAATTAATTTATTAACATCTATATTGGAATCAGAATATGAAGTGAGGCAGCCTCAGTAATATCAATTTTTCTCGATAAATTTATAACATTACAAAAAGAAAAGATTAAAATGGAAGTACATTTGTGGTAACAAAAAAATAAATTTATATAATATTTAATTAAAAAAATTTTACATATGAAAAGTTTGTGTGCATGTTGTAATCATTGACAGCAAGGAAATACAAAAAGGAATAGTAATAATGTTGTTGAAACACTATACAACTTTGATAAAATTCAAATGTATAGGAAAATACATCCCCCTCATTTGTGGTGCAACAGCTAAGAGAAGCGGTCTCATTATTAGTCAATAATTTAGTATTGAAAATTATGAGTTTAAGAGTTGAAATCTATTAACCGAACTCTTGAGTCCAGAAAACTTCGACCCCATGCTCCTAATGCATTGCAGAAAAGGTGTTGACTTTACTCGCAAACCTTGAAAAAAGTTGACACCCAAAGAAGATTCACCTCCTCACAACAAGGTGAGCTTTAGAAAGGTAATCCACTAGTGGAATGCAGACAGCAACTTGAGAAGACATTTTTAAAGCTAGAGGACAATGTATAGTTGTTTATAACATACTGAGCTATCGATAGGTGCAGAACTACAGGTAGAAATCTTCATATGCATATGTCACAAGCACAGTAAAACCTGTCTTTGTGTAAAGATTTTTGTACACAACATCTGATTAGATAAACTAGAAAGAACTGAAATGGCTATAATGTAGGTAGTGAGTATGGTTGTAAGAATTCGACATAACAGCTTTGAGGCAAACAAAATGAAGAATAACAGAATTAGGGAGTTTCCTTCACAGAAAAAGAACAAATAAATGTGAACATGTGTTAAGTAAAAGCTAGTATTCAAGAGAACAAGTAACATACAACGTGTCCCAAGGAACGCATCCGAAGACCTCTAGTATGCATAAAATCAGTTAGAGTCCGGCCATCTACTGGAGATAGTTCTAGAGAGCCAAAGTCTGCTACCTGTATTCCACTGTTAATACAAGATCTAGGAATTCAAATATGGATTAAAAAAACAAACAATATTGAGAAATTACCAGTTTTGGAAGAGCAACATCAACGTAATATTTCTGAGACATGTCGATTAGCTGTTGCAAAGACTGTCGGCAACATGGTGGATTAGTTCACACCATATAAAAGTACAAATGAAGAAAACCCAATGACATGAAAAAAGTACTACCTTGCGATGAAGTCCAGTGTCTGATTCTCTTAGTCGAACGAAGGCTGCATCAGACAACAACCTCTGCAGTTCAAGCTCATTTTTTTTGGCAGCGCTTTCAAGTTGAGATTCCTTAGCAGTTGACGTGGCATCTTCAACTTCCCCAATTACACCCTCAACAGCGGATCTTGAGTTTTCAGGCTGCATTTTCATATTGGTTTCATCCAGTTTCTTCTTGTTGCTCTTAAGGGACCTCAGAGGTGTGCCTAGTCCCTCAACCTTCATTTCTTTTTCTCTGGAGGGTTTCTTGCTCTTTTCAGCGGATGGTTTCTTATCTTTTTCCGTATTTTTCTGGTCCTGCAAATGTTGAATCCAACAGGCTCCAAGTTCCCATCTTACAAAATGATCCTGTTCCAGTGCCTCTTGCTCAAGCTTAGCAAGACTTTCTTCCAGAATTCTTTCTACAAAAGCCTGGGAAGCATTGAGCTCTTCATGCTCTGAGATTTGTAAGTGAGTTGCTGGTTTACTGGGTTCTGAAGCTGTTGCTTTGTCAAGAAGTAGTCTCAAACTGTAAGGAAAACAAGGTCAGACTTTCAGATAATGATAGCCATATATAATCTTCAAAATATATTAAAATATCAACACCCAATCACAGGAGAGCAACAACATGCCATGGGCATGCAGAATGAATTACACCACCCATCAAAGAGTCTAATGTTTGAAAAATTTAGGGTTGAATACAACACCAACCTCCAAGAATGTATAACACAATGGTGTTTGTCCAACATAGGGACAAAATTATGATATTTTATTTTAAGAAGATGCCCATGTTAAATTTAACCTCAATGCAGCATTATCTAAAGAGATCATCAGAATTTCTAGAAATGTTAAAGACAATAATGCACTTCTCAGATGACAAAAACTTCATCCATGAAACCAGATATAATTTGTTTATATGGTAGTAAAACTTATGTTCTAACTTATCTAAGTGAATAACATCAAAGCATGATTGAAGCCATACATGAATCCATCACAATGTGGGTGTTCCAAGCTAGAGTCAAAGCAATTGGTGCAATCACCATGCAGTTTATTGGGGGATTCAAAAAACATTTACTAATAATTGCATGTGCAACCACATTGTTGTGACATGATTGTTTATTGACCCATAGCAAAAGATGTTGCAAAAACCTGTTGATGTTAAGGGCATTGGCACCGCCTTCAGGCTGTTCAAGTTCAATACTTTGTGATGGAGGATTGACATTCTTTTCCTCCCTCCCCTCAACTTTCACAACCGCAACATAACCACAGTATCTTACATTAACAATACCAAGCGTTGCAATGTCCTGTACTCAGAAATTAAAACATCTTTCATCAATTTAACCATTACACTAGAATTAGAATTCCAAAATCCATGCAGCACATCATTTACCAATGATACTTTCAGGAACTTACATGTGCAGCTGTATTCTCATCGGCAGTAATTCCTTTCAGTAGGTTCCGCTCTATTAAATTTTTTTTATCCACTCCAGTAGCTTGAATTCCATCAATTTTAGTGTCTATCTTAGAGCTTGCATCGGAAGCATCTTTCATAATTGTGATGCTTAAGTCTCCTACTCTATCTGTATAAAGAATTTCACTACTCCCACCCGAACAAACTAAGTCTGGGTTTAGTCTGACATGTTGCACAGCCTTAATGGCTCTGAAAATGGCAATGTCAACGAATAAGCTGTGAAGAAGGAATGCTTTCCTATCTCGAACCTGCCTCTCCTCTGCTGTCTTGCAGGGCATAGATGAAAGGAACAAAAACTCACTAGACCAAGGTATCAAATCACTTTTCCCATCTCTTCCAAGACCACCTCCATTTCCTCCCCATGTTTCATCCTCAACTGGAAGAGAAGGGAAAACTGAAGGTGATTGTACTGCGAATGGAGGGATCAACCATGTGTTGGCTCTAAAACCATAAGGAAGATTCCCGAACTGCAAGGAACAAAGATAGGGAGAGGAAATTTGGCATAAAAGAGGGATTATGAACAATATTGTCCTTAAAGTGACATTATTGAAAATGTTTACGTATTTTTCTCTTATGTCTTTTGACATCAGTCAAAACATGGAGAAAAGGGATATAGAGATGATTCGGCAAAATGATTTTGTACCTTGTTACGTTCCGAAAATGCTTTCATGAGATCATCATAACCCTGAAATTTGAGAGAGAAATATAAACTCAACCACATTTCCAATCAGCCGAAACAAATAATCTGAAATAGCTCAGTCAAAGGAAAACTAGATTGGATATGACACACAAATTCATATGTTAAAACATGATTACACACTCAGCATATGCACAGGAATAGTTCTTTATCCAAAGGATCTCGCAAATCAAAAGATCATAAACAGGAGACCAGCACCATGAAAAAATTACACAGTTTAGTATTAGTAGCACTATGCCACAATGACTCAGCAATAATGAGCCACACAAGCAAACTTTATCATACTTAGGAAAACCATGGAAAATTTACAGGAAATGCAAACTCTTGAATAAGGCAAGAAAATAAATGCCTCAAACAAGATTATTAAATGAATCTAGATTTTGCATATTACACAAATTATCACTAATTCATCCAGAAACTTAGAAAATGATTGGCAATGAGTTCGGTACATACATTTATAAGATAAGCTATTGCAACCTTATTGTTCCTGGCAAGCATGATCCAGAATATTGATAAATGTCATTTAAATTAAAGCAGGCATTTGAATATTATCCAATACAATAAAATAACTTCAGACTGATTATATTAAAAGCGAGATAGAGGTGAATGAGAGAAAGAAACTAACATTATCAAAGGCTCTACTAAGCTGCCGAAGCAAATCAACGAGATCGTGACACAAAATCCGCTGCTTCCCAACATTGTAAAATCCCTTTCTGCAAGCTTCAACCTGAACCAGCTTTCCATTGCAAAGCTTCACCTGATCATCGCACAAGAATTTAACAACGAAAACATAAAGAGGTTTTAAAAATTTAAAAGAAAGGAAATAATTAAAAAAAAAAAAAGTTTTACATCCAGGGAGAAGAGATGATCGTCCTCCGAAATCTCCTCAATGTGTCTTTTCGTTGCCTTCCTTATAACTGCAATATTCGTAACAATATCGAATTTTCAGTTACAGATTAATAGTACACAGAAGTGTATGTTTACAAATAGAAAGAGAGAGCACATTGAAGAGGCGGAGTAAGGTGGGACAGTGAGAAGAACTCGTAAAAGCTTCCAAGCTTAGGGCATGAATGACTCATCTCCCCTTCTGCCTCCAACGGCACGTCTTTTGACGATGGTAACTGTTTAGCATTGGTGGCTTGGGATTTGATAGTGGTTTTCTTGGCGCTCTTATCCTGCAAACCAGGCGCATTCTTTCCAGAATCAGATTTGGACTTATCCTGCGCGCTCGCCGACGGACCAAACCACGTTGTGCAGGCCACAATATCCAGGAGCCGTCGAACGTGCGCCAGTGCAAGCTCTTCATCATAGTCCTCTGCCGCAGAAAACGAACAGCAGACCACAGCGTTGTCAAATCACAGGCAGAACTCAGAATAAAGAAGTTGCATGCGGTTGCAACGTTATTTATTAATGAACAAGTGCGGTGTCGTTTTCAAGGAATTAATTGGGCCTCGAAAATCGGCGGCCCATGAGAGGCGTCGTTTGACGTAATTATTTAAAGTTTTAATTGAAACGGTGGCGTTTGTTTGCATGCAATGATATGTAGTTTTTACCTTCTGTTAACGTGAGGACGCAAGGCTTGAGTGCTGAAACGTCGACGGTGTCCTTTAACCGTGGTCCCCTCACCTACGAAACAAAACAAAACCAGAAGACCGTTATAGTGCAAATTGCTTGCACGTTATATTTCGACGGCCCTCTTAAAACCTTTATAATTGACCATTTTGGCATTCTTTTGGCTAGTGGGAGAATAATATACATTACATTTTCCATTCCCATGACATTACAATATTAGAGGAAGCCCACTCGTCTAATGTAAACCACATAAATCAGAGGTTTAAACTTTTGGATTATTTAAATCTAGCTAGTAACCTATTTGGTTTGAATCAACAATTATATTTGTAGGCGAATTTTATTATCCTGATTTGAATATTTAAAATTAAAATTGTAAAATAATCGTACTATAATTCTTACCTCGTGGGATAATGAAAAATTTGTGATGTAGCAAGTTTCTGTATTCACTGATAATAGCCGACGAACATCTATAATTCTGTCTGTAGATATTCCCTGCACAAGATTTGCATTTTTATTTTTTTTATTTTTTTTCAAGTTATTAAAATAATATTTTCAATTAATAAACATCCAAAATGAGCAGACAATATGTTACCTACCAAGCAACTGGCATGGAAAAGGAAAAACACAATAGGTAACTTCCTTGAAAATATCTTTATTGTAGTCCAAGAGAATTTTGGGCTGTCATTTCACTCAAACTAAACAGTTGTGTTTACAGTCAAATTACGCAACTTTCTTTAACCAAATAATTTTGGTTTTTGCACATTTGGTGTCGAGTAATTCTGAAAGCAATTTTCTTGAAAATAACGAACACCAATCTCATCTTATTTGGCCAGATTAATAAGACTTAAGAGCAGCTATTTTAGCTACCACGGACCACCAATCTGGTGAAGCCTAATTAGTGCTGCTGATTGTGTACAGACAATGGCTTGTGTTAGATTTCAATTTAGCCAATCAGCCATCGGCAGATGCCATGGCCTCCAAACCATTCAAGAATTAAGAATATTACTATATAGATGCTACTATAATGGTTCTTCCGTCCTATTGTTTTGTAGTTAATTAAACTTTATGAGTTTGAATTCAATTGAAATCTAATTAATTACAAAAGTTAATGCAAACTGTTTGCCGGTGGCTCTGCAAGTGCAAAATAATTTTAAAAAAAAAATAATGAAAAAAAGTTTTGAGAACTGTTGTTTTGAAAGAATTTCGATGATTCCAATAAAAGAAGAATGAACTCAAGAGCAAGCAACAAACCTTCAAAACAGTACGAGTTTCATCAGGGAGATTCACTGTGATATCAGTAACAACTGGAAGAACTGCAGAATATTGTAAAATCAAAAGGTTAGGCGTTAACTTCTCCAATATAATTAAATTGTGCTCACAAATTCTGCAGTGAAATACAGATTTTTAATTACCCTTCTCATCCTTCTTCTTCTTTTCTCCCTTTGCCTTGCTGCGACTGTTCCTTGGTGCCATTTTCTAGCTTTGCTCGATAGAATAAGCTAAAAGGGTTAAAACCTATTTCAAAGAACATTCTTGAGTTAGTATAACATTGCTTCTTTTATCTAGCTCTTCATTTGCAATGATAAAATAACAATTCACCGCAAAAACCAGAGTCTGTCTAATCTGAGAAGCAGTTAGAGGATAAAATTCAATACCCACCACATAATTAATGCTCCAACGTCAAAAAAATAAATAAAAAATAGCTGAAATTTAAAACTACAAGCCATTTCAGAATAGAAAATTAAGTTCAATGATAACAGCTACCAACATGGACTAGTTCGATAGTTACCAATAATAACAGCAGAACTCAAAGAATTCTGGAAGTCTAAGGATTGAAGAAGAGAGATAGAGACAGAGAAAAAGGAGTATTTAATGCAGTATTAATTGAAAATGCTATAGAGTAAAGATACGGAAAGGAAGAGCTAGAAGAAAAAAGAGTTGCACTGACTATATATGTTTAAAAAACATATATATGCAGAATAAATGATAAAAATAAGGGAAGTAGGGAGAGGGGTTTAGAGATTGGATAATGAAGAGGGCATAACCATTAAAGAGGTTTGAAATGAAGGTTTGATGGACTGGATAGAAATGGTGAGAGTGAGAGAAAGCAATAGATATAAGAGAGATGTGGGTACGATAAGGAAGGAAGGGCGGAGATTTAACAGTCAGATAATATATATGGCGTTTTATGGCAGTTTCTGGCTTATACGGTAATCATATTACTGGGATATTTTTATCATTTTAATTGATATATGTTATTTTTAAAATACGTGCAGTTATTATTATTTTTTTTTAATGATACATATATCATTTTCAAATTACAAACAATTATTTGTATCTTCCTAACTCGAAATTACTGTTTGATTTGATTTTATGTAGAGATTAAAAAACTCATTTAAATGAAATTCTGTTTTGTCAGTTTATCAATTTTGTTATTTAAAATATATTTTTGTCCAGTAAAAAAAAAACCCTCATTTAAAAAAATGAGAATTCCTGTTTTTGGTTCAGTTTTACAATTGTGTTATTTAAATATATTTTTTGTCCCAGGTAAAAAAAAAAAAAAAAATATAATATATATATATATTATATATATATATAATATATATACATATATATTAAACTATGATTTTTTTTTTAAAATGGAACTTACTTTATTGCAATAAAACAAGAACTTTCCCCATTTTAAAATGGGATTCTTGCCTGCATAAATGTTTCCTCATAACATATTAATTGTTGTGTGAGGTTATTAAGGTATTCCATTAATGTATTAGCTATAATTAAATCATATAGGAAGACCACTTTTGATTTGACTGCCATAATTGTTCATTATTTTGATGAAAAAAAAAAAAAAAAATAATGAGTTTCATTCAATTAGTTACTCACTAACATATAACTTGGTTTGTTGTAGGAGTTGGTACCGTAAGACAAATAAAAGTTCAGATTACGGAGGGGCCAAAACAGTGTTTATGATTTGATGTTTCATAGTATATAATAATGGATAAAAACCTTGCAGTTGTCTGTAACCTCATCAGATTGCATTTCGTTTTGGGCTTCAAAAGACACTTGAATGTTTATATCTGACATGATAAAAAATTATTTAACATTAATTTTGAAAATATCTAAGTGAATCATTTCGTTCTCTTTAGCAATCTAAGGAGTCAAATATAAATAAATAAATAAATCCAAAATGATCTATATTTTTATTTATAAATTCTCAATCTTCATAATAATTACACAAGCCAATCCATTCACTTTCTTAATTAATTACATTTAGATTTGTCAAACCCCTTTCTAGCTAACAATTACAATATAACTGTTATATTTCATTTTGCTCAACTGAAATTGTATTTCTTCAATAATTTTGATGATTTGTCTTTTCAGGAGCACACCGAAATTATTTAAAAATCAAGTTTCAAATTTATTTAAGATTCGTACCACTAGGCCTTGGCTTTATGAGTATTTAAAAAATATATATATGTATTTTATCACTATGCATAAGTCCCTGAATAAGAAAAAGAAAACTAAAGTAATATTTTTCCATCAACTTGTGTGTATATATATATATATATATATATATATGTTCAAGGTCTTGCAACTGGAGGAAATATTTGCAGTAGCTGTGTTCCATTTGGATTAATACAACCAACCGCCTTAGTCTGAAAATGATGTTTGCTGGATAAGTTGATGAAAGCCTTGCATTTTTATGGCTCCTTAATTAGTTCAATAATATACAAATACTTCTTTAAAAATCATTTCAGAATTTACAAAAAAAAAAAAAAAAAAATCATTTGGGTGTTTAAAATCTGTGAAAATCACCTGACGGAGCAACTTTAAACACGGTAAAAATTAGAAAATTGTTTATTCACATCGCTCTCGGTTAAAATCATATACCCTATGTCCTTAGAATTGTCTTCTATTTAATTTAAGTCTCCAATATTTGAGAAAATGGTACTTAATAAATAATTTGGGTATATATGAGTAAAATATTACTCTTACTAAGCATTTGATTGTAAATTTTTACTGCAATTTTTAGCTTGAATTGAAACTGATTTGTTGTAAAGGAATTGATTGACTTATCAATGCCATGCTGGCCACTCCAACAATAGATTTAAATGATTTCCCTCCTCATCCACATCATTATCTTCACAATTGACTTGTTTCGAGATAGAACTAGAAAAGTAAAATGGAGTTATAATATTTTAAAAATATTTGTCACATGGTGACATAAGCATTTAAAATTCATCTGCTTAATTTGCTAAAATTACTTTTTCATTTTTTAATTATTATAAAATATAATACCAGAAAACCTATTTAAAAAAACTAACTAATGAAATTCTATATGACAATCTAAGTATTGATTGAAATGATAAACGATCTCAATCTCGTAAGAGTAAAAATACAAATTCATATCCTAAAAAATGCAATCACAAATAGAGTTAAAAAAACTTTTACGCTTTATGGTTCAAAAAGAGTTACACATCTAAATTCTACTAAAAAAAGAGAAATTAGATCCTACACAAAAGTGAGTGCTAATATGATTAACATATTTTAAAAGTTAAAAAGCTATACTTTTCGTGATGGGTAATTTTTTAAATATGAGATATGCATAACTTTTTGTAATCAAGAAAATTATTTACAACTAAATCTTGATCATCTTACTACCAACAATAAGTGCAACAATTAATTGGCCATGGTGTAGCCCCCTGTTAAATCAGTACAGGTCACACAAAAAAAATACTATACTCTTCAATAATAGGCTACAGCTCCAACAATGAGACACTTTACCAGTAAAAGAAAACTAAAGTGGAGAAAATTATTGTAAATACTAAATAGATAATCTACCTTTCCATTTGCAATGTTCATTCCTTCCTAAAATTAGCTTATACAGAGGAATGAACAAGAAGTCAGAGATATGGAACAATAATAGGTCAACTAGTGGCCACTAACACTTGTATGCAAATTTACGTTATACAAGTGGGGCGGCATCAGATTGTGCTTAAATATTTATTTTTATATTGGAGAAAGGACGACCTTTTTAGACTAAATTAGAAGTTCTTTCAGGCAACTGCCGACTTTTTTCATTTACAATTAGAGCATATCCTGCAAGTGTATTCCAGGTGCAGATGAGCTATTTATCTTACCATATTATTGGCCCCAATAGCATCAAAAGTTCAGAGACAGCCAATCCAATCACTTGAATTTTGTCGCAGGGCCGTCGAATGAGTCCCAAACGTTAAGACAAACGGAGAATTCGGAATGCTCAAATATGGGAGAGTGGCTTCTCATGATCCTGATTGAGAACTACCACACTGCTTTTTGTCTCTCCCCTTTTGAAGTGTTTCTGCAAAAGTTTATCACTATCAGTTTGTTTTGTCAAAAAAGACTAATCAAAGTCTATTCAAATTCAACCATTGCACTCAAGTAATTCAAAAAGAAATGATAAGAATGTCACTGGAATCAACAGACCGTCACAAGTAAATATGATTAATTCCAAAATCAGCATCATAATTATATCTGTTAAACTTTTACTTCAAAAATTAAGGTAAGTAGCATATATCTAAAATAGCAACTTAATTCCTGATAGAGCTCAACAAAAGTGAATGTTACCAGAAAATGAGAAGAAATAAGGGAATTTTACTCTGAGAAACAATTTTCATTTACTTGCCAATATCTGAAAACCCGTCTTCTTTTGGGAATCCACTCATAATACCTTTAAAATATTGGATCATCACCTAAACTCAATATCATGTTTGTTTTCTAGTCAAGATAAGAAACAGTAACGAAGCAAAGTTTCCAAATGCATATAAAAAGATCAACTATTGCCACATCTTTTTTGACAAGACAACTTCAGCTTTAGGTGTTTAGCTAAATCCTAAACGCACAGAACTAAGACTACAACTTAGAAGTGGGAGGAAATCAGTGCAGACTGCAGAGCCTAAAACCCAATCAACAGAAAAATCTAAAGAGGTAACTTGGACAGAAAATATAGTTGAACATAAACAAAGGAAAGATTGATTACTGCAGTTAACCTCCATATGGAGTTCTTCCTTGTGCAAAATATAAAATTTAACCACGGAAAATGCAATTACTTTAGAACTCTGTTCAATCTATGATATTCAAAAATAAGATCACAAACTTAAAGAACATAAAAACCAGCTTAAGCTGTCAAGATACCATTTACAACTTGATTATGAACTACTCATTATCGCTCACGTATGTATAATACATAAACAAAGTAGCATTGAAAATTGCAAGAAGACAACTCTGAAACTACAAGCTCTTGTTTGCAGACGAAAATTCCCATTGATAATTAAAACATTCATGACTATTTATTTCCAAAGCCATACTGCTCAATCTTTGATTAAATGCCATGTCTAAGCCATCATTCATATGTTACAGCAACTCAACTCAGGTTTCATCACAAGTTCCTGAGCTTAGATGAAAGCGTAGGAATGCCAGCAGGATGGTTTGGTAAATCAAAGTACAGGAGTGGAACCATATCCCCATCTTAAAATTTTCATTTCTCAATAAAAATTCTTCAAATAAAAAAAAAAAAAAAATGCTTCTCCATTATTATGAAATGATTTGAGCATTATTATCTTGTAATCACAGACAAGAATATAATTACATTTTCCAAGTTACTGAATGAAATCATCCTTAAGTGTGATGCGTCAGGAATTTAGTTGTGCAACTCAGAATCTTTAATTTTTCCTTTCTGTTGCCAAGTAAAATATGCAAATTCCAAGTTTAATTTGACTGCATCAACAATAATCTTTCATTAAAAACTTGTAGTCACCACCACCACCACTACCACCAAAAAAGAACACGGAATCATCAATTTTACTGTTCACCATTCAAAAAGCAACCTTTCAAACTGCCTAAAGTGTTAGCTTTCTTGTCTTCTCTTGATCATAACTCTATATTCCTTATCCCAATCACTCACATAATGTTCTACCTTTTTGCTTTCAATAATCCTAAATACTAGCACCAACCTAATCTTGCTACTTGTCCTGTGTATAGCTGATATGCACATCTCCAAGCAGCAATATAAAAAATTGCAATATATGTGTGTCACAAACTAGGTCCACTAGGCCATTCACATTTGAAGCCTCCTGGAGCCGTTGACCTCCGCTCAATTCTTCTATCATTCTGCACCAAGCTCTCTCATAAAGCTATGTGATTTGTGCATTTTATCACCAATACAAAAATGCAAACAAAACGGTGTTATTATGTATTGTTTTTATTCAATTCTCCCACAGCAAAAGCTTCCTAAATCTGAAAAGAAAAACTTCACTACAAAATTCATAATCAGCAGAAGCACATCTACAAGTCTAAGCTGCCCAAAAGTGGCATATTAAGACACTCGAATTATACTACCGTGTACCATAACAACTTTTACACGCACCCATCAAAAAATGATACCAAAGTTTCAAATTAAACAGTGTCAATAATAGAGTTTTGAGAAAGACAATAAAGAAGACAAAAACAGACACATAATCATCTCCAAAATTACAAACAAAAGAAGAAGAAGAAGAATTAAATGATAGAGGATTGTGGATGGATCAGCATAGAAGGTTTGATCAACGCAGTAAGCAACGGTGGCATCCAATGGATGGTAAATGTTGGGAGAAGTCTACGCTAGCATTCAATAATAGAATGCAGCCGACGCCTTTTATTCCAACCCATCGCCACAGCTAATCCTATGGCAGTATTTGTTGTAGGAGAGGTTGCGACAGTCACATTGCAATACCTCAAGCAAGGACAAGGGCCCTCTCCCTTTCACCCATTACCGTCGCATCCATTATTACCACCATCAATCTCACTGCTCAGACCTTTTACTTTATAGCCATCATTTCCATTGCCAATTCACAGCATATCGAAAACCAGCACAGTTATAGAAAGGTTAACTTGAGACAGAGAAGCTCAAAAATATTACACAATATTAGTTACCCTTTTTACCGGATAATTCCAAGAGGAAATTCCTCAAACATACGCTCGTTAAATCGAAAGCTCCACTAGCTTCTGGTTTCATATAGCGATCGAAGAGCCTCTACAATACCGTCCGGCGCAGACGGAGGCCGAACATTTCTAGGGTTAAAGGATGGACTTTATCATCCAACAACTCCCAAGTTTCGGTCCTTTTACTTCCATAATAACATGGTCAAGCTAAGGAATCCGAAGCCAATTCTTTGTTGGGCTCAGTTTGAGGCCTCAGCCCAAACTCCACTAAAATATTTACAGTTCCGCCGTAAGTATATATACGATCTTTTGGAACCGTTCACCGTTCCCCTCCCACATTGACCTAAATTTAATTTCAAATCAAGTTTCAACTCTGCTTTCGAGTTGTTCTCCTTCCCGTTTCTTCACTTCCCATCATTAACAACCACTGCCGGCGGATCTCAACCCATCTTCGATCATAGCTGTCTATTCAACCATTCTGGAGATCACGCCGTTACCGCGCAGGCTACTGGAAAGCCTCTGGTATATCAATTACACCCTGATCTGTTTTCAAATCAAATCACATCGTCATCCTCTGTGACCGCCTATCGACTTGCCACCGCGAACGATTGATTTTTCAGAGCAACACGCGCATAAGCACACGATATCGCATTCCGAAGGCCTTTTGCATCTTACAATTCCAGGTCCGTTTCTTAATACGTTGTCGTTTAGAGGGGACATTAGTCGGCCAGCCATGTAAGCCGGCATGGAAGCCAGCTGTGATATAAGTCACTTCGCCATGTAAGCAGGTTGGTCCACTAATGCATCAAAATCACAGGAGTATGCCAGCTCAACATAACACATGTCCTCTAAATGTCACCACGTCAGCACAACTTGCCAGCTGTCAGAACATACTATATTTTCCCACGTCATTTTATGACATGTCAACAAAAACCAAGCCAGCTATCTGGAATATGCCAACTCGGCATGCTACACATCAGCACGAGTAATCACTTTACTTCCAGAGCGTCATATGAGATGTCACTTTTGTATACCACGTAAACAGGGGGGGATAAGCCAGCTGTCAGGATATACCACCTCAGCAAACATATCACTTGCCAGCTGTCAGGATTTGCCACATCAGCAAACATAACAATTGCCAGCTGTCAAGATTGCTACCTCAGCGTACATATTCTGCCAGCTGTTGAGGTTCGCCAACTCAACATACATATCCTGCCAGCTGTTGAGGTTCACCAACTCAGCACAGATGTCAACTCTCCAGCTGTCACGAAATGCCAGCACATGGTACATGTCATCTGGCAGCTGTCGGCTTGCCAACCAGGTGAACACGTCAACGGACAGCAGTTGTCATTACTGTCGGGACTGCCAAATCATCATACACGTCATCTGCCACATGTCAGGATAGCCAATTCAGCGAGCATGTCATCCACCAGCTGTCCATATATGCCAACTCAGTGCACATATGATCTTCCAGCTGTCAGTACTCCAACTCACTGTCCACGTCATCAGCCAATCACAGATACCAACTCAGTGTACATGTCATCTGCCAGCTGTCAGACGCATCATTATAATTTCCATATCAGCACATGACATCTAGCACCCATTGTTAAGCTAGCAACAAGTGTTGCCAGCTGTTCACCACGTGAGCATTGCTGCCATCATTTGCATTCAACATAAGCATTGACATTTATCCAGCTCAGCACCAACAGGCCATGTCCGCCCGTTGTTGTCGACACGTCATCATACCTGTCCGACTAACGTATATGAAATCATCAAAATCTCCTGTAGATATATTTGAACGTCGCAGAAATATAAAAATTGCCCGGTTCGTTAGAAAAGTAGAAATTTAAGATTCTGAAACTTTGAAATTACCATCTGACTTTTATTTTTTGATTTTTTTATTTTCTCTAGTCTCTTTTGAGAAACTGTATGTTGCAGCATCTTCATCGCAAAACACTGCATTTCTTTGTATATAAACAACCATTGTAAGCTTGCGACTGGTAACGAATTTAAGGCAAGTCATTTGAAATTAACGGATTTCCAATATAGAGTTAAGCTTTTTAAATTTCTAGGAATAATATTTTATTGAACTGTAATAATGAAGCTTCCATCAAAATCTTGAAGTTTTAGTTATTGGAAAATCTGATAACTATCAAAACTGCAGCTACTATATAGCTGAAATAAATATCTTATTCTTGAAAAGAGGTGTGGCTTTGATAGTTCCTCTTTCTCCATTTCTCGTTCTCTGTCGATGGTATTTCGTTTGCACTACAAAAATTCTCTTGGGCTTGCTAATGATAATTTTGCCGCAGTAAGTGTCAAAATGCTTGTTATTTTTCCGTTGCATAAGAAAAAAAAAAAAAAAAAAAATTGTGTCCAGCCTTTTTCTTTCAAGGCTGTTGTTGTGGTGAGAGAGTCGTATTTTGAATAAGAGAATTGTATTTTCAATAAAATTCATTTTAAAATGTATTTTATTAATTTATACTTGAACTAAATTACAATGAATTCAATAGAATTGACAAATAAAGTTTAAATTAACAAAGCTATAAATTTATTTTTTGCTACGTAAATAATTTTTATATTTAATATTATGAAATGAATTATCAAAAGTTAAAAATCTATTTAGAAATATTTTATTTTATTAATGAAATCTCTAGTTTTTTCCGATCCAAATACAATATTAAAATTAATTCATGCTTAAAAAATAACAATATAGAAATCATATAACCCACAAAAAGAGAAAAATAAAAAAAAATTAATAATTTACTAATTTTTATTCTCCAAATGGGCTTCAATTCAACTAGCACAGTAGAACTGGAATTGAAGTACGAGTTTCATTGACAGTCAGAACTCAGACGGTGGAAGGGCCCAAGTATCAGGTCAGGCCTGTTTGGCTGAAGGTCATGGATTGACAACAGCCATCCATAGGGCTGACTGACTCGTCCAGCAAGATCTCACCTGCAACTGGTAGGCCCCTCCCTTGCTCAATAACTACCAACAAAATCCTGACGTGCTTTATCAATTTATAATTGGAAAAATTATAAATCGTCTTTATTTTATTAAAATTTATTATTTGCTTTCTCTCTATTTTGAAAAGTTACACTATTTTGTCTCTAGTTTTTCTACTATTATCTTTTTATCATCAAGTCATCATTATTACTCAATCTACACAATTACACCTTTAAGTTTTGGAAATTTTTTTCAAGGGAGAAGAATTTGAGAGAGAAAGGAAATAGAGATTTTTCTTCCCTTTTACAAGGCATTTTACGCAAAATGTAATTTTTTTTTTAAAATAAGAATAGTAGTTTACAATGAGAGTAAATATAGAGATGAAATAATTTATTTTTCAAAAGATGGAGACTGAATAGTAATTTTTGACAACTATAGGGACAAAATATGAAGTTTCCTTTCTCCAATTCTATAACATAGGTATGTTAAAAAAATATAAAAATATAATCTTCCAATTTTTTCATTTCGCGCTTTCCCAAACTAATTTTCAGACTCTCCCTCTTTTTTCAATTTGCAACCCAATCTTTGGAGCCAAAACCCGCCACCGCTATTACTGGTTAAATATTTTATTTTAATTTTTCTTATTTTCATATTGTATAATTATATTTTTATTTTTAACAGATAATTTCTTTGTTGTTAGTTTACGAAACCTACATCTGTGTGTCCTACGCGCAGCTCAACTTTTTTCCTCTGCAATCTTCCATTGATTCAAACCCTGAGATTTTATTTTGTTTTGGTAGGACACAATTCATTCTCGCTCTCTCTTGCGATATATAGATTCGTAGAGTGACAGCACACAATTCGTTTCCATTTTGTTTGTTTTCCGGAGAATTTACGTAAACGTGCGAATTTTACAGATTTCCTTTTCCTTGATTACTTCAATTAGGTTTTGTCATTGAATTTTAGGGTTTACAGCGACATCCGCGCAGGTTGGCTGCCGTTTTATGGAATCGTTTGTTCAAATTTACGTGTGTATAATTGGAACCTTTCATATTTGATTCGGGTTTTGTTTTATGATGCGAAATTAAGACTTTCTTGGGTTGGTGCTGAGGAAATTCATTGGAATCGAATGCTTAGAGGATGATTGTTAAAAAAACTATGAAAGTTGAAATGCAGAATCTGAAGCGGTGTAAGATGGGAGAGTCTTGCAGTGAATACGAGGGGGATTACGAGTGTTTATTGATTCCAAAGAAACGGAAAACTAATTTGTATGATTCATATTCGATTGGTATGTACAGTGAAGTTGATGATTTTAGCAGTGCTTCTGGTTCTTGGGCCGGTGAAGGATCGTATTGGGCAAGCGAAGTACAATCCAATTCGAAGAGATTGAAGAATAGGAGCACGGTGAGGTCTCAAAGACCATTATCGAGATCTTCGAAAGGGCGAATTCAAATGCTTCCTTCTAGGTTTAATGACTCGATCGTTGATATATGGAAGAATGTCGAAATTAGACCAGATGACACTGATTCGAGCTTTGAGGATGATGAATTCGTGGAAAATAGAGAGGATTTTGATGACGAGAGATGTAGATATAGTAAAACGAAATTCGTAAAGGGTAATTTTTCTAATTCATTTCCATTTTATGAACGGGAACGGAATGGAGAAGTGGGCAGTGTAAACTTCAATAGTTTTGAGTACAAAAACAGTAATTCAAATAAATTGAGGTCGCATAGTTCATTGATAGACAGTGAAGCGTTCAGATATAATGAATCGAAGAAATTGAGAAGAGTAGCTGGAAATAAGAAAGATGTTTATAAGCCCGAGGACTTTGCTTTGGGGGATTTAGTTTGGGCAAAATGCGGGAAGAGATTTCCTTGGTGGCCAGCCATTGTTATTGATCCCATATTGCAAGCTCCTGAAGCTGTTCTTAGTTGTTGTATTCCTGACGCTCTCTGTGTGATGTTTTATGGGTATTCTAAAAATGGGACACGAAGGGTATTCTCTCTCTCTCTCTCTCTCTCTCCCTCTTACGGTTTTCAGTTTTATGAGATTTTATTGGCGTTGTTTGTGCATTTTGAATATAAGATGATGGTTATGGCAGGACTACGCCTGGGTGAAACAAGGGATGATATTTCCTTTTGCGGAATTCATGGATAGGTGTGTTGAGAATCACATTCAGCTGATGTTATTTTTGTTAAGTTTCCAATAGAGTAACAATCTTGCTTGATTTTTCATTTCTTTAGATTTCAGGGGCAGACACAATTATATAATTGCAAGATGAGTGACTTTCAGATGGCACTAGAAGAGGCCATTTTAGCAGAAAGTGGTTTCCTGGACACGAGGAGTGGTGCTGCACACATTATACATCCAGAAGCTCGCCTCTGTGAATTCCAAGAGGCCAGTGATTCAAGTGAAAATCAAGACTTTTATGCTCACTACCAGGCAAGTATTTTCAAAAACACTTTTCTCACATTTCTTCCTATTTCTCATCATTGAGTTTTATGGAGCGTTGAAAATTGATTTCTTTAGAAGTTCTTTTGGAGCACTAGGAAACTATGCACTGTGGCAAATAGCTGTTCTAATGCATGGAGGTTCCATTATGGTTGTGCTTTATGAGATGATACAGAAGCATACGTGTTTGAAATGTTCATTTCAGCTTGTAGCATGTTTGTTTTCTTTTAGTCTTAGAGATGATTTCAGCTTTCTGCAACAGTGTATTGCTGTCAGATGAATGCCAATTGATCTGGTGTATTTATATATGAAGTTGAAAACTGTTCATACAAAATGATACGCGTCTAGGATTGGTTTTACTCATTACTTCACCGGATTTAAATAAGTTTGTGGAGGAGGTAACCAAGTGTTTCAAAATCTCATCTGTGACTTAAAATCTGTTTCTCCCACAAAATAGAAACAATTTTACGATAATCTAAGGATATGCTACCTTGAGTTTTATATTTTGTCTTCATTCGTGTCCTTGTCACATAATGTTACTTCTACTTGTTAAAGATGATTCTGTAAGATGTAAGACCTTTTGAATGCTGAGGAAATGGTTTCCTTTCTATTTCTTTCTCCCATCCCCCATTTCTTTTTCTCAATGGACAGAAAGGAACTGCAGTTATCCCTTCAAAGTTATTCACTGGAATTTTGAAGTTTCCAGTTTGATGTTTGGTGGAAACAGATTGCGTTGGTTTTAAGAAAATGTTCAAGTTGTTTTGAACGTGCCTATTTAAAATCTAATTTCCTTCATCAGTTGACGTAGAAAAAGTATCAAGTTATGTATACTTATGGATGGGGTTATAAGATGTCCAGGTCTAGGTACCTTTACTTATGGTTTTAGATGTGCAAGTTACTTGAAAAAGACTGCTGCTGTCATTTATGAAATGCATGCACATTCTTATCACCGGAGGAATCAATATTTTTGGTGGTAGTTCTTTTATCCCACTTTTCGATTGACTTCTTTTTCAGTTCAAGATGCTTCTAGCATATGGTTCAGTAATTGAAATTCATACAGTAAATTGATTGTCCAGGGTGCATTATACAAGGAAATGAAACGCTGTGACAGTTGTAATCTAATCTTGCCCTGCAAAACTATCAAAATGCAGAAGGGTTCAAAATTTCAAATGGAGCTTATATGTAAACACTGTGCTAAGGTTCATCAGAAATGCGTCATTTTGGATTTTCAGTTCTTGTCTTTTTTTTTTTTTTTTTTTTTTTCAGTTCTTGTCTTTTTTTTTTTTTTTTTTTTTGAATCTGTCTATAATAAATTCTTTATGGACTAACTTTACATTAATGCTCTCTTATAGTTACGGAAGTCAAAACAGTATTGTCGGCATGTGGCAAGCAGATCTGACCATTCAAATGGCTGGGAACTGGGTTTTTTTTTTTTTTTTTTTTTTTGAATTGTCTATATAAATTTCTTTATGGAACTAATTTACATTAATGTCTCTTATAGTTACGGAAGTCAAAACAGTATTGTGGCATGTGCAAGAAGATCTGGCACCATTCAAATGGTGGGAACTGGGTGAGATTATTAATTTTGAATTAGGTTTAAGCTTGTCAATAAATGAATAGAATGATTTGATAGATTATTTGACTGAAAACCTTGTGGATTAGGTGTGCTGTGATGGCTGTAATGTTTGGGTACATGCTGAGTGTGACAACATTTCCAGCAGACATTTTAAGGTGTGCATATGATTTTATAATCTAATCAATTCTGTTTATGAACTTACCCTAATTAGTGGAAATCAGAGGCTAACTGATTGTGTATGGTTGAAGGATCTGGAGAACATAGATTACTATTGTCCTGATTGCAGAGTAAAGTTTAACATTGAGCTATCAACATTTGAGAGAAGGAAGCCACCAGTCAAGTAAATTTCAAAATTTTCATCAATACGTCATCATTTGTTATTTGACATGATTTATTTTATAAGATTGCCCCCTTTCCCCTGGGAGATTTAATCTTGATGATATAATTTCAATCAGGTCTACAATAAACAGCGGAGAAGCTATGCCACCTGAAGAAGTAACTGTTGTATGCAATGGGATGGAAGGAACATATATTCCAAAACTTCATTTGTAAGCTTTGAGAACTTTGATATTTTTCTCTCCATACATGTCCAGGCTACTTCCAGCATTAATGCAAATTTCCTGTATACGATTCACTTGACAAATTTTACTTTGAAGATGCAATATACGTGTTGTCTGCATATCCAATATATAGCTGGTCAATCTATGTCTCCTTTCTGTTTGTCTATAGAATTGTTTGCAAGTGTGGTTCATGTGGGTCGCGGAAGCAAACACCAAGTGAATGGGAAAAGCACACTGGATGCAGAGCTAAAAAATGGAAGTACAGTGTGAAAGTCAAGAATACAATGTTACCACTGGAAAAATGGGTTTGTATTCATACTTCCCATTTAATGTGCTTGCATTTGTGTGGCATGATTAGCACTTGGAGTTATAACTTGTTTTTGTTGTTCCAATCTAACTATCTTGCTTGCTTACTGCATTGATGTGTTGAACACACATTATAAGTTGCAAGTACAATATATGTAGTTATTTAGGTTGCTAAATATCAGATAGCACTTCACTTGCGTTGCTGAATGCTGATATGAAGCGATAACCTCATTCAGTGCTGTTGTATGCATTGAAAGTGTATGAAGAACAAAGAAAATAATTAGTAGTAAATTGAATATTTGCTTGATATTTCACTCAAATGCTTTGACTGATTTCAATACGAAATCTGACATGTAAGAAACCTATTGCGCTGAGTATAAATACTAATTGTGACACATGCAGCTTCTGTTTTTAAATTCTGATGACATTCCTTTAACATTCTGGTTGGAAAGGTGTGTGTGTATATATATATATGATTTTGGCTTTATCCAGTGCTCAACCTCCTTTTTGTCTTCAGCAATTAGATATTTAATGAGAGACTGTTCTTGGCTGCTCTATTTTGTTTTGGCTCCTATATTGCCATTAATCAGGTATTATTTCGTGTTTGCAACATGCTACACCTGCAATATTTGAAAAATTAAAAATTGATGGCTTTTCTCTGAAGGGATGAAAAGTTATTCCGAGAATTTTGTCTGGTAAACACCTAGATTTGGCGAGGTTTATAAGTTTGTTTCTGTCAAATATGTCCTTGATTTAACTTACGTGTTGAATATTAACATTACATTTATTGTTGTTGTTCGTTTTGATACTAAAGTTTTTTTATTTTCTATTAAATTAGTAGTATGCACCTGGCTCAGTTAAAATAATGTTTTTACATTCGCTCATGACTTGATATTTGTAAGCCTTGTAAAACATGCTATATGATTGAGTATATTAATTCAAGGCTTGTGATTATTAGCTCAGTAGTTTGAACTTTCATGAGGATATTGATTCTAATATGTACAGATTACCTAACTCTTAGTACAAGCATTTTTATGGCCGTTAAGAGAATTTTCGTTTCATCCTTCTTTTTCTTCTTTGTGAATTCAATATATCTGCATGTTTTTAATTCCTATGCAACTTTTTCTTATTGACATAAATATGCTGCAGATTGCTGAGTACAATGCACATGGTGTGGATCCTCTTAAATTAGATAAGCAGAAGCTACTTGCTTTTTTGCAAGGTTCAGAGCTTGAAATTTTCCTTTTTCCTTCTTATGTGTTTGATGGATGAAAGGGTGAACGAATATCTATGTATTTTTTTCAATTGAAGCAGAGAAGTATGAGCCTGTTTATGCAAAATGGACAACAGAAAGATGTGCTATTTGTAGATGGGTTGAAGATTGGGATGATAACAAAATCATAATATGCAACAGGTAGTTATGTCATCATTGGTTCACTTTTCCTGTTTGGTATTGTATTGGTCATGCGCTGCTGCAAGTTGAGACTTTGTTTGTGTGGTTAGTATTTACCTGAAAGACCCTTTTTGTGTTCAGGTGTCAAATAGCTGTCCACCAAGAATGCTATGGAGCAATTGACATTGAAGACCTTACTTCATGGGTGTGCAGAGCATGTGAAACACCTGGTGTGGAGAGGGAGTGTTGCCTCTGTCCTGTAAAAGGCATGTCTTTTGATTAATTCTTTGAGAGATCTTATCCATTCTTTGATTTTGAGACTTCTTATGGTTAGTTAATCAAGGTCTTTAACAGCTATAAAACTGTTTGATTTATTTCTATCCATCCCTCATAAAAGAAAAAGAAAAGAAGCAAAGATAATTGAAAAAAGAGAAAGCAGATAGTACCATTGTTCAGAAAAATAATTCAGCGGCTTACTCTTTTGTACCAGTGTACAATTGATGGTTCTCCAGTGAAAGTGATATCTTGAATCTATTTTTTCTCCTTCAATGCCACTTCCTAGTTACTAAAGGATTTCTTTTGGTTTTTAACTTTTTGCTCTGGTAACACAAGAATGATGATTGTGTCATCAAATCTTGATGAAAGATGCTAAGCATTTATGTGTTAAGTTGTATTTCTATTTTAAAGTATCTGCCTTCCATTAGCTCTGTATTCTTGTATGTGAAAGTTTTTTCTTATATGTGCAAGCTACTTTTCCAGGAGGTGCTTTAAAGCCAAGTGATATTGAGATGCTGTGGGTTCATGTCACTTGTGCATGGTTTCGACCTGAAGTTGGTTTCTTGAATCATGAAAAAATGGAACCTGCCACTGGAATTCTTAGAATTCCATCAACCACATTTTTGAAGGTACGTTATTGTCCGATGCAGTAGGTTTTGATTTTTGTAAAGCTGGCCAATCTCCTAGTAGTTACGAGAAAGGTTTTCCGTTGTATGGTAGTTCAGATTTGTTTCATTTTGCTTCTTTTTATGCTAATTCAATCCCAATCACTCATTGACTTGATAATGTGGTTACACAAATCAACAGTGCCTGATATCTAACTATGTTTTAATTGCATGGAGTTCAGAACTGTGTTATCTGTAATCAGACTCATGGTTCCTGCATCCAATGTTGCAAGTGTGCGACCTATTTTCATGCAATGTGCGCTTCAAGAGCAGGGTGTTTCATGGAAGTAAGTTTTGATTTATTTTTTATTTGAAAGACTTATGAATACCGTTTTTCATGGACCTAGGTAGTATCTCACAAAATTTTCCTTTCATAGTGAAATCTCATTGCATTTAACCACAATATAAGTTTTCTGGTGTTGTAGTTCATGTAATGTCCTTGCAGCATTTCTTTCCAGTTATTTCATTATCAATATGTGAATAAAACATAACATGATTTCACTAATTTCATGCATGGAATTTTCAGTTGCACTGCATGGAGAAGAATGGGATCCAGGTTACAAAGAAGTTAGCATACTGTTCTTTTCACAGGTTAGAATTTTTACCCATCAATTGTTGGCTTTATAATTTTTCCCCTGTTCTCTCTTGAGTTTCTATTATTACTTCTGCTATATGCATCTTAGGCATTGAGTTGCTTCTTTTGGCTTCCTTTGGTTTGGTGCAGAAAACCAAATCCAGATTCTGTCATAGTTATGCGTACTGCATCGGGGGTTTTTGCTGCTAGAAGCTTGCTTCAGAACCAGAATAAGAGTTTCAGTTGTTCAAGATTGGTTTCATCTAAGAGAGTAGAACTTCCTGAACCCTCTGCATCAGAGATTAATGAGTTTGATCCTTTATCTGCTGCAAGATGTCGACCCTTTAAAAGGTCAAACAATAAGGTGAATTTTTTTAATTAGTTATTTATGTGCATCGTTTATGCTGCCTGCAAATGGTTATGGTTCTTCATTCTGGCAGAGTACTAAGTTCCTTATGGTTTAGCTTGCTGTCAACATATGGTGCATTGGTCACTTTGTCATCTTATTTTTATTATTTGTGTTTGCCAGAGGGCTGAAAGGGAGCCGACATTCCACCGACTGATGGGACCGAGGCATCATTCTTTAGATGCAATAAGTAGCTTGAGCACCTATAAAGTAATATTCTCATCTTTATTAGTGAAAAAAGTTTTAGTGCTTTCCAATATTTTTGGAAGTGAAAGGAAAATACATGTTGATTTTGGAATTGGACAGCTTCTATACCTTTGATACTTCTGATCAGTTAACATACGTGTTGTCTTCTTACAGGAAATGGAAGATTCTACAGTTTTCTCGTCATTTAAGGAACGACTTGACCATTTACAGGCAAACCACTATTCTCCTAATGATAGTTGTTCTATTGGAAGTTATTTTCATATCTTTTTGACATATATTTGTGCCTTCAGAAAACTGAAAATCACCGGGTTTGTTTTGGTAAATCTGGTATACATGGTTGGGGCCTCTTTGCACGCAGAAACATTCAAGAGGGAGAAATGGTAATTTATATGTTTTATCAGTACCTATGTCTGTCTCTATTCATTGAAGCATTGTACATTTTTCTGGACTGGACTTCCAACAGCAATTTTTAATACAATTTGGTTCTATCTGACTTCCTTCGAAGTCAGTAAAATCTTGATGATAGGCATATTTTGGCCCCTCTCTTGTTCTTTGTTTGAATAAATGACACATTTTCTTCAGGTCATTGAGTATCGTGGTGAGCAGGTGAGGCGGAGTGTTGTAGATCTGAGGGAGGCACAATACCGTTTAGAAGGCAAAGATTGCTACGTGAGTTTGTTGATTCTCCTTTGGGTGTATGAATGGGCTCCCATGATTCATGCCATTGTTTGCATCATTTACACATTCAGAATATGAACCTGCCAATCTGGCATTGACATTCTACTTATCTCATGAAGAATATATTTTTTACTTATATGCCACGGTTGCCAATGCTTGGACCCATCAAACATTTGAACCATGCCACATGCTTTTAGGCAGGCTTCCATTTGCTTATTGCATTATAGTACTTGTTAAATGTTAAATGCAGTTGTTCAAGATCAGCGAGGAAGTAGTAATTGATGCCACCAATAAAGGGAATATAGCACGCTTGATCAACCATTCGGTAAGCTCTTATATGGAAGATAAAGTTTCATCTACAAATTAGATTTTTTTCAGCTTTTGCAATATGGCTCACTTTCAAAACAGAAAAAAATGGATAAACAACGATAATGCAGTAAGCAGTTGTATACTTTAAACAGGACCAGGGACCTTTGAAGACCAGTGGTCGAAACACCAGGGAGGACCTAGGCGAGCATAGCTCCCTATGGTGGACCCTGGATCAGAACCCCTTGTCTTTACAACCCAGAAAGGAAAAAAAAATTGTATGAATTGTTTTCCTTTTGTTTTTGTTGGGTGTCTGATGGACTTAGCATGATTGATATTTTCCATGCAATTTATTCATTGATGACTTCAACTTCTACATTGGGGATTATTGGTTTATGCTCTTGATGTCTAAACCTATAATATAATGTATGTACTTGTATATACTAATGGCAAGTGCCTTTTCACTGCAGTGCATGCCTAACTGCTACGCAAGGATAATAAGTGATGGTGGTGTGGAGAATGGCATAGTTTTGATTGCTAGAACCAATGTTTCTGCAGGCGATGAGCTTACGTACGATTGGAACCTTATCAATTTCTTCCTTTGCAACTGAATTAGCTTAGTTATTAAAATTACCGGTTCTGAAATATTTTTTGGGATAATAATGAATTTATGCTTTACAGGTATGATTACCTGTTTGATCCGGACGAGCGCGAAGAGTTAAAAGTCCCTTGTTTATGCAGAGCTCCAAACTGTCGGAAATTCATGAATTAGGCTGCATCACATCTCTTATCTTATGTCTCTTTGGGAACATCATTCATATCCATCTTCTAACCCCGGGCAATGCTCTCATTCTTTTATTTTTTGAAAAGAAAAGGGCAAGTTTCTTTTCTGTTTTCGTTTTTGATTTATTTTGTAAGCCATGTAATATTTTAAGCTGCAATAAAATGTAAATACACATTTGCTCTTTTTTTTTTTAATTTTTATTTATTATTTGTTGTATTATGATTTTTTAAGGATAATTAGATTGAATTCATTTTTACCTGATATTCGAAAAATTTTTATTATTGAGAGAGTTTGTTTGAGTGTAATCAGCTTTTGATAAAAGATAGGAATTTCAATCAGTTGTTTATACGTACCATATTATGACTCTTATAAAAATTATTATTATTAAATTAATTTTTAAAGTTAATGTTTATCATTTTATTTATAGTTATCTAAAAATAATAAGTGATTTTTAAATATATTGTAAAAACTTTTGATTAATACTCTTTATATATATAATACATCAAATAGAAAATTGTGCAAATGCGTTTCTATATTCACCCAGCTCTTCAATTTAGGGATTGAAAGAAAACTAGTTTAAATTTATACTAAATATGAAAAATCCATTTCCAAATTAATTCTATCTACAATTAATTTGTAACTGAATTTTAAATTTCAAATTTATTTATGAAAAAAGGGTTATCTTTCTACATTGTAATAGTTTTTAGTTTAGGCAACATCCTTCACCCTATAATCAAAACAAAAATCTTAATCTTTTTTTTTTTTTTAATAGCGAATTCTTTTCCATTTATTCCTACCTTGTGTCGACTATAAATGGACAGGGAGGGCTCAGGGCCATCTGCTTGCCGCTTGGCTACAAGGGAAAAAGGCCCAAGATCCTTAATATAGGCCCAATGATATTGATACTTGGTACTCGGGCCCATCAAATTTTCAAATTCGTTTCATTTTGAAAATATTTTGGAGGAGTTTGTTAAATCATTTTTGAATCTGACATGTTCGCGCGTCTATAAATAGCCCAGAGATTGTAGACTGCAATATTGTGTCAATTGAACTTTGATTCAGCAAAGTTTACAGAAGAAGAAAGACAGAGAAAATGGGAAAGCGATTGAGAAAAGGAAGGTCCATTTGCAGTTGCAAATCTCCTCGTCTAAGCTATCGTGCCAGTCCTCGCTCCTCTTTCAACTGGTTCTCTCTCTCTGCAAATAATAATAATAATAATAATAATGTTCAGCTTCAATTTTAATGAATTCCGATTTCACTTCGAAGTTTATTACCAACTTGCCTATAGTCATTGTCATCTATGTGTTATTTGTCTACATTAGATATCGAATAAGAATCTTGTTAGATTTGGTTCTTCATTATCGATGATTTTTTAGCTCTGTTTGATTCTACGAGTAGCAGTGAGTTTTGAATTTTCAGTAAATTAATAATCGTTTGTTTAAGCAATTTTTCAATTAAATGAATAAAAATTGTCGTTAGATGTTGGATGTTCAGCGTCGATGATTTTGAGTTCTGTTTGATTTTATGAGGTGATGTGAGGTTTGAAACTATTATTCATTTAAGCATTTTTAATTGTCATGAGATTTTGAGGTAAGGTCTGCTTAGTTAAGGATTTGGATTTGGAGCTTGCTGCTGATCCTTGGAAGCACAGAGTCGATCGTGTTTTCTGTGCATTAACGAACTCTGTTTCTGTTGGATGGATTTGCATGACTAAATGCTGTTCACAGTATCGTTAGCCCCTGTTTGGTAACTCAGAAAAGGAAATTCAAAAAAAAGAAATAGGTCTGAGTTTGAATTAAACATCGAGACGGTTTCAAAATGAGTCGACAAGCATTTTTTATTAGAAGTAAAACCGAGCAATTTGATAATGAAACTCTATTCGCTAATCGTTCCGTGTTTTTTTTTTCCTCTTTTCCAAAACAGGTACGAAGAGGATTTATGGACGGAGATAGCGAAGCTCTTGGACGGGAAATCTCTGGTGAAGCTAGCGGCCACCTGCAGATGGTTCCACGGAGTCATCATGCACGACAGCATATGGAGGTTCGTGTGCTTGCGTGATCTTCAGGTTCCAGATCCAGGCCACGTGTCATTCAAGTGGATAAAGCTCTACGCTTCGCTTGTTGGTAATTATAGAAGCTGTTAATTGTTTTGCATTAAATTAGTTACAGATAACTAGATGTTTACCGTTTGATAGAATTTGATTAATACGATGGCTTGTTTCCTCAGATGGCAGTCACTCTTACACCTTTCATGAGAAGGATAAGCATCTAGGTGAACTTCTCTTTATTGTGGTGAATCTTTTTGTCGTCATTGCATGCCATTTCTCAAACTATTCTCACGGATAATTGAATTGTCTCTCCCAGCTAAAAAGATAAGGGGTATGATAGGCTTTTATTTTTTTGCCACAATCAGATTGGATGCGAATTGGTGCATTTTGCCTCGACTCAAAAGTAGCACTCCTGACTCAGAGACTCAACTTGCCATTGCAAATCAGACAAGAAGATACTATAGAGAAGATGCTGAAATCCTGCGGGGCGTCTATGTTACGTAACATGAAAATTGGAATTTGGATAGCAGGTACCCTGAATTTTTTATTTCCGAATGCATTTCTTCGGAAAGATCTAAGGAATTGCATCAGACAACTCTGACTATTTTGGTAATACAATATTGTCCATGTTTTCAGATCTGCAGCTTGTTCGATGCCCTGTTTGTGAACTTGAAAAATGTGATGGTGAGCAATATATTGCGTACTTAAAAGTGATTTGGTAGATAGTGCGCGTTTATTTGATATGGGCTTTTCAGTCTGTAGGCGTACTGAATTAAAATAAGACCTGTCAGATGGAGTCTGCAAGTTCCTGCATCTTACTCAAGTTCTCTAGCACTATAGGTTCAACTTTTCAAATTTCTGCACTGGTTCATCCGCTATGTTTTCATTCTTGCATATCTGCATTACTTCTCATACGAAGTTTCTACTTAGCAATGGCCAGTAAATACGGTTCCCCCAGCATAATTTGGTAGTTGTATCCAACTGTAAATTTATCAAACTTTAAAATCGAGAACAGAAAGGTAGGAGGTAATTGTTATGTCCCACATAATTTTATCTGGTGAGTCGATGTATTCCAGTATCATTTGATCTGCATAAGACCAAGTTCATTAAGAAACCTGTTGAACTATTTGCATAGTACTTATTTTTGCACTGGAGAGTGCTAAGCACATAGCTGCCAATTTATGTTTGTTTTTGCGTTTTTGTATAGAAAGAGGATACTTAAGCCGCCACAACATTTGCTTGCCTGTACAGGAACAATGCAGACATTAGATGCGAGACATATCGAACTATTTCAGTACAAGGGTTTTCAAGATGGGAGTTGGAAGTACGAGTTGATTGGAACACATAAAATTGAAAAATGTACAAATGCAGCATCGGGAGCCATTTTTGACCTCAATCATCTAAACGACCGTGGAACAGCTGGTAAATACTTGTCATTGATACTCCATTTCTAATCTGAGTCATTGTCCCCGGCATCTATTGGGAAACTTTTACTACGATCAGAAAAACATTGAATATAAGCTCTATGGTGTTAAGGAGGCACAAATTTACTAAGTTGTTTACATGAGTATGGTAGCATTGCATAGCAAATGTTGAAGTGGAAACTTATTGATTATTAATGAGATGCTTTATATTTTATTACCTTCAAAAAATCCACCAAGAGGACCTCAGAGTCTGAGATCCATGCTAAACTTAGGCCAGATAATGGAATTTTACAATCCCATCAATGTTTTTTACGAGGGCCAAAGTTTCAATTCTGCAATATCTTTTGGGCTTTCTTATTCATTAGTACTTTTGTAATTAATTGAAAAAATCTGTCTGATAAGTTTCTTTGATTAAGTTTAAGAGAGCGATATAAACCAAAACATTTCTGATGCTTGATTTTGTTTCAAGTTTTTTCCTTCTTTGTTTGAAGTGTGTACGTATGATATATGGTCTAATAACCAAATACTTTGCAGGTGTCTTCAATCTCAAGTCGTGGACAGCAGAACCCAATGATTTTCAACCAAAGGCTATGATTACTTTCCATTCAGTTGCGATCAACACCAATTTACAAGTGAATGAAGGTGAAACATCCTAATTTGCATAAGAATCGATCACTTGGACTGCTGCCTATCATTGAACGTTGTTACCAATTGCAGCTACATTAGTTTTGCAGTTGCCTCAGTTTGTAGGTGATTTTAAATTCATTTGCAACTGAATATATTCCTTTTTTCTTTTTCTCTTTTTATTCTTTGTTGGTGAACAGGACTTCTTTCAAAGTACTTCGTGATGAGAGCAGGACCTGATGGAGAAGTTGTTTCAATTAGAATCTCCCAGCAACTCCTGTAATTCAAGCTAAAATCTTCCTTCTTGTAGCCAGATTTTGTTTACTCTCTGAAAAGACAAATAGGTTTCTTTACAGTATTGTAATTCGAAAAGTATCCTTCCCCGAGAAAATTGATTTGATCTACATAATAAGCTTCTCGCTTTTATCAATCCTGTTATAGTGAGGAAAATTAGCACCTGCATGTCACCTGTATGTATACTGTGCATATCATTTGCAGTCTTACAATGCAAAATTTCATAGTGAAATTTACAGACTGAGATCTTATTTCAATTTGTTAAACATAATTACAGTTATTATATTCAGAATTGCTATCGCTTTTAATTCCAATTAGTAACATTCCCGTTCTGTACTGCAGCTCTTCCATAGTTGCAGACTTGAAGCCTAGTCTGTTTTTCTTAGCCTTTACATAGAAACCTCTCCATCCTTTTGCAAAATAGTTCACTGTTTAATTTGTTCAGCTGTTTCTACATACATGGCTGACTTTAAGCTAAACCTGAAAAAACTTTTACTTGCAAGCCAGAGTATAAGTTGACTTTAGAAATGTTCAATATTTGGTGATGAAATCTCAGCATAAAAAAAATAATTTGGGCCTTTGTTCCCATCGTTGACCAAACATTAAAAAAGTTTTAAACATCATCTTATCATTTATTATAAGAAAGTCTATCCTTTCTGCAGTCACTCCTTTCAACATTATGGGCAGCTTGCATATCTTCGTTCTTTTCTTTCTCCATTCTGTTATTCATACATTAGGAAATTGCTCAATCTACAAGTGCAGCAGCGATAGCATCCCTGTTCGATTCCCATTCCGACTCGAAGGGCAGCAACCACAATACTGCGGTTATCCTGGTTTCAACCTAAGTTGCAATAACCAGAGTGAAACAGTTCTAAAACTTCCATATTCTGGCGATTTTTTTGTGCGCAGTATTAATTATCTCACACAACAGATACAACTTTATGACTCGGATGATTGTCTTCCTAAGCGGCTCCTGAGCTTCAATCTGTCAGGTTCTCCTTTTGTTGCGGCTGCTTATCTGAACTACACCTTTCTAAGCTGTCCAACTCAGCTCATAGAGTCTCTCTTCACTACCATCGATTGCCTTAGCAATTCCACAACCTCAGTTTTAGCAACATCTTCCAAGAGCATTTCAAATTCACTGTCTATGTCCAAATCATGTCGGATTATCGTTACATTGCCACTTCCTGTTTCATGGCCTGTTCAATACAATGAAGGGTTCTCAAGTGGGCTTAAGGAAGATCTTCGGTTAACATGGTATTCTCCTAATTGTGAAGAATGTGAAGAACGAGGTGGAATTTGTGGATTCAAGACAAACTCGAGTCAAGAAATTGGTTGCTTCAATTACTCAGGTAATATTTTCATATCTGCTCCCCCATCAAAACACAGAGCACATTCAAAATCTAAAAGGCGAAGCTGTCTGATTGGGTCAAGGTATTCCATGGAGAGCCAATAGATTTTTTTTTTTTTTTTTTTTTTGTTTTCTCAAGTGGGCTTAGTGAAGTGCTTGCGTTACATGGTATCTCTAATTGTGAAAGAATGTGAAAGAACGAGTGGAATTTGGGATTAAGACAAACTCGAAAGTCAAGAAATTGGTTGCTTCAATTACTCCAGGTAATATTTTCATATCTGCTCCGCCAATGCAAGAAACACAGAAAGCGACATTCAAATCTAAAAGGCGTAAAGCTGTCTGAATTGGGTCAAGGTATCCATGGAGAGCCAATAGATTTTTTTTTTTTTTTTTTTTTTGGAGAATGGAGATTTTTTTTTTTTTTTTTTTTTTGGAGAAATGGAGAGACAATAGTTTTGCACAGCCTTTTAGTTTAGTATTGGCCAGTAATATAAATAATTATATGATTCAGGACATGGAAGCTTGTTTGAAGGGTCGGTGTCGTTGAATTAACTAGATAATACGTGCATATTAAGCTAGTGGAATTAGATAATTAAATGTTTAGCTACACTGTCAACTACCAAGAGAATGAATACTCCATTCAACAAGAAATTTAAGGCCAAAGGTCAAATTCTAAACTTTCTTATCTTATTAGCTAATCATTTTATTCACATTAAGTTTTTATTTGTTTAATCCAAAGTTTGTCTGACTTTTCATGGTGGAAATAAAAAATAGAAGAGCCTAAGTAATACAACATAACATGTAAGTAAGCAATCGCAAAATTAGCCTAATGCATTCTTTAATTTTGGAAATACAATAGAGTTTTCTTTCTAATATTCAAAAATATGTAAATACATACATATATAGATCAAACCTTTTGACGGCTACAAATTTCAGGTCGATCGAGCAGTCCCCTTCAAATTTTAAGAGTGCTGTGCTTGGCCATTGCTATACCCTGTATGATACTTGCTGCTGGGATTGCCTCTTTCGCATTCTTCATTGACAGGAGACCTCGTCGCTCTACGGCTACAACTAATCAGAACTCTGCTGCCACTGCAACAATATCACCACAACCAGAAACTAACATATCTGGAGTGGGTTTGGACGAAGCCACCATTGAATCCTATGAAAAGGTAGTGATAGGAGAAAGTATGCGACTGCCTGCAGGGCACAGTGACAGCACCTGTGCCATCTGCTTATCAGAGTATCGCAGCAAGGAGACAATCAGATGTATACCAGAATGCAAGCATTGCTTCCATGTAGATTGCATCGACGAGTGGCTAAAGATGAATGGTTCCTGCCCAGTTTGCAGAAACATGCCATCTCCTTTCCATGTCGAATCACTAAGTGTTTGATACAAAACTATTTTCTCTCCCCTTTTTGGTTGATTACTGTGTAAATACTTAACAGTCTATATTTTTTTTTTTTTCACGAGTATCATTATTTTCCCTCTATACTTAACCTCAGGTGCTTAACAGTCCATGTTGGGCGTTATTCATATTTTATATTAATTAATAAAAGTAAAAAAGTGTAGTAACTTAATAGTTTAATACACACTTTGTGCAGGGAAAAATAAAGAATAAAAAGGAAAAGAGGAGAAACAAAAAATTCAAGATTATCATTCTGCACGGATTAAACAAACTGTCGTGACTTTAAAAATACTTTTTGCACCATTATGCCGTATAAGTTCAATTCTGAGTAAAAACACACCGTTTCACTTCTTAATGAATCAATAACAAATTAATACCACAAATCTTTACAAAACTGAATAGCATCGTTCATTTCTCATTAAAGAATTCCCCATCTAAGGAAACCCATTGCCAGGACCACCTCTCCCACTTACCAATCAATAAAATGAATCATTCCTGCAAGTATTTTCCAGTGACAAAAATCTGGAAACTTATGATATTAATTATAAAATATGCAGCATAGGTGTACAATATTACAAATTAGCATTAATTTTTGAAAGTAGAAAATATGAAAAGTCAACAAAGTTATGACATCATGGAAAATTGCGTTATACATTTTAAGGAATAAGTTCCTCAACAACAAACTGTCAGATAAACATACTATACGAATTTATTTCTTAGCAAGCAGCTTTTTTGGCACCTTATCCAAAGGAGTAGTTTTTAGTAGGAAAAGC